TGAATTTTTATTGACAAAATGTGAATATAGGTTGCTTTAAATACTTTAGAATTTTTATTGACAAAAAGGGAGAAAAAGGAAAACAAACATAAAGATTTTTTATCTTTCTTTTCACTTTTTCCTCTTGACTCCTTTCCTTGACTCTTTCATTGCTCCTTTTTCTTATTCATAATCTTTCAATTATTTCGATTGTATATATTATTATTCGAGCCTTTTTTGTATTATATGATTGTCCTTTCACATTTTTCCCTTTATTCTCGTTCTTTTCTTCTCTCTTCTTTCTAATCTTCTTTTTCTCTGCTTTCTCCTCTCTTAATCCTTCTTTTCTTTCTCTCAAATCCACTTTTTTCTTCCACAGGCTTTTTTTTGCAAACAAAATGGGATGTTCAAATCGGATTCGAATCTGAGATATTTCGCTTATCAGAGTCACTTAGTGATTTATTATGCTAGGTCACATGTCACCCCAGTTTGAAAATCAATATATAAATGTATGGATATGTACCGTGATAGAATATATTGCAATCTTCAATGTTACGATCAGAAGAAGAGGAAGACCTATTTTGAATTCTCGAGTTTGAATAATCGATTAATCGAGAATATCTTAATCGAGCGAGCTAAAAAGGTTTGTATACGTTTATACGATTCCTTCGTATTTGTAACGGAAATGCTTCCGATATGTAATAAAACGCGAATAGCACAGACGACCTTGAAGCAACGTTTGAAGCGAGAAATTTTCAAGTCGCGATCTGTTTATGATTTCGTTGACATCGCGCGAGATGACATATCGGATGTTTTGCGCGATTATCTCGGCAGCGAAATCGCCGAAACGACGATGCAAAGAGAGGAATCACGTAATCATCACGTAATCTGTCAGGGCAACCAAGTTATATCTGTTGACACCAGAGATAAGAGTCGTATCGTTCGTTCAACTAATGGCACATTTTACTTCATTACGTAGGACATTTTTGACACTTGTGCAGGGTTGGGTAAGTTAATGATTTTTTTAAACTAAGTTAAGTTAAAGTTAATTGCTTATAAAATTAATTTAGTTGAGTTAAAAGTTTTATGAATAAAAAATTAACTGAGTTAAGTTAAGATTAAATTAATTAACTGAAGTTAAATCAAAAGTTAATTTTTAAAAACATTTATATTAAATTAGAATTTATATTAAATTAGAATATTTTTATTTTACACGTATAATCAAAGGATTTTAGCCTGAACTTGCACTAGAGGCAAAGTTTTTTGGTAAAATTAAAGGATTTTATTAGCCTGGACTCGAACCAGGGGCAAAGTGTGTCGGTAAGACAAAATGACGGCAAAAATGACGGTCTCCTCTTTAGACAGGCCTTTGGCGATCTGTCTATTAATCTGTGACACTGTATACAAATGGAGTAGTTCATCCGCAACACAAAATTATTTTTATTTATATTAAATTATGGTCTGAGGCGGTGAAAAATCACTCTTCATAATGATTATAGAACGACTTTTTGCTTTTCTCAATATATTTCGAAAATTATTTAAGATATCAAAGAATATTTTAGACAAAAGTTTTATAGTAAAAACACCTCTATTTAACTACGTTAATAAAATTTTGAAAAAATTTTCCCCAAAAGTTGCAAACGTTTTTTTTAGTTATATATTAATGTGGATATAAATAGAGTAGTTTTTACTATAAAATAATTTTTGATATTTCGAATAATTTTCGAGAAAAGCAGAAAGTCATTCTATTTTGTCCTCTCTTTCTTTCCTCTGCTCCTCCCAATCCTTCCTTAACAATTCTCCGAACCAATCCTCTTCCTACCCTCTCCTCTCCTGCTCTTGTTCTCAGTTTTTGTCTGCTTATCTCTTCTCTCACCATGTGTCCTTCTTTCTACCCTTAATGCCCATCTCGCAGGTACTTTTCCCCTAATCTTTCCATCCTTGTCTCTCCTTCCACCTCCATATTTCTACTCCATAGCTCAGCACTGTCCACACCAGCTTGTCCAACAGCCAAAGCCTTTTTCCCCAGTCTTTTCCAAATCTTCTTTTCTCTACCTCCCAAACTTGCCCCATCGCTCTTCTCGTCCTTTTCCACAGCTGTCGTTATTGCCCTCCATTCCTGTAGCCTATACGTGAATTCCTTTACTTCCTCCATTCTCTCTCCCTTTTTTTTCCACCTTTCTCCTAAAGCAATGAGCACACACTTTTGCATAAGCGCATAAGAAATTCGATTGGTTGAATTTTTTATGTATACTAGAGTTAGTTCGTAACACATTATCATGACAGTACATCACGTCATGACCTAAGATCAAATAAGTAGTGTTATTACAATAATGCGGTATTAAGTAGCACTTGATAAGGGCCGAAACCCATGGCCGAAACGTCGTGAAGTTTAATAAATAGTATTTATAGCCAGATATGGTTGACGAAATTATTACCATTTTTATGTATACGTTTATATAGACCAATCAAGATTCTTATGCTTACGCTTATGCGCCTATGCAAAAGTGTGTGCTTCTTGCTTAAATCTCATAACTTTCGACTTCTTCGCATTCAATTCTAGCCTCTTATGATCGAAATACTCTTCTAGTCTTTCCATCATGCTCCTTAATTCTTCCTCCTATTCTTGCCTCTGTATCGTCCGATACGCGTGAAAATGGTTTTAATATATAACTTTTTTATTAGACTTGCAATCTCACTTTTAATTGTTTACTAATAATTCTTCATATTATTTTTACCGCGTATACTATATTTCACGCACAGACAAACTGCAGAACTTTTTTTATTAAATAAGTATTACGAACTGACACAAAGAAGTCAATAACAAAACTGTAATTTTTTTATTTATATATGCAATTATAGCTAACGCGGTCAGTTTTTATAAGTATTTTAATCGTGGAAAAGGATTTATTCATCAATTTATTCGCATTCGGTCGGTAAAAACATACCTCCGGCATCCCCTGAAAGCATAAAATAAATAATCTCCGTGTAGCATAATATTTTTTATATTATTAACATTATTTTGATGTATATGTTAATTGATTATTAACTGTGTGTCGTAGTCGCCAGTAAGAAATAAAATTAAAACTTATTAAATTTATAAAACGACCAATATTTTTTATTCATTTAACTCATGACGTTTCGACTTCTTGACAAAATTAAAGACGTTTTCAAGAGTAAAAAAAAAAAACAGTAATAACGCATGCTGAAAGGTGTGTAAGAAATGACTTTTTTCGTTGTATATTCTATATTACTTCTATGCCATCACTGGCATAGAAGTGATCTAGAAATAAGGGAACCATTTCGAAAGAATTCCTTTTCCCTGTCCCTGGAATGGTCAGTTCTACATCCTATCCTAAGAGCTAACAATAAGTTCTATTCTAAAAGGACACAGCCACTCTTGCACAGTGGACGGGGCATAAAGTACGGGCCAAAATGGCTATATTTTACGAAATATTTCGTAGTTTATGCAAGATTATATCAAACTAATTGCAAGAAGTATAAAATATCTTGTAAACTATGTTCACTTTTTAGCAATTTTATCTTTATATAACTTCGTATGCCGAATATTTCAAGGGATTAATTTATGTAAAAAAAGACGATGATTTCGTTTAATAAAACTGTGTTAACTTATTAAATAACTCTGAAAAACGCCGAAGCAACTTTTGGTCACGATATTCTATTCCCCTCAAAATAATTCTACAACTTCTATATAGAATATTTTTCCTAAAAACGTTTTGTTTTTAAGATAATTTAATCGACTGCAAATTTGAAACATCTTGTCTATACATTAATTGAATTTCTTACTTTGTATATATTTACCCTTACAAAAACGTTTATATATGAGTATGAGATATTATACGCTAAAAGCTGAAAGCAACAAGTTGTTAGTTGTTAACCTCTTTTATTGATAAATAAGCGTTGTTTAAATCGTTAAAACTAGTCACCATGATTATTTTTATATTTGTTTCGGAAAATAATATAAAGTAAAATTTAGTAAGACAAGTCGAGGAACAATTTCTAAATTGAGATTTGAATTCCTCTTTTTCCTTTACCCCCTAAATCAGTGCTCGGAATTACTCTTTTTGGGGTACAACGACGAGGCTCGATGGCCGATTTGCGGACAACCCCCGCGTTGTTAGGGAATTTTTCCTCTTCAAGTTTATCGATAGGAAATGGTGCTATTTGACCATAAGATCGTCTTAAAATCTCGTTTTTACGGAAACCAGCGATTTCATTGGCTATTGGCATTTTGCCTGGAGACTCGGTTTGCGATTTTCTAACAATGTGGGTCCAAGGATTGAAGATCGTTCATTTTCACAAGGGTTTCCAAACAGATTAGTCGACGTTACAAACAAGAACAGCTACCTGACGATTTCAAAATGCCAGTAACGCGTTCCATGTCGTTAAGTTCTTCAATCAACAGTTAGTACAAAAATATATATTTATATATTTATATTATTTATTTATAATTATATATATTTACATGATATTGCATGATAAAATATTTTATAACAGACATGTCAAATTTGTTTTGCATCACATGTACTTTCCATTTCCGTAGTCAGAAATAGGGATTCCCATTTGAAAAATTCAGTTAAGCCTTAAAATTTAAACAGAAGAGAAGTGTGTGAATGAATGAGAAAGAGAGATAAAAGAAACGGGAAGAGACAAAGAATATTTTCCCACAACTTGTAGCCTGGAGCACACACTTTTGCATAAGCGCATACGCGTAAGCTAAGAATCTTGATTGGTCTATAAACGTATGCATAAAAAATTCAAGCAATCGAATTTCTTATGCGCTTATGCAAAAGTGTGTGCGCTTCTCTCCTACTCGACATTTTTCCCGTGAAATTTTACCCGCCAATTTTCCGCGTGGAGATTTGCTTATCGTTACGAGTACGTGACATAACTATCGTGCGCTATGTATGCTCTTTCTCTCCATCGACTTCTCTCACTCCCCAATCCTTCTCCCTCTCGTCGCGGTCGCCAGTGATGGTAGGGTAAACCGCGACTTCGCATTGTGCTTGGGCCGCTCGTTGCTCAGTCCGCTTGAAGCATCATACGTGGAGAGACGTATGCATACGTCACGGATGTACACCGAATTGTGCGAGTTTCGCGCGCGTAAAAGTTTCTCGCGAGTGTAAGGGAAAGAAAAAAAACGGAGCAAGAGAAATAGATCGGTGACCGACGCGCGACATTCGGACATTCCGGATCCGTTCTGTCATCGGCGAGAGGAAAGCTGACGCGAGAGATATCGGATGTGGCTATCGTGTACGAACGATCGGAGCGAAGGACGGCGCCCGGTTTCTCAAATGCACCCACGCCGAGGAATCAGCGGGTTAACGATGTCGTCCTCGCGCCTCGAACGTCATCGTCGTCGTCGCCTCGTCGCGATTCGCGAAATCGGACGCTCGTGCTTCGACCGAACCGGTTTTCGGCCCATAATGTGCTTCCGGGCTAAGGTCGCCTCGGTGCAAACGGAACATCGTCGTCGTCGTGGTTTCTAAGTCGTTTCGCGCGAAGGATTCAGATGAGAAATCCATCCTCGTCTCACAGATCTCGGAGAGACTCGAGAAATTATACTAAACGCGAACTGTCATTTTTTGACAGCTCTCATTTTTTGACATTTGATAGCTGGCGGCGCTTTTTGACAGAGCGAAGATATCGGTGCAAACGCGTTCTGCTCTGGATCAGAAAGAAAAAAGGAATTCAGAAAGAGTGGATGTTCGATAATAATTATATTGACAACTATGCATATTGCATCATGTTGCATAATCGAGAGCTCAGATAAAAAAAGTGCGGTTTTGTGTGTTTTAAAAGAGGATAGAGGAACTTTGGAATGTGTGGATGTGTGCATATATTTATATAATCAGATATTATCCATCACGTGAACCTTCTTCAATACCGAAAAGCTTCCAAGAGAATGCTACCTCCAGCTGCCATGCATTTAGAACAAAGAATGGGCAATGACAGGCCAGGTAAAGACAAAAATAGTTCTTTTTCATTCTATTGAAATATTTCTTTCATTCTTATTCATAATTTCCTAATCCGCTGATGGTCAAAAGTTACATTCCCGGTGAGAAATGATGGTCGAATTGATATCAAATTCGTCGAATCGATGTCGAATCGATGACGATTCGACCAATCATTTCTCACTGGGTTCGGCGTGTCAGCTTAGAAAAAATACTATCAAGTTTATTACTTCCGTTTACGACTTCGTCGATGACGGATTTATCGCGCGCGAATGACAATAAATAGCGGATTGTCAATTGCCGGCTGTCAATAATGATCGCAGTATGATACACGGTCGTGCGCAAAGATTCTTCTTTTTTTATGAATGATCGACACACGTGGATTATCACGCGATTGTAGGTGCGATTGTAATCGAGTCACGGTCACGTCGTCGCACGCACGTGGCGCGCGTTCAAAGAAAAATCGTAATACTCGAACGTCAACTTTTGCTGCCGATCTGTTGGCGAAAGTGTAGAGTACAGTGAGAGATTTAATAATATACATATATTATTTCAAATATATACATATAATATATTCGAAAACTTCTTTTTATATACTCTAAATATTTCTTTAAAAATTCATCGATAATCGACATGATATAATTTTATACAGGATGTCCTAGAACTAGTAGTAAACCTGTTAACGGCAGATTCCTGGAATAATTTGGAGATGATTTTTCCTGAACAAAAATGTCGAGACATTAATAATTTTTGAGTTATAACCCAGCCAGAAATGATAGTTAAATTGACGTCAAATCGATGTCGATTGATGTCGAATCGATGTCGAATTGGTCGAATCGATATCGATTCGACATCCTTTTTTGAGTCCTTATCAAGTGATTTGTAAAATAAAAATAAAATTATAATTTTAAGATGTCAAGAACGAACATAGTGCCGACAACACTGTAGTTTGACGAAAAGGTTTAGATGAGATACTAAAGACTCCACTTTGGACCGAGTCGACTGAGTGAGTCTTTAGTATCTCGTCTAAACCTTTTCGTCAAACTACAGTGTTGTCGGCACTATGTTCGTTCTTGACATCTTCAAATTATCATTTTATTTTTATTTTTACAAATCACTTGATAAGGACTCAAAGAAGGGTCGAAACGTTATGATTGAATAAATAATATTTGCCACTACGGTCGAGAGAAGATTCTTACCTTTTTTCATATTCTTTTAATAATTTCATGTAGAAAATATAAATATGATGTTTTCTAAGTCGGACAATAGAGCCAAAGAACGAAAAATTAATTATTCGGAACTGTATCTCAATTTGAGATCCCAAAGTTCTATATATAAATTAATCTCGAAACTTACATATGGAGAAAAAGGCGCGAAAAATATAGGTCCGAAAAGTCGCTGAAGTGAGAACTGCATGTTCCGCGGGAACTTGGCACATCTATCCAAAACGAATATTCGACACTCGCATTTCGTTGATCGAAATCACGCGCTTTTTGACGAATCATGTTGACATGACAGTGGCGAGACGAAAGCGAAGGCGTCTCGTATATATCCGCAGAATTTTTCCGAAAGGAGTGATTCAAAATGTAGCGTATACTTTTGAAATTGGAAGATTTCTAATTTTTGAAATTTATATAGCTTTTTTGGTATTAAAAGAAGCATTGATTAAATAATAAATAAAATTGAGATCTTATTTAATGTTTAAAAAGCAGGCAGAATTAATTAAATTCGAGCAAGGCAGACAAAATATTAATTATATTGAAGAAAAACATTTTCTTATAGATTAGGGCAGAAAATCGGTAAAATTTAGTACAGCTTTTCCTTCTTTTATTCAAAGGAAGAGCAAATGTTTAATTTTTTCATATTGTGTTCTACGTCTATGCGGTGTTAAAAGCGCGTGCGATGTCTTTTAGCGTGTAATACTGCTCCGTTGATTGTGAAGTTCCGTTTGTGTGCTTGTGTGAACCCCGGGCAATTCGTTCTTAAAACCACGTGCTCTTATACGTCAATGGCGCACGCTCTAGTCTCTTGGCAAGGCTAACATTCCATTCGCGTGCAACGTTGTTCGGAGAAAAACTTTCGTCATTTCAAAAATTTCGATGCAGTTTCGATCAGGGTCGGATTAACCAATAGGCAAACTAAAAAAGGCTCTCATCACAAAAAGGCCCCCATCAACCAATGAAGAAAAATTTTATTTATAATAAAAAATTATTTCGCATTATTTTAATTACGGTTCCTTTTTAGTGCTCATATATTTAATTAATTTTCAAAAAATCCTCGCCTTACATAGGCCCCAAAACCAAAATCTGTCTAAGGCCGCATATTCGGTTAATCCGGAACTGGTTTCGATCGATAAATTTATCGTACAATAGAATCTTTAACTTTGATTTTACTATATTTATGTTAGAGATTTAATATATGACGTTTGACATAGCGAGACAAAAGACCCCCATTAAGTTAGCCCCCTCACCAGCGCTAAATAAATTTTTATATATAGTGATAAGAATATTAGATTATATCGGCTCTTAATATAAAACACGATATACACCTCCTCCTTCTCGGCCGTAGAGCCAAACGCGATGTTATTGCGAAATTAAGTAAGAAAATTAGGAATCTGGGAATTTGTATCCTATGGTTGGGATCTCAAAAACTTTCGGACCAATATTTTTCTCGCCTATTTCTTTACAGAGAAATTAGGAATCTGGGAATTTGTATTCTATGGTTGGGATCTCAAAAACTTTTGGACCAATATTTTTCTCGCCAGTTTCTTTACAGAGAAATAGGCGAGAAAAATATTGGTCCGAAAGTTTTTGAGATCCCAACCATAGGATACAAATTCCCAGATTCCTAATTTCTTTACAGAGAAATAGGCGAGAAAAATATTGGTCCGAAAGTTGACTAAATCTCGCCTATTTCTCTGTAAAGAAATAGGCGAGAAAATATTGGTCCGAAAGTTGACTAAATCGGGAAGGTCTTCGTTTCCCGGTTTAGTCAACAGAGGAAGTTAAAAGAGGAACAAGGAGAATTTATGAGATCCCAACCATAGGATACAAATTCCCAGATTCTTTAATTTTCTCACTTAATTTCGCTATAACATCGCGTTTGGCTCTATGGCCGAGAAGAGAAGGTGTGTATCGTGTTTTATATATAGCTTAAAATAAGGTGCTAATTAGATGCCGAAGTCCGGAATTAGGTGCTCGCTTCGTTTGACAGATTTTTGGACTCTAAGGGCGATCGCGGCGACTGGACAAGAGTAAAGTGATAGAAATTTTTTTTATATATCTAAACGGATTCTGAGAGCACTTAATTAACACCTAATTCTTACATATTCGTTCTTTTTAAATTATTTTATTTATATTTTTTATATGGGGGGCTGACTTAACATTAAGCTGCCCTGCCCCTCAATATAAATTTAATTTTCTGATAAACGGTTCGAGCATCTAATTCCTGACTTCGACAACTAATTAACTTATTTTAAGCTATATAAAAATTTATTTAGTGTTGAGGGGGGGGGGGGGGTTAACTTAATGGGGCCAGACAAAAGTATTCCATTTGTTTTTCTATCCATCAATAATTTATCTCTTTCTCATTTATTCTTATACATTTTTATAATTTTTGTCAAATCCAATTTTAAAATCAAGGAAAAATTAAAATTATATATATATATTTTTTTTTAAATATTAGGTAAAGTTTCTTCTTCCTTAAAATTTTGTATATAAATATATATATATATATATATATATATATATAAATTTTAAATTTAAAATTGGTGCATTTAATGTAGAAAATTATAAAATAAGAAATGCAAAATTTAAATAGGTTTATGCTGCTAGATTAAAAAAATAGCATACGAAAATTACTATACAGGGTGTTCGGGAACTCCGGTGCCAACCGTTGAGGGGTTGTAGGGTAGGTGAAAATATGCAACTTTCATTAATAAACATGTGGTCTCCGACGACGCCTGTCGACGCCAGTAACTTTATTATTTTTCCTTCACAAAAAATGCAATCACAAAAGATGCTCGAAATGGCGACCTCCTAATTCAATGCAGGCATTACACCGCCGCACCATACTTTGCCGAACTCGTTCGAAAATGCCTGGTGTATGCTGGACGACCTCACAAGCATTGAAGATCCTCGCAGTCAGATCGTGCATCGTTGACAGGCGTCGTCGGAGACTACATGTTTATTAATAAAAGTTGAATATTTTCACCTACCCTACAACCCCTCAACGGTTGGCACCGGAGTTCCCGAACACCCTGTATAAAGCAAATTAATATTGACATTGATATTACTAAATTGAAATTATTTTATAAATATTTAAGTACACGAAAAAAATGAAATAATTTTTTGTAATAATTGGGATTTATATTTCTATAAATAACCGTGGATCACAAAATATTTAAAATTTATATTTAAAAAAATGTTCCTCTAAAAACGTGATACTTTCTTAACATCAAATTAGCCTTTCCAAAAAAAGATTTAATATTTTTATAAAATGAACTTTTATATAATAATCTTAAGATTTTTTTAAGAAGATAGAATTTATAGAAAGATTTACGACATGTGTATTTTCTGTCATCTGTCGTCTAACATTAATCTTATCTCATTAATATATGTCATTCGTAGATGCACATTTTTCTTTACTTTCAATTCGATAATTAAATGCATATCATTTATGTGACATTTTTAAACCGGTTAGTATTTTTCATATAATCGTTTATTATTTATTTTTTATCAGTCGGTTGAAAATAATAAATTGCCAGGCTCACATCTTCAGATTATTTAATTTTCAACTTTTATCTGAATTAATTCTCTAACTTTGATCTCTATTTTATTATCTTGGATGAGGTTTGCTTTTTCTAATTAAAATAGATTATTGTTGAATTATATTTCGTATATTAGCGAATTCTGTCTAGAGCTCACCATTCATAAAGTATAAGTAATTATCCAAAAATGGAATTATGATTATTAATGCTATTATTAGTGACATCGATCTATATGTCAGATCAGATTTTCTGAATTTTCTATTTTAGTTACGGAATAACAAGATATTGCTCTAAATCAGTATTTATCTTCTTGCTTATTTGTATCTTTTGCATTTCTCCTATTTCTCCTAATAAATAAATATTAAAAACTTTAAAGACGACAGAGCGAGAGAGAGAAAGAGAGAGAGATACATCTTCAATGAGATGTCCGTATCGCCTGACCCAAATCTTAGAGAGCGTTAGCCATCGACGAAAGGTTAATACGTTCATCATGTTTATCTCTGTTGCATAAATAGCTTTTTCTTTTACGATGACGAACCCATCCAAACACTTAATCGCAAATATATACGATGACGTGGAGATAATACTGTAACAGGATGATTTTCTGTTTCGTCAACGAGACTTTCGTTTTCGGAAAGAAAGTCACTTCTTCTATTATTCGTACAAATACTTCAAATCTTCTAAAGGAAATATTAAAACATGTTTAATTTTAAGGACGACGAGCGATATAATATATGTTATATTTTACATATATTTTAAAGTATATCTTGCCCCCTCCTGCGTTTCCTCAACTCAAATTTAATTGGTTTGTTCGTAAATAAAAAGGCACATACGTCGAAGTGACTCGACAATTTATACAAACTTTGACGATCGATACACGTTGGTCGACCTTGTCGATTTAGATATCCTAGTGTTCGTGAGTTTCATTTGTGGCGTTTATTTTCTGCGTATCTTAACGAGAGAAATGGACCATTTTATAAAACGTGTGAAAAAACATCCATGCTTATGGCAAATGGACAAGGAGTACAAAAAGGAAGAATGTGATAATGCTTGGAAAATTGTAAATGACGAATGCAGCTTTTTAGAAGACGGTATGTATTTTATGGTACCTTATTGTTATATTTCTTTTATCTTCAAATTATTTTTTTAAGTAATTATTATCATTATATAACTTTTTGAATCAACTATTATTGTAATATACTTAATCTATTTTCTGCACCTTTGCTATACGGAACGCTTTCAACAGTATTAAGATAATTGCAAAATTCTTCTCTTACAAAAAACTTTATTTTATTTTTATTTTATTTTAAATGTCAACATGTGTGTCAATTTTGTTTGTGTTTTTGTCTGTGGTGTCAGTTGATCATTATTTAAATTTCCAATTTTGTCTTCACTTATATTATAGTAATAGTTATTTCTAATTAAATAATTGTGTAAAACACATGTGACTTTTACAGTTTTATCTATAAGTTTAACATAATACTCGAATGATCTTTGAAATATTCTCCATTAAAAGATCCATCATTACTAAAACGTCCTAAATCTCAGGTCAATATTAATAAATATTAATAAATTAATATTAATAAATAATAAACTTTCTGTTTGTATCAGCACCTACGCAGTAATACAATTGAATGTTTTTTTTAAATTATAAAAATCTGATTATCTGCAATAATTTTACAGTCACTACAGTCCTTTAAAACTATAATAAATGAAAAAAGTGGTTCCACAAAGCATCAAAAGCTTCTTTAACAATTTCCCAGGTCTTTCACATTAAGCTATATAAGTCATTGATCGAAATGAATCTCTTGTTGCCATATATCTGTAATTTCTATATCTACCTGTAATATTCATAATATATCTCTAATTTTAGAGGAAGAGGCAAAAGATTTTTGGAAAAAACTACTACAACGTTATGGATCAGGAGTAAATGAAGAAGAAATTACAAAAGACGCTAGCAAGAAGAGGATTTGCAAAATGATGGAGTTTGTAATTCCTATGAATAAACCAAGCACAAGTGCAACCCTTTTGAATACATCAAATGGATCTCAAATTAATACTTCTGAACTTATGGAGAATGTAGAAGAAACAAAACGTAGAGAAGAAATAGACATAGAAATGAACAAAAATAATATAGAAGAGCAAATATCAAATCTCCCCAAATCCCCAAATAATAAAGAACAATTTGATAAGATGATTGTACTACAGCAAGAAAAACGAAAAGAGAGAACAGCAAGATCATCAGAAAAAGAGAAAGATTATTAGAAAGACTCAACAAATCAGATTTCATCCGAAAAGAATTACTCGATGAAAGTCATAATACAAAATCAAAAAATAAAATATACATTAACAAATTTTTGAAAGTATGTGTGAAATGACTAATCATTTATCAGAAGATTTACAGATGAAAATTGAATCTCAACTTTTCGATAGTGTGATGAAAGCGCGAATAGAAGAAAATCAAAGAAAATTACAAATGTCGATGAGCAAGCTAACTGTTAAATCAAGACAGACTACATGTAAGAAGCAAAATAAATGTAATACTTCTTCAATCGAAAAAGGTGTGAATTCAATCACCTCATCTACATCATGTGAAGCTAATTCATCGAACTCATCATAGTAGCTTCTTCGTAGACACACAAACAATTCTCAATGTTGCAACAATGTTCTATCTTCAGAACTGCGCAGGAGAAGACTGATATACAAACGTATATTACTGATAAGACAATATATACCAATTTACGATAAGTCATTGAATTTGAATTTTTATATGATAACAGATGTGATACATTATAAATTATTTTTTATGTTTTATTTTATCTTATAACTCTTCACACTAACTAGATATATAATTGTAAAATAGCAATATTTTTTTTAGATTAGTAATTTTGCACTAATCTTTTACTTGTCATCAATCCCTAGAATTGACACATTTACATTAATATTGTCTCATTTATGCCTCTTTTTCATATTACTTTCAATTAAAGCACGTTATTCAAAAAATTTATTTGTGCTCTTTCGAAAATAGTTAAAAACTTTTTCTCTTTACTTAATTCGTTAAAAAATTTAAATTTGCTTTAATTTCTGAATTCTATATGATGTGATGAAATCCAGAATTTTGTTTTTATAACCAAGAACTAGCGTTGCTCTAATATAATCTGATATAATTGAATTCTTTATTAGTGTATTAGAATTTAAAAACTTCTTCTGATGACCTATCGCGTAAATTTTTTAAAATATCTTGACAATTAGCCATTGTTTTTAAAAGAATGTGTTCACTGCAAAGGACAAAGTCATAATAACATATTATCGCTCATCTCTGATCAATAATATAATATAATATTACATTTACATTATATATATATATAATATATAATATAATATAATATATAATATAATATATATATAATATAATATATAATATAATATATATATAATATATATATATAATATAATATATAATATATAATATTATATAATATAATATTGTTCATTATTGTTTGTAATATAATGTTACATTTATATTACATCTCAGTTCTTAATTATAATTATTGTATATTATATTATATCATCTATAATATGTATATTATATTATTGTTCGTCCGTAGCGAGCTTTAATCGTTTTTATACTTCTAATAAGATGTCACATGCGAGATTTTATACTTGCCCTTTAATCGAGAAGAAGCGACTTGTGTAATTACAACACCGAAAAACGGCGCCAAGAGGATTCTCTTATAAATTAGAGATAATAAGGATTCTCTTAATTTAAGATGATATTCTTATTTTCAGTAGAGAAATGCCTTAAATTAAGAGAATCCTCTTGACGCCGTTTAAAAATAAGAATACAATTTTTTTTACCACGGTGAACCAATTGCGCCTAATATCGATAGCCGTTGTAAAAAAATGTGATTTTTATTTAATTTTTTCGATTTTTTATTATAAAAATTATTCTGATAAAAGCTTTTTGGCTTGTAAATCGAAATAAATATTTTAATCTTTATATATAACAAGTGCAAACTTTTTAAATTCACGTTTTAGAAAAGTCTGTACAAATACAAAAATAAACGTTTAATAATAAATTTGCTTGATCTTTTGAAATAAATTGCTGTCTTGTTTTATTACATTAAAGAAGAAATATAAATATTTACGAGAAAATTTTATTTTGTGCAGTATGGTGTATATTTTGCATAAAAATAATATTAGATATATATTAAAATAAAAAAGAATACACACACACACACACTTAGCATATTATATGAAATACTATACTAATGAAATTCAAAGAGTTTTTTAAATCATAAAAAAGTCATTTAAGAATGAAATCAATATTTTCTCTGTAGATGTAGGAAAATGTTAATTTTGTGTTACAGTACACAGTAAAGAAAGAAAAATAACAAAAATTTTTAATATTTTTTCCGCAGTAATTCAATTTTGTTTATTCACATAGTCGTAATAAATAATAAAAATATATAATAAAAATGCTTCATAATAATTATGAATGTTTTTCAAATCTTCAAAATATTAATAATTATTTTATAAAACATTTTTATTATATATTTTTATTTATTATGACTTGTGAATAAATTCAATTATAAAATTATCGAGATATCTACTGAAAATCGCACTTTTTGGACATCCTCCTTTCTGGAGGAATTTTAAAAAATATAATAGAAAAATTAAGTATCTCTATACATATTATCTCCCTTGTGCTGAGATATCGCAACGATTATGTCCGTGACATCTGTTTGTACACGCTCCGTCTATCAATACACTTTGCATTGAATACGGTGATTGCGTATCTTAGCTTGGTCGAATCCATATGCAACGTGCGGTAGATCGTCCGTAGGTCAGTCTCGATCGCTATTTCTTGATCACAAAAACGTTCTATCAATTTTGAGATCTTATAATTTTCTCAAGATTTCAGTGACGCAGCAATAAAAATAGTTTCACAGACCATCGTTTTTTAATAATTAATTTTTAAAGCGGGGTCTACAATGGCAGCCCCATTTCAGAGTTTCTTTAAAAAAAATTTTCACACAAAAACATTTTATATTTTACTTAAACTTACTAGCTACTTCTTTGTCACATTGTTATATCTTTGACTCGTTTGGGAATAATCCATGCTTTTATATTTGGAGTTAGGTAATGCTAGAACTCGATGGACTCAAGTAATGTTGGAACTCGAATAGAACTTTTTGTCATTGTGAATAGAATGCATTTCCGAAAAATAATGTGCATTTGAATAAATAAACAATAATATTCCTATGTGAAACAAACCTGTCATTATGAAATATCTGAAAGATATTCAGAGAATATCCAGAGGATATCCAGAGGACATTTGAACATCCTCAGGATGTTCTCTGAACGTCTTCGGGATATGCTGTTAGGGATAACATAGGATAATCATAAAAAAGTGATACTATGGAAAAAAATAAATCCATAAAAAGAAAACTTTTATCTCTATAAGATCATTTAATGGAATCTTTGTTATAAAAGAAAATTCAATTTGGTGTATTTTTTTTTATAATACATACAGATGGAGAACGTTATTCCTATATAATATCATACAATACACTTTACTTATTTTATTATTACTGTATAATCGTTTCTGTTGTAACGAAGCAGCTGTTGTGGTTAATCTTACTTAAGTAGGAAAATAGACATCAGTCTATAATATCTTTTGGCATCTTTGGCAAATGAGGAAAATGAAATGTAATTGCAACTGTCACTATAAATATGTCATGAACTTATGACTCACTTTTCTCAAGATATTAATAAATATGTTTATTTATTTTGTTCATTATTAATTAATATAAAGAGGAACTGCTATGCAATTTTTATATTTTTTAATTGATAAATAATATACATAAATACACAGCAAATGCTGGAAACATTGAAATATAGGAAAAATCTAAAAGTGGGGATATACAGTTAGTGAATGAATAGCGAATGCCAACATTTGTATTTGCGTTGGTAGGTTGTTAGTTGCTTTTCTTGAAACATTATTATTAATCGAATGCTTCAGTGCAACCGAGAAAAGAAATTAACAACCTATAAGTAAACACAGGGTTGAGTAAGTTAATGATTTTTTAAAACTATTGTTTAAATATATTTATTTATTTATTTAATTAAATTATTACGTTAAAAATTTTTTTTTTCAAATATTTTGTCTTTATAAATAAATAAATAAATATATTTAAACAACAACACTTTTTCAAAACTAGCAAGATAAAACAAAAAAAAAGTAACGAGACACGGACTCGAACTTGCGACCTACGAGTTAGCTCTTAATCGCTGCTGCACTTTTCGATTTTTAAACAATTTTTTACTCGAAAACTAAGGAGCATTCGACAAAACGCCGAAACACGTATATCTTTTTTTGACATCTAGAATCACCAAAAAAATTGGCATCCCGATTCTCAATGTACTGGGTGTAGTGTCCCCTTGTAAGTTAAATTAAAGTTAGTTGCTTGTAAAATTAATTTATTAGTTAAGTTAAAAGTTGCTTGAACAAAAAATTAACTCACAATCAGTTAAAGTTAAGTTCAAATTAAATTAAATTAAAAGTTAAATTAAAAATAATATAAATATGATATTTAAATCGGCCAATAAAGCCAAGCGCGAAAATTAATTTTTAAAACTGTATCTCTTGGTTTGAGAGATTACTAGATTTTATATATTAATTAACTTTGAACATTAAATATGTGTGTGTGTGTGTGGAAAAATAGGCGAGAAAAATATAGGCCCGAAAAGTCGCTGAAGCTCCAACTAGTCGTCATCTATTGTAATGCGCCATTTTCTTTACTAGTTTAGCTTCTATTAGAACCCGAAATGTACCTGCTTAACAGGTTGTCATCTTGGGTCAAAATTCAAACCAATCTCGAATTCTATAATAAGGGTCTCTTTAATAAGGGGCGTATTGAAGGGCAGAAATAAAATTTTTACAATCTACAGAGTATTATAAAAAACCAGATTAGGTATTTTACTCATCCATTCAACATAGGTCCGTAAATCAACCACTTTAGAGATAGAATCCATTTTATATTTTAGCTAATCATGAAACTATGTATTATTTATTTATTTTTACGTAATTTTTAAATAATAAATAAATATAAATTAATTAATAATTAAAGAAAGGTTTATTATATAAATCGACCACACTGGCAATGCTTTATTTAATCAATAATCACACAACTTTTTCGTTTAAGAATGTCTAAAAAAACATTAAAGAGGATAGATGGATAAAATATTCTATCCCTTTTTTTAATACCTTACAAAGATTCCAAAATTTCTTCTTTTTGCAAATATTGTTTGTCACGTGTGTAAAATTTTAATTTTACAATTTTACAAATCTTAATCTTTTTTGAAATTTTTGTCTATAGTTAACCGGCCTCTAAGTAATCTTTAATATTGATATATGATATATATCATATATTATAAGAGGGTGTGAGGAAGAGACTGAATGGTCGAATATTGTATGAAAATTTATTGGTTTTACACATACATTTTTTTTAACGTACATCTTTATAATTAACTTAAGGGATTTATATCACCTTAACACTTGTCATATAAAATAAGGCGGGTCAATTCTGCAATTTTTGTTATCTGTACCGCTAAAAATATCATATCATGCGTTATCTTATTATAATATAACCTTTTTGGAAAAGCCATCTTTTATTATAAAAAAATATTTTTAATTTTTTTACAAAATTTTTTTTAATAAAAAGCTGAAGAAATATGCGACGTGTACAAATACATAAATATTTAAATAAATTCGTTATCTTATATACGGATATAAATCGAACGTTATTTCTATATGATGATAAATTTATTGCCATGTAATATTTTTCATCGTCCGCGAATTTATAATATCTGTAATCTATTCAAATTACATGCATATATCTCTGCCAAGATTATAGCATAATGTTTAATATTATTAATTAAAATATTCGTGTATGTGTAATATTTATACGCGCAAAAGTCGCCAAGATAAGTCTTGCAACACGCCAAATAAATACGGAATATGAGATTATCCATCATCGAACATGGATTCTGTCGCGAGCTGTAAGATGGATGGACATTCCAAACTATGAGACGAGGACACACAGTTGTCGCTAAAAAAAAAAAAAAAAAAAATTAGGGGACGCACACGCGCAAAAGCAAGGAGAGCTATCCTAATTTTACATCGTCGGGTTACTGGACCTTACGTAACTGCAAAACTCAAGCGCTAAGTTTAGTTTCGGTCCTCCTCTCTAGCGGTGGATTCCGTTTCCGGAATGGGCATCGTTGTCCCTCGACGAGATGCACCCGCTGCACCTCAGAAAAAAATCCTCGCTACATCCGAGATATCGCAAGATATTGATCCACGAATAAGATTTAAAATTGTGTCTCTTACAAGAGTGTCCTTCCTTTAATTATTGCTACTTGATTAGTCACACAAGATTGGGATATATTATTACACCGAAAAAAATTTATTCAATACTGCCAAATAAATTATTTGTTTGAAACTGATAATATTGATTTGATGGGAAAAATAGTTTTTTGTTTCAAAGAAATGATTTATTAGGCAGTACTGAAATAAATATTTGTTAATTTAGTCAGTGCATTTGACTAATGTTGTATATGATTGTTTAATAGAGTAACATATATGTATATCTATCGTATTTTCTTAAAAATGTATCCAAATATTTGAGATAATAGACATTGGATAAACTCGATTTTTTTTCTGATGAAATAATTGCATATCTTTCGATCGTTTAAATTGTTTCGTTTTGTATATTTTGTATGACAATTTAAGTGAAACACAGTTGAAAAATTTGTGTTAAATTTAATATATGTCCCAAACGATTCACAGAAATTTTTGTGTTAATTTAACATAATATAGATATGTTAATTGGAGACATAAATATACTGTGTTAATATTTTAACACAAAATAAATGCAAAACTTCAATTAATTTAAAATAAAATTTGGTGTAAAATTAACATAACTTTATTGAAAAAATATGTTAATCTTAGATTTTATCGTCCCCACTTAAGTAAAATAAAAAATCGACATATTTTTCTATCAATTTTGACAGATAAATCTTGTTACTAATAAAACAGAACATATGCATATATTGTGTAAAATGAAAAATAGATACACCTTGTGTTATTTTTACATCTTTTTCCAGTTGTTTTAATAATTTAACATTTAAGTTCAATTAACACAACAGCAGTATGTTAAATTAACACAATGTGAATATGTTAAATATAATATTTAACACACAAATTTTAACGGGGACCATTTTGAATAAGAAAATAAATTGTCCAACTGTGGCAATCAAAAGTGTATATATATATATATATATATATATATATATATATATATATCATATTTCGCGTATTATTGTCTCGCATCTTATTCGGTCTCCGTTTGACCCGACACTCGAATCAGTCCGATATTCGCGCTAAATATGGGACCAGCGCGGAACACTTAGATTATTTTGAGAACGACGAGTCTTCCTAGCATTACCTAGGTATAAGTGCGACTGCTGGTCGAGTATAATCGCGCGACTAAGTTAGAGATGAAGAGGATATTCTTGAAAGTGAAAATTCTCTTTTTCTTATCTGTAGTATGCAGGGTGTATTTAAATAAGTATACAAAATTTTAGATGTAATGATCTTTGTTGAAAATTAAGGGAGTTTTTTATATCCCTCTCTGAAAAATTACACCTTTCTAAAGAGGAAGGTAAAATTAGGGGTGAAGAGGATATTCTTGAAAGTAAAAATTCTCTCTTCCTTTTACCTGCATACAGGGTATTTAAATAAGCACGAAAAATTTTAGGTGACGATTCTTTGTCGAAAATTAAGGGGGTTTCTTATATCCCTACCTGAAGAGTTACACTTTTCTAAAGAGGAAGGTAAAAATAGGGGTGAAGAGGATATTCTTGAAAGTAAAGATTCTCTCTTCCTGCATACAGGGTATTTAAATAAGCACGAAAAATTTTAGGTGACGATTCTTTGTCGAAAATTAAGGGGGTTTCTTATATTCCTACCTGAAGAGTTACACTTTTCTAAAGAGGAAGGTAAAAATAGGGGTGAAGAAGATATTCTTGAAAGTAAAAATTCTCTCTTCCTGCATACAGGGTATTTAAATAAGTACGAAAAATTTTAGGTGACGATTCTTTGTCGAAAATTAAGGGGGTTTCTTATATCCCTACCTGAAGAGTTACACTTTTCTAAAGAGGAAGGTAAAAATTGAGTTTGTATTTTTTTTCTCAAATTTCAGACAAATTAAAAAAAAATAAAACGAAAAATATCCATCAAATTCCATTCTTAATTTGTCTGAAATTTGAGAAAAAAATAGAAGCTTAATTTTTATCTTCTTTAGAAAAATGTAACTTCTCAGAAAATGATATAAGGGTATATGCTTATATAAAAAATCTCCTCTTTAATTTTCGACAAAGAATCATTTCCTAAAATTTGTCGCACTATTTAAATCCATTCTGTATATTTACAAGAATTTGATTTTTACGATTTCTTCGCTGGTGATTATACATATATATCAAATAGTGTTTATTTAGGGACCAATCGGCGTCTAAACATCATCAATAGAGACACTATACATTCAGAAGTATATAACTGCAACTCGCTCGAATCCAGATTGTAACGTAAACATCGTCATATTATCTCTCTCTAAATCGCATCGTTGACTTGTCAACCTCGATATAAGATGAACATATATTTGCCCATCATTTCGAACGTAAATTTTCCAGACTAGAAGACGAGAGAAAACTCGATCGATGCCTTCGTGGCTTCTCCTATTGTTATTTTAAACGCGCATTTCAAACTGTTTTAACTATTATCGTATTTTAAACCGATGTCGCGCCACGAAACGACAGTCAACTCTACGAGGATCCTGCTAAATTTATATTGACACGAAATGCCAGCTTCTAAACTCACGCTAGGCATACCGGAGTGTAATGACACTTGGCAGGGTCGCGGTTGGCAACAGATTGTTTCGTGGCGATCGATCGAAAAAGCGACAGTGGTCGTGATTCAGTAGTTTAATTAGGATGCCTTTGAATGAGCAATTGATCGCTTAATAAGACCTTACTTAAGTTACAATGACTTTTCATGAGCAGGCGAAAAATAGTTTCTCTCCTTGGTATATTTACCACAATAAAAATATTAACCCTCAGTTACCACTCATTTTTGGCCACCCTATTTTACCACTCATGAGTTAGAGTAACCCAGAGTCTTCTTTTGTTTATATTTCTGGATCTAATGAAGCTATTTTAAAGTATTTTTTTTTAATCGATACGCCAGACAGTAAGAAAAAAGCATATATCGGTACAAATGTCACCAGATTTCTACGACTCGAGATATTTGAGAAAAAATGAAAAGTGATCTTCTAAAATTTCGGAAAAATCATTTTTGATATGGGTTAACGTAACCCAGAGAGGTAACTGAGGGTTAATATGTAGTAAAACTAAAGTAAGGTCTTATTAAGCGGTCATAATAAGACCTTACTTAAGTTACAATGACTTTTTGAGCAGGCGAAAAATATTTTCTCTCCTCGGTATAAATATATCCATGGAATTGCTTTTAATTAAATATATATATATATATATATATATATGTATATATTAAAAAATAGAAAACACTTAAAGCTAAATATACAATTTATTTAGACGTGTTTACTCCTTGATTTTATTCAATTTTTTTCAATTGATAAAATAGGGAAAATAATTTTGTAATATTCTATAATTTACATATTTACATATCGCCCTAATCGACTGCGCTTAATTTTACGAAACGAAAGTGAGTTTCAAGTCGCAAATTTACCGAAGGATTTTATCGACGTTTGTTGTCCGGCTTGACAGCTCGCACGTATCCCTGTTGTCGTTCTTTTTTTTCTTCTTTTTTACGTTTGCGTCGCTTACGAATCGACCTCTGCTTCGCATAAGTTTTACATAATCTTATTCAAATAACAACTCGCGCGAGACCGCATCGCGTGGAAAGGGAAACCGACCTTAGAGTTTATTTCCATATGATTTACGCGGTGTCTTTCGACGCGATGTACGAAGTGCACAATTTGTGCAGTGGTGTCACTCCGACAAGTATAGTTTCATTTTTATCGCGTATTTTTTATTTTGTATTCTATTATCCGAATTTTTAGTTTTTTTTTAATGTTGTTTGACGTTTATTAATTTTTTGTATTTTTTAATTTTTTTCTCTAAAAATGTCGACGAGTATAATCTAATTTTGAATTGCTTTGCATGGCGAAAATATGTAAAATTGTAGCTCTGCAATCGCGAATGTTAGTAATGTGACGCGACCCTCGCATGCGCTTTTTCTGACCCTTCTCGCAGATATCGTCCCGATTTTTATGTAACATTCTGATATTATTATTTACAGCGCAGCTTGCGAGCGAGATTATGTGACCCGTTAAACTCGGATATATATACTCGGTTAGATTATGTATTAAAATTCCGATAGTCTTACAGAGTGTTGCGCGATATTATTGTGTATTTGCACAATTATAAGCGTTGCTTTTCTTCGCGAAAATATTTTTATTTCGTTCTTTTAAAATAAATTATGATCATCTAGATTCGATTAAATTGTTGCATGTAGTTTTCCTTTTTATGATAAATGCACTGATAATAGTTTTCAATTTTCTGATTTTTATTTTTTTAAACTATTTATTTATACACATTTATTATATTCAATTTTACCACATTGAAAGTATTTAAAAATAATTATTCATATTTATTTGTAATATAATATTTATTTATCGCGTGCAGAGTAAATTCGAATGAAAATATTCCTCTTTATTATTATTTATATTATAATAACTAACATGATTTATGTGTATCAATAATGTGTTTATGGGTGCATTTTTTATTTAATCTATTTGAAATTTTAATATTAAAAGTATAAGATAATATCATACATTAAATACATTTTATAATATTTTATTAATTAACAAATAACGATATGTGTAAAATGCGTTTTAAATAATAACTACATGAGAACGCAAGATAAATCCTGTTAGCTTGAAACGAAAAATAATCGGTTCCTACATAAATTAAATCTGTTGAAACTTTATCTCTTTTATTATATAGGTTCGAAAATTCTCTTCTTTCGAAGTTTTATCCAATTAACTTTTCTTTTCTGACAGTTTCCATACACGTGTTAGCGCGTGTCAAATGTGCCGAATTCCACTGAAATTAGCTAATGCTTCGGAATATAGAAAGTTCATTCTTAAAATTCATACTGACCATGGGTAACGGATGGTCAGTATCGTGCATGCGACCATTCTTTATTGTATAAATATGAACCATGTTTTTTTCTTGATTAGAAAACATTAACAATCGGTATCAGGTAGCCTGCACGCAGAGAATTTTCTCTTAGAATTTACTCTGCAAATCATAGTAATCGTGCGACAATATGGTATTGGAAGAATCTTATAAAAGTTTCTCTGATTAATATTTATCACAAAAATTCTTAGTAAAATTTACTATGTACATATTAATATTTTTATTGTGGTAAATATGAATCAGAGAAACTCTTATAAAATTCTCTCTTATAAGAGGCTCTTATAAGAGACTTTTATAAGATTCTTCCAATACCATATTCGTCTCACTATTACCATTTTCAGGGTACATTCTAAGAGAAAATTTCCTCTGTGTGGTAGAACGATAATTGTTTAAAACGAGAGCAGAAGTAAGAGATTTAAAAATATTATTGAATCTGCACTCCTAATCTTCTCTAAAGAAACGAAATTCTTGTCAGAAACGAAAGTCGAAAAAATTCAGAAAAGATTACTTAAAAGATACATTATAGAGTATACCTTGTGCCTCCTCATCTGCTTCGAGAGACGACACCCATGAATTTCCAATCTACTCTTTCGAAAATTCGTAGAATTTTTTTCTTTTGCCATCCAAGTATTGTACTTTGTCGGCGCCCTTTTTATAGACGATAGACGTTCCGTCAAGATCAGGACTCGGGTACATCATCGACCACAAAAGTCCTATATTCATATCGACGTGTCGCGAGTTTTTTGACAGCTTTGCTCGTCAGCAATCGATCGAAAACAAATTCCTTCGGTGTTTCGGGTCGGTCGCCTCTCTCGCACTGTAGCTCGCTTATTCTTACGACCTCCCTGTTTACGCTCGCTCCACCGTAACCTTGAATTGCATAATCCGGACGTTCGTACGCGTGCGCCGCCTCAATGAAAGGCGAATCTCGGCCAATCAGCCGCAAGTTCGGTGCGTGAGGGAATCTCACGCGCGAAATGCGTAGGCGCGTCCCGAAGAGAGTTCTCTCTATTGCGCGATATCGCCGCCGATTTTCGCTCGTAAACGAAGACTATAGCGATATACAGGGTGCTAAACAAGTACGAACAATTTTTGACGATTCTTAAAAACTATTGATTTTACAAAAAAAATACAAACAACTTTCTCTAAAAAAATCAAACTTTCTCACGCATATTTTTAGATAATCATATTCCGTTAAAAAGTTCTGATAAAATATTCTATAAATAGGGGTTGTTAGTTCCATCCCCTTATGACGATATAGGAAGATTAAGAAAATATTAATAAATATTTTTTTTGTTAGTGGAAAGAATATTCATCGAGTTTCATTTTTTTAATTTGTCTGAAATATGAGAAAAAAATAAAAATGCCTCCCGAGAAGAAGAAATAAAAAGTATCTTCTATACTTCTCCCAAGAAAGTCAGGTGGGACATACATATGCGCGTGTTTTTCTTATCTCGGTTACACAATCGAAAGTGTTTCTTATTCTTATCGTATTTTAATTTATCATACTTAAAAACACTGTCACACCTTCAAACGCGATCGTTAATTAACGTGTTAAGAGATATTCTGAATATAAAATTAGTATTCATGTACAGCATGCTGCCGCAGTTTGTTGCTATTGATGAAGTTCAATTGAGGAAAGTCAGCTGCTGCAGCATGCTGCGTATAAAAAGACACCTGAAAACAGCATGTAACCCTTTGCACATGCTCTGGCGGTGACATTAGGTCGGATTTATATTATAAATTTTTATATAATTAGGACATTTGTGCGCGCGCACGATCATGAAATTGATATGTAACTTGAACATAAAAAGATACATTAAAAAGAATAAAATATATATGATCCACGAAAAACTAGATATTATTCGACCATTAACACATTTTTTACCAATAATAAAACCTTAAAAAACTCCAAAAAATTTTCATAAAAAATCACGTCGATATACATGAGTTCTATTATTTAAAAAAATTGCCAATTATTTATGATTAACAAAAACGCAATTGTTTTTTATTGTTTCAGCAGTGGCTCCATTCTATAATCGACGTCCTGGAGCCGCGACCGGAGCTTCGGTGGGAGCTTTACCACCGACCCGAGCATCCAGCACCACGGACGAAGATCATAGCGGATTGTCCGAGACGGAGAACATCTCTCCGGATACGTCGCCTGACATTCGGCGAAATCGCCACGCCGCTTCCGGTCAGGACTCGTCGCGCAGGAAACGCCGCGGCAACCTGCCCAAGGAAGCGGTGAACATCCTTAAGCGTTGGCTGATGGAACATCGGTACAACGCTTATCCCAGTGAGAGCGAGAAGCTGCATCTCAGCGAGCTTACTCGGCTCTCCATCCTACAGGTTAGTATAATTGTTTTCAATTTAGCTCTTATCGCCTTTTATATGTATATTAATCCATGGAAATATCCTTTTATCGATTTTGTTAGAATTTTAGACCATTTTTTCCAACCATTTTAAACCATTTAGACCATTCAGACCATTTTACATGTTTCTTTTCCAGGTGTGTAACTGGTTTATAAATGCCAGGCGACGTATCCTGCCCGAGATTCTACGCAAGGATGGTAAGGATCCTCAGAACTATACGATATCGCGTCGAGCTCGTCGTAGTGTTCAGAGCGGTTCTCGCCAGGGTCGACGGGCTGATCAGTCGGACCTGATTGAAGAGGTGCCGAGGCCCCAGAATTGGGATTTCCACGGCGTGGAAAGAGCGGTTGCCTCGCCACAGGGGGACATTCGTGATTTGGAGAGAGATCACGATTATGACGAGGAAGCTGCATATCGGTAAGTTGTCATTCTTTCTTGTTTCCCCAACGTAGTAGTTAGCGCGAGAGAAAATTCCGCTGACTTCACCGACACTTACTGACGCGACATCACTGACTTCTTGAAGTGTACGTCTAAAAAAAAAAGAAAAAAGAAAAATAAGTGACCAAAGCAGGAAGAAAATTGCTTACCCGCTTATTACTCATTGATTCGCTACTGACTGAGGCTTTTGAGGGAACATTTTGAGACAGATTGTAAGAATTAGATTAAATATACGAAAATACTAGATATATCATTCAAGATTTACCTACGCAGAAGCGAGGACAGTCCGAACGATTACGAGAGCAGTCCGAACGATTATCACAGCGAGGAGGAACGTCCTTTGATACGATGGCCCAACGTAATCGTTCGACCCTATGCAGAAAACCAAGTCGAACAGTTAGATGCCGACGATATCTCTCATCCTTCTGCTCGACGAAGGCAAGTTTTGTATCGGTACAATGATTGTGTTCGATGCAAAAGGACAGACAAATAGCAAAAAAATAGCAGAAATTACCTGCTCAATCATTGTGAGATTATCTGCTTAATTGCAATTTGCACAGTAAACTTTCAAGACGTTCGCGCGATCGCGAACATAAATAATTAAAAATACCAATAACAAAGAAAAAAAGACTGAAAAATTGATTAAAAGCAAAATAGATCAAATGCTTTAACTACGAAAGAGTCAGTGTTTTGTATATTTTTAAACTTGATGAATTAACCAGGACATTTCTTTTACAACAGAAACGACAACAATTCCGAGAGTTCCCACGACAACTCCAGCGGCGAACCTGCTGCGTATTGGAGCGCTCCTCGGGAACACCTGTCGGCAACTCCTGGTGTTCAACAGCAGCAGCAGATGGAACTCCACTATCGTGGTCTACCGCCTCGCACCCTCGAAAACGCCTACGCGCACCAGGACAACGGCGACTCCTTCAGGATGCTCGTAGAGATCGCCGTGGCGAGTCCATACGAGCCTCCACGACAGCGATCGCCCTTAGACGATCCTTAAAAAGGGATAAGGGTGGAGAACTTTTCACCAGTGTTGTCAGTGACAAGGGCAACGAAGAACAAGAATGACGTTCCTTGCGCGTTTAGTGCCGACAGGATGCGTTGGGGGAAAAGAAATTAAATTAATTTTTAACTTTTCTTCTTCGTTGTCCGTATTAAAAAAAAAGACAGAAAAAAACAAAAAAAAAGCACAAAAAACAAAAGTTAAAAAAATTTGTTAGACTTTATATGGAGTAAAAATTGTTATTCGCTCGGCAATCGATATGTTCCTCGCGTTTGCCCACGATACTAATACCAAAATGACGTTAAAATCCGGCCGTTGGATTTTTATATCGTGTGTCGCGTTTTATGTTTTTAAACTAGCGTTACATTTTTAATTCTTGAATCAGTCGGATAGCTAATAACGATGATATGTTGAACGACGAGTGCGGTTTTTCTCTCCGTTCCTCGTTTCCGAAAGCTATTGACAACGACGCGTTTAATCCATACCGTAAACAGGTAGCATTGCCTGGTATATCCTGATCTTATTATATAAATAAATTACGAAAAATGAAAGAAAATTCCCTTTTGCGTTCAACTGCGAAACATCGGACAAAACACGTGTAAACGCGTGCGTTAACATGGACGTAAAGGGGATTTATCAACTTAACCGAAACCAGCGAGTGCCAAAGTGCTTAACCCGAGCATCACGAAACTCTGCCTTAATTAAGAGAAACAAGTCTGAATAATATGTATAAGCATGTTCTATTAAAAGAAAAGAAAACGAAAAAAAAGAGAACAAAAAAGTAACCGCACAAGTACAAAAGTTATATTCGCTCTTCGAGAAGTACGTTCGTCGTTAGTTAGCTGATTAGAGGTAAATGAAATGAAAATGATCTATACGCGGCATCGAGACTATATCGTTTCTAGTAATAGTGTTCCTCTGCTCACGGTAATCTTTTTGTTTTTAACTCCGATTTTTATGTCGACATAAAGATACATACATATACATATGTATTACAGTTTCGAAGTACATAATATACCATATCTTTACCTCCGTAGTATATACGTAAACTGTTACAGACTTAATGATATGGCGAAGCAAAAAAACAAAAAAAAAACAGCACAAACCCCGAAAGACTGCGAGATGCTAATTACTACTGATAACATGCATTCTTGTCGAAGTAAAATAGATCGATCACTCGATCCGCTTTAGGAAATTTTGAAAATATAATTGACATGATAATTTTCAATGTGACACGAACATTAATTAATACTGTGTCATTCGATCGATCGAGACGCGATCTCTTGTATTTATTCATCTGATGATTCATTTAATAATTTCTGCGCGAGTGTTTCTCTATAAAATTTTAATGAAAATTTTGATCGTCCGATCCAAGTCGTTTCTGAATTTCATTAACCTTTATAAAGAATCTTGAATATTTTCTCTCATCCTCGCGTTTCGCATTTATCTCGTGTATATCGCAACGTGCATTCTAAATCAAAATTAGCTCGAACGAGCGTGACAAAAATATATATATATATATATATATATATTTGCCAGTATAATGCATTTTCGCGTTTTTTCGAAATCGATAAAGAGACTTCTTCTCGTATCGTATCGTTTTGCAACGCGTCGATGAAAGAAGACTAATGAAATTGAAGGAAATGATGAGAAGATGAAGGCTTTGCGTATATATGTACATATGTTGTGTATAAAGACAAATGTAAAATGCGTCAACGAGACACATAGGCCGAGATCTTAGAGAGTGAAAGTGAGTGAGAGAGAGAAGTATGCAAGAAACCAAAGACTCTTATTTTTAATTACTAATAATTAAATTATAATCGCTCATCGTTCCCCGAAGTTGCGACAGTTGTGACGTTGCGATTTTTGTGTAAATGTTACAAAGGGACGAAGCGAATATCGCCTGAAAGAACCGCATTCAGGCCGACGTTGCATTGTATATTTGCAAATTACTACGAATAGTCGGTCTCATTAGAGAGGCCCCTTTTCGCGGACAGAAAGGCGAATGTTCAATGAATAATATTGTTAATTGTACGGTTGAAATTTATTTTTTAATATGACACTCTTGATATGCTACTTGTTGTTACAGTGATAAGGATAATTTCTATTAGCGGCGAAAAATTATGCGAAGGGGAAGAAAGAGAGAGAGAGAAGGGAGGGAGAGAACAGATGAAACGAAAATTTTGACAAACGCGAGGGGGAAGGGGGGAGCGAGACAAAAGGAATGATGACAGGTACATAATAAGATGTCAAATATCGCACAACAATGCAAGAAACTATTCACGCGGAAAATTCCCGTGTGTGTTTCGCGTACTTCCTCGTTATATATACGTAAATTAACAATACTAGGTAAAGAGATATTTATCTAATATTGATAGAAATTTCCGTTTTCAATTTCTTGACTATTTTTTTATTTAGAGAAACTTTTCTTAACATATTGATCTGAAGGTCGAGCGTTGTCGCGAGATCAGCACACATGTATTTTCTTTTTTTTGTTTTATTAATTTTTTTATTTTTTTTTTTCTACCCCTTTTCCTTTCGTTTTAACGAAAATAACAAGCAGTCGGTTTCTTGTACTTTTAAATGTTTCGTTTATTCATTTCTTATTGTATTTCTTCTTCTTTTTTTCTTCCTAATTTTACTTTTGGAAAGAGCCGACGAGTCGATTCGGTTGTGAATTAAGATTAGAGTGATTGTTAATTATTCTTATCGTCTTGATATTTATAATCTAAACGGTGCGCAAACATACGCCCGGTGCAAAGTGCAAAAATTATACAGGGTGTCCCAAGAAGGATCGAATTTCTGGAGGAATCTAAAATCGAGATTTCCTTAGTGAAGTTATCGAGGAAAAATTGTAATTTATTGCCAATTTTTTATGATTACATTTAATATTATATTAAATATGTTAATATTATGTTTGCCATATACATTTCTATAAAATTAATTATTCGATAATTATACTAAATATTTATAATAAATATAAGCTTTCTCTAAGAAAAGATGATAAAATAGTTAAATTTATATTTTCTCAATATCTGATAAACATTAAAAAAAATTAAATATCTGATATACATAATTAATGTATCAAATGTCAAATTTTCAATGAAATCCTATTTTTATAGATTCAAAGATCTATTTTCATAAAACTGCTCAAATTTTTCATAATATATTTTCCGAGATAAACTGTAAATAGAAAATTATATTAGACTAAAGGCTATAAATAAAAAGAATTTACTGTAAATTAAGATATTGCGTCTAATCTATCTTTTTCAAATTTTATTTTCGAGAAATCCGCGTCATTCATTTCGCAACACTTTTGCTGAGGAATGATTCCAAGCTCTTAAAGAATCTGTCGTAGATATTAAAATCGCGAAGGGTGGGACATCCTGGGTATATATCGTAGGTCGTAAATTATTGTGGATCACCGTGCTTTTACAAAACGGAACCACACTGCCATAGCGAGCCAAGTGTCTAAATCTCGACCTTTATTCGTTTTTTTGATTTTTTTTTTTTTTTTTTTTTTTTTTTTTTTTTTTAATATTGTCGACCACATACATCTCGTATATTGTGAACGCGTGTAGAATAATTTGGAGAATCATCGGGAGATGATCGAGATCCCCGACAGTTACTATCGTACAAAAAAACTGAACGACCTAGAATTAAGTGTGCCTTTTTACTGGGACGTCCCGAGAGGGACGTCTTTTTTAGGGTATAGAACTAATTGCGTACAACAACGACAAGTCGCGGGCAAAATTCGCCAAGAAAATATCGTATATATATCCATAAAATCCGCCATTCAAGTTGACGGCGAACGGAGCTTCCTTATTACATTTAGGATATGTACAATCGTATATATAATCTCGCTCACCCTCGTACAAAAAAAATAATTAATCGGGAAATAGAATAAAAAATCACTCCTTCGAAATCACTTGTTATGTCGATGGAACGGATGGTGTACTTATCGTGTGTATAAGTTCGATTGTAATTTCTAGTATATCAATGTCACGAAAATTCACCGAGTGAGTTACGACGAAGAGAGAAATTAGGGAGATCATGAATATAATTAATAAATCTTATATATATATATATATATATATATATATATATATATATATATTTGCAGAAATAAAATGTGCTCGCGCGGTGAAAGGAAAAATTGTGATCCAACTCGCTTTTCTCGAGACACAATGTTATATGTATAGAGTATTTTATATACAATACATATATATGCGTATGTATTTTATATACATTTAATATGTTATATATATTATATAATATATATATATAATATATTATATAATAATTACCCTCTCCTCTCATATCTCGAAAATCAAACAAATTCTCGATGCAATTCTTCGAGGTCTTCGAAAGAAGCGAGTTAAATCATTAGCGAATTTTCCGTAGGACTCTTTAAGAGATTTTGTACTCCTTTCGCCGCGATTCTAAGCGAAAGAAATTGTTATCGAATTAAAAATTGGCTGCGCATTTGCTGTAAGATACGTCAAATAAATCGAGAAAGAGGAAACTTCCGATCACATTCAGGGGCGGAAATCAGATAGCGGCGATTATTATATCACAACGAGGCAATATATATATCATAAAGATCTTATATTTCGACGTTTTATACACGAAACGAGATGAGAATTTATGCACAGTTCCGTCCGTTATCCGGGCACACATTTACACGTACATATACATACAAGATCGCGACGTTAATTAACCGACTTTGGCGCAAAAGATGAACACACACACATTTACACGCATATATATATACATATATGCGACACAGATATCCGCCGTTTATTAGTTGCACGAACCTGTTGCAGCAGTTTCACTCTCCACGCCGATAAGCATATCGCTCTACCAACTTATCAGACAATAACCGGTTATTTGATGTACCGCAGTTTTTAATTTCGGCTCTTACACACGTACACATACACGCCGTAAACTATATATATACATATATAGTAAGTGCCATATTATCGATTTATTATAGCGCGTACAAGTATATGCTAAGGTCCTCTATAGAGCTAGATATATATATATGTATATTGATTTAAGATGAATTATGTTTAAAACGCGATATATATATATATATATATATATATATATATATATATATGCGACTATAAATGCGTATACAGGGTGTTCGGTAACTAACGGACCAATGATTAAGGGCGGATTCTCTGGCCAATTTGGAGACGATTTTTCCTTAGCAAAAATGTTGAGAAGTCAATAATTTTCGAGTTATAAGCGATTAAAAAAAATGGGTTTTTTGAAAACTAAACGTTTTGAAGTTAAAAGTCTAACATAATTGCATTCTTCAGTTAATTTCAGGTAGAGTTTACTATAATAAAATTTGAATTTGAGGCTTAGTTATAAAGATAGATAATGACAAATATTGGAAAGTTGTAAAAAATGATGACCTTTTTCGACATTTTCGCTGAGGAAAAATCGTTCCCAAATTGACCAAAGAATCCATTTGTAATCGTTGGTCCGTTAGTTACCGGACACCCTGTATATGCGCGCATTGTTTTCTTTTTTTTCCTCTCATCCTTCCCGTTTCGATCGTATTCTTCGTACGTGATTTGTTCGAATTATTATTATTATTATTATGCGATTTGTTATGAAAGAGGGACTCGCGCGCATCCTGACACGCCGACAAAATTTTCTTCATCCCTCGTCGAGAGATGACGTAAGGAAAGAATTCTTTTTTCGCAGGGCGATCTTCCGCGCGCGAGGATCGCGCGAGCCTTCGAAGATTTCATTTAGGATTAGTATTATCGTATTATGAGAAAAAAACCTTGTTCGTTCCACAGACAAATATAATAAAATATGTTGAAAAACCTTTTAAATTTTCTGCGCGTTTCTTTCCTTGCTAAAGGACCTTCACCAGAAACAAACATCCCATATTTATAAAACTAATAGTTTAACGTGTCATCAATATTTTTAGATTTATTTTTGACAAACACGTTTGAATAATTCTACAAAAATACTTGTCATTGGAAAGAATTATTTGACACAATGGCGAAAAATATTTAGTATATTATTTCAATATTGCCTAATAAATCATTTATTTGAAGCAATATTTCTCTATCTATTGTAAGGGATTTTCTTATATCAAATAAATATTTTTCACGTCAAATCAATATTATTAGTTTCAAATAAATAATTTATTATGCAGTATTGAAATAAATACCTATTCGAATTTAATAAATTTTTTAATTTATATATTTTTGTCGAGTTTCAATATTATAAAAATATTGAACAGACACTGTACAGCAACAAAAAAGGGAAGAAGAAAATGTCTGAAAATTTTGAGGGGCCTATTAGGGGATGATTCGACACGCGACCCCGGCCTTATTCTTACTCCTATCGTTTTCGTTATTGTTAACGGTAATCTCATTATTACGCTCTGCAACCGTAACCACCTTTCCCTGTTTAACCCCCTTTTTCTCGTCTTCGCGACTCTTGTATACCGCTATCTTTGCGTATGGACGTACCTCGATTTTGCCCTTTTTTCATTCTCCAGCCGGCTGTAGCTCCTTCATTTGCGTAAACGCCTCTCTTCCTTTTCCACGTGTGTCTCTTCGTTCTCAATATCGATTCCGTATTTAGATCCAGAAAAGAAAGAAGAACTCGCTCTCTTTCTCTCCCCCGAAGATCGAGGTTCATCGCAAATTATCTCTCCTAAAGTCCTTTGCGAGGACAAACTGTGAAATAACAAGAAAGGGAGATAGAAGATCGAATTTGGCATATTTAATTCTCTTTTAGAAAATAATCTTGATATATTTTTTTATGCTTCAATAGTTGCTTTTGCATTATATTTAATTTAAATTAAATTTCTATGTTTTTTATTTTATATCTATGATTTATTTAATTTAATCACATTTATTTTATTTCTAATTTAATTATTATTTAATTTAATCTTATCATTTTGTATCTTAAAATTTATTTAATTTAAGGAAAATTTAGAGAGTTTTTGTGCACATGTAGAAGTATTATATAATATGCATATTATTATAGAGAAGTTAGATTAAGAATAAAGATATATATATGTGTATATATATATATATATATATATATTATATTTAACATATTCACTTTAATTTTGATATATACCTTGCTTCGGGACCACCTGTTGTCACAACCTTGTTTCACAGAAGGCAGGATGCGTCTTCTTCCAGTAGATTGTGCCAAGTATTTTCGAATACTAAAACGGTTCCTTCGAGAACGGAAACCAAGAAGCAGAAGAAAGAAGGATATTATCGATGTTTATTTGGATTTTTTTATTAAGCTTCAAGTCGATGTTTATCATACCTTCTTCGTAAGAGATGTAAAAAAGTACAAAGGTAACAAGAAACAGATACAATAATACCTTTATATGTATAAAAGAGCTAATAAGAGTCATGATATAAAATAATCTTTTCAATTTTATTAATTTTTATTTTATTAGTTATCATTGATTTTATTTTATTATTTATTTTGCGCTCTTCTTTTCGCGCTAGTTCTTCATAGCCTAATATTAATTTTGTTTGATTATTTATTTTATTTTACATAATATATGACGCATAAATAAATATATGTGAATTAATATAATATATATAAAATATAATATATTATATAATATATTATATAATATATTATATCATTGATTTTATTTTATTATTTATTTTGCGCTCTTCTTTTCGCGCTAGTTCTTCATAGCCTAATATTAATTTTGTTTGATTATTTATTTTATTTTACATAATATATGACGCATAAATAAATATATGTGAATTAATATAATATATATAAAATATAATATAAATAAATAAATAAATATATATATATATATATATCTAATAAAATATATAATATATAAATTTATATCTCCGAGATGGCAGTATAAAAATAAAATATATGGCTATCAAATATTAATAATTCATCGAGCGCAAGGTCGCACTTGGGGGAAAAAGAACAGGGTAGACCCGAGGAAGGGGAGATGCAACGAGTCTCCGGCGCGCGAAATTGCGATCAGTCTGAAAAAGTCGGCGAACGTGCGCGCGAGCGACTGACACAGCTCTTTGCGTGCGCACGCAACCGAATCCGGCGCGCCACGCACGTTTGATGTTTCGCGAAAAGCGCGAAGAGTCGAAAAGCTACGTTCAGAGTTGATTTTTCGAGAACGCGCGATGTTACGAGAGGAAAATATTCGGACCGACGTCGCGTATCGCTCGCGAGAAAAATAACGAAATTTCGGCAGTGGACGTCGTATTCTCGACAAAGTGCTCTCCAAACAGATTCGAGATGTAAGATGAAAATAACGTGATACAGCATCTGTCGTAATTAAAATATAAATTCATTCAAAAATTGATAGAAACGTGCGGAGACTATATATAAAATATTTAATCTTGCGATTCGCGCCAAAAAATTGCCCGTGACATTTGTTGCGCGCGAAAAGAGACGGGGATTGAGACGAGTTTTGTCCACCCTCCATTAAATAAATTAATTAATCGTGCTAATATATCGAACCGATCCGACTCGGAGCAGGAGACCAAGGCGGGATGAAGCGCCGATTGACATCCGCGTGCGATGACAGGTGACAGATGATCGGCTGGGCGAGTCGCGGGAAGCAGCGATATCTCGATATCTCGATATTCGTCCGCCCATCCATTCTCCGGATAGGCACGAAACGGAACGGGCGTTAATAAGGAACGAGAACTAGATCGGCTCGATCTTTATACTTTTTCTTTCTTTTTCTCTCTGTCTCTTCCTCCTTTTCCAACCTCCTCTCTATTTTTGTGACCGACGATGCCCGGATAAAAGGGACACTTTTTAAGTACAAAAACGAACGAAATATGCGCGCGTGAAAAACTGAAGATCCACGCAACGCGTAGTGTGCCAGCACACTGTTAATCAACTCTGTTAATCAGTGTGTATCAAGATTTACCCTACATATCACCGGCGTCGATCCGAGCCGCTGCACGAAGTCGCGAAACATCGCGCCTGTTGTTGTGAATAAAGGTAAGAAAATTTATTAATTGGTAATTTATCAATCACAGTCATCTTGAATTTAATCGACTTTCCGCGCCTCTCTTCATCCCTCTTTCTAATTTTATTTATAACAATTTGAATACTGCATTTTTTTCTTTCTGAATTTTTCATAATTATATATAAAATTTTATTCAATATATACAATCAAAAATTTATAATAAAATATTTAGTTTTTATAAAAAAATCAGAATTATTCTAAACATGTTGTAGCTATTTTATTGATATTCTTACAGCATTGGATAATTCTTTTCAATAATAACGATAATAATCAGGCTTAGTCGAGCATCAAACACTATTTCTTCTGCATGCTAATCCCTCCAAGTTTTTTCTTCGTTCCGCCGTTCGATTTTTTTAGTCCATTCAATTCGTTGTTGATTTAATTCAAAAAAGCGTTGCCGGTCGATAATGAACAGGTGGATCTCCGGACGATTTGTTGAAGCGAGCGAACGGATTAATCTCCGTGGTTAAGGCACGTGTAGTGGAATATGATATACTTCGGTGAGGTTTATGATTATACTACCGAGCGCAGCATCGATTTAGCAGCATCCATTCACATTGGATGCAGCATAACGGTCGGCGCATTTATACTTTCGCGATGAACGTATACATCTTCTAGGAGAACACTTCTGCGAGAAGAATCGATCTCACATTATGCAACATCTCTCTCTCGCGAAACAGAATTTCGCGTCTCCTTCCGCAACACAGACCCAGATAGACAGTGTTTGCTGATCAATAAAATTATATAAATATCATCTAGTTAGAATTTTAGCGGCATCTTATCTTTACATAGATAATAGAAATATGTATTATCTATATCTGCATCTTAGATATGAAAAAGTGTTTTTTTTTTACTGAAATTAATATAATTATTTAGAATAATTTTTATTTTTATTTAAATATATTTAAAGAAAATCATCCTCATCTTATCTAAAATGAATTGAATTTACATATTTTTATCTCATCTTTATTTAGTTAATTTTAAAATATCTAAGCACAACACTGCAGGTACACAAAAAACCCCGAATAACATCGCTGATGACATCACTTAAAATTTATTTGGGAAAACATTTTTATATATTACAATTATTTATTCTATTGTTCACACATATTCTAACAGTATTCAAGCCACATAATTTTTTGAAAATTATATAAAGCGATTATCTTACATTAGGAAGCTTTCTATATGATTCCTTTTATCATCTTTAATCTAAATCATTTTTTAATCATTTTTGTCCAGCCAACTTTTAATTGATGAATAAAATTATGATGCGGTCATTATGAGTTTTATGTTCTATCTGGAGAATCTTATATTTATTTCCGAGACTACGAATTAAAGCGTTTTATCGACAAAATCTAAAACATTAACGAAGAAACGAGATCCACTTATTAATTCTGCACAAGGTTAGATAATAACTAGTTAATTAGTTAAAAGTTAAAAAACAATTTTAACTTCAACTAGTTATTTTTAATTTTAAACTTATTAACTTTTATTCTAAGTTAAATTTGTTTATCTCTGAATATTATTATTTTTTTATAAGTTATAATATTATTTTTAAAATAAAGTATTATTAATTTTTATAATCATTTGTCATCAATTGTAATTATCAAAAAATATATTTCTATATAAAAATCAAAATTTCTTTGTTGTTTGTTATTATAAATTTTAAAAGAATAACCAACAAAATTCTAATTTAATATTAACTTAACTTTAACTAAGTTAATTTTTAACTTAATTTAAAACGTTTACGTTGTATAATGTTTCTCTAATGGAATGAGAATTTAATTATTAATAAATCTTTATATCTTATGTAATTTTGCTCGTTTAGTTGGCCTACAATATTTATTTCTTTTAATTTCGTTAATTTATACGAGCCTTTCATCAATTAATTTTAAGTTAATTTTTTGTTCATACAACTTTTAACTTAACTAAATTAATTTTATAAGCAATTAACTTGAACTTAACTTAGTTTAAAAAAATCATTACATAGCTTACCCAATCCTGATTCTGCATCATTAAAAATTTGTCTGAGAGTTTTAAAATTTCAAGATCCTCATCATTAACTTGTTTTTCTCGACGAAAACAAATATGAGAGGAATAAATATTAAATCGTATGTTTAGATTTTGTAAATGACGCGAATACAAGTTCATGCATCGCGCATTTAGTGAGTACATAAATAAAAATTTATCTTTGCGAACGGTACTTGCATTCGTTATCGAAAGAACATTATATATTATATAAAGTCACGTGTCGAGACCTCGTCGGCATTTCGCGGTTCTTTCGAAAATCCGGATTTTCCTGCCAGTTCGACTAATAAGTATAAGCTCATCCGACGGGTTTCAAGTCTGGATCTGAACTTACATTAGTCGTGTCCCCCGAGGCGATATCCGTACTATGACCTTATAACGATCGTCCTGTCACTAGAACGCGAGTCCGCTATCAATTCTTATTCTCACAATTAACTCACCTCGATTTCTGACTGATTCGTTCTTGTGTGATTTCTTCATTACTCTTCCTCAATTAGAATCCTTCATTATTTTGCAATATAGTAATAAGTTACACAAACGAGTAAAGAATTAATTGCTCGAAAAGACATATGTATGTATAAATTTTATTAATTAAATGCACATCTCTCTTATTTATGCATATAAAATTAATATATATATATAATTGCTCTCCTTAATTTTCCACATCGAAAGAATAAGCATTATTTTTGACGAAATAATCTTTTGCACATATATACATATAAATAATATTCAAATTATATTTATAATTTTTTTGTCTTGTAAAAGAAAGATCTGATCTTGTATATATCATATGCAGGGTTGTGCTTAGATGATTTTAAAATTAGCTAGATAAAGATGAGATAAAAGTATGCAAATTAATCTTATTGTTAGATAAGAATGATATCGTTAGATAATAATGAAGATGATTTTGTTTTAAATATATCTAGGTAAAAGATAAAATTATATGTATATGGTAATTCATCTAGATAATAATTTTTAAATCTGCTTATATGTAAACACAGTTATAAAAGGGATATAAAAATATATGTATATTCATATTTATAAATTTGTACCTTTAAGTATTTTTATGTAGTACGATTCTAAATCAAAATTATCTGGCAATTATTCTAGATAATTTAGTAAAGCCAATACTTTTTTTCATCTAAGATGCAGATATATATATATATATATATATATATTATATTTATTATATCTATATAAAGATAAAAGAATGGCACCAAAGTTTTATCTATATAATTTTATTTAGATAACAGCAAACACTGATCGTGTGATAATTATAATGATATTATTTGAACAAAGTTTAAACAGAAGCTTTGCACACATCCTATATTCTCATTTGCATTCGCATCTGGATCACCATAATTTACATGTGACACATTCGCTGCACGAATCACCACGTTCGCTTTCGCTATGATAGCTATATATATTATATATGTATATGGCAAATCTCGGATTACAGAAGCACGATCTCGTGCATGTTTGCGCATTAATGAACGTGTGCGTGCCGTCTTATGAAAGGAATGTTTGTATTACGTCGAAAGGGGACGAGAGGAGAGCGATCACGATATGCACAATAAATCTCTAGAAATCAGCGATTTGTAATCTGTAACACTGCACGTTACATGTCAAGGAATAAAATATAGCAGATTTTTTTTTTAAATTATTACCCTCTTAAAAGAAAATTAAAATATTGTGAAATTTCAATTTCTCAAATTTGCCCTCCCCAATTTAAATGAGTTTTTACCTAATCTAATTTTTTTATTATTATTAATTATATCTAAAAGTTTCACGAAAATATTGTAGCAGATTTTTTGAGATTATTATTTTATTTTTATATTTTATATTTACATATTGCTATATATATTTATCTTTTTAATATTATTGTTATCTTTAAAAAAATCAAAATTGTGATCTTTAAATTTTTCAAATCTGCCCCAATATTTAAATGCGTTCCCATCTAAAAAATTTAATTGTTGTATCATTACTAAAAGTCTCGTGAAAATAATGTAGCAGATTTTTTGAAATTAATGCCCTCTTATAATTAGAAGAAACTTAAAATTGTATAGTATATTTGTCAAATCTGCCCCTATATTTAAATGCGCTTCCACTTAAAAATCTAATGTTCTTAAATCATGGTTAATGTACCCAAAAGTGTGTCGTAAAAAGCGGTCAAAATTAATCCAACTCTTTCAATCTAATTTTTCGGTTCTATTATAAGAATAATAAAAATAATATCTATATATATACAATATATATATATATATTCTTCTTTTTGTTACAGAGTATGTAATTATTACAACTCAGTTTTTAATTGTTCGTTCATGAACTAAACATCCGCACGTGTCGCATACAATTAGAAAGTATGTAGTTGATTACGACCGCGCGATAATTAGTCCTCGTCACACCTGGCTACGCGCGCACATTAAATAAATTTATTCGACGTAAATTAATTTATTCGACGAGGCGTTTCTATCGTGCACTTGGCACTTGATCGTGGCAATCTCTCGGAGGTCATAATCTGAAAATAAATCATTTCGGTTACTAATCGAGCGAGTAAATCTATTCGCGGATATCATCTCGGACGTCGTCTTTTTATTCCTTTATTTTACATTTCCCGGGTATATATATATGATCGAGAAAATATATATATATATATGATCGAGGATTAATTCGGAAAACAAATATTCCGCCGCTTGATTTGACAAGAGAATTTGTATTGAACAATAAATGAATGAATTTGGAATGTAGATGGATAATTTTATCTTTTTTTTTCGCAAAAATCATTGAGAGCGCAATTCTTTAATACGGGGTATTATACCGTTAAGCGCGGGCACTAGGTCAGGAATTTGTTACATTTTGATGCGAAGGAATGTAAAATGCATACATCTGTATGGATGTGTATATATAAGTTGCAGCATGCGTCCGAAGCAAAACACGACGTAACACGTGTTTTTATTCATCGAAATTGGCTCGTCGCGCAATTCAACCGCGAAACGATTTTAGGCACCAAAGATTCTTGACTAAAGATATTTAACCGAGGAAAAATTAATAGGACGATAAGATAAATGATGTATTGATCGTGTCTTTCTTTTGAAACGCGAAAAAATATAAATGAAATTTTATAACGTTAAATAATAGTAGTAAATCTCTTTTCAATGAATAATGTAAAAAATTCCGTTCAATTAAAAAGAAAAGAAATGTATAAGATATGCGGTGTTTAAGGAATGCTCTATGCAAAATGAAAATTTTCCTCATTTATTTATATATTCTTAAATAAAGCCTAATTAAATAATAATTCAAATATTGTCGATTTTCTAATATTTTTCTATCAAATTTTTTAAAAATAGCTTCCGGCTTAAATAAAATTAATTCTGATCATAAACAATTTTAAAAGGATAATTAATAGACATATAATATTTTGTGACATTTAACTTTGAATGAGCTACCAGACTCGACAAACGCTATCGCGTCGAACATCCCCAGGTAGAATATAAAACTCATTGTCAGAAGACTTAAAAGTGATTTTGAAAAACAATTTTTATATACATATATTACAATTATTTATTTATTCACACATATTCTAATAATATTCAAGCAACATAATTTTTTTGAAAATTATAACAATTATATAATATTAGGAGGATTAAAATCTGATTCCTCTTGTCACTTTTAAATCATTTTTTAATCATTTTCCCCAGATAACTTAAGTAATGAATAAAATCATGATGACGTCACTTAAAAGTGATTTTGGAAAACAATATTTATATATTACAATTATTAATTTATTTTATTGTTTACGCATATTTTAACAATATATTCAAGCAACATAAATTTTGTGAAAATTATATAAAGCAATTATATTAGGGGGATTTAAATCTATGATTCATCTTGTCATTTTTAAATCTTTTTTTAATCATTTTTCTCCAGGTAACTTTTAGTAAAGTAATGAATAAAATCATGACGACGTCGTGAGAACAATTTTTATATATTACAATTATTTATTTATGTTATTGTTTACACATATTACTAACAATATTCAAGCAACATAATTGTTTGAAAATTATATAATAAAGCAATTCCTTTTATATTACATTAGGGGGATTTAAATCTATGATTCGTTTTGTCATTCTTAAATTATTTTTCCGCAGGTAACTTTTGATGAATAAAATCATGCGATGATGTGATGATTTATCTACCTGGGTCCCGTCGTCTCATCCGAATAAAAGACGCATCCGAATCTCTTGAACCGGTAAAAAGCGGTCGGGGATGATGAGGAACCACCTTAAAGACGACCCGGTTTTCGTAGCGGGAGCTAACGGTGTTCCGTCGAAAAATGCGTGCGGTATCGCGGTCGATACATATGTATATATATACACATATCGCGAGGACCGGAACCTAATTACAGGTGCATGCGGCAACTCCGAGGCGCCGTCATGGCCGAGAATATAATTCGTTCTCCTCGCGTGGACGACACCGCCTGCATATCAAAATGCCTACATATATATATATATATGTGCACTTAGCGGTCGGCCTCCTAACTCTCCTCAAGAATTACTTCCTCTTTCCTCTTTACCGAACTTCACTCTCGCCGTGTCGGATGACGATGTGGGCCGCCGGTTCGCCGACGATCTAGATCAAATCGACGTTCGGTTACGTTAGTTTCCGCTGAATTCTCGAGGAGGCTACTTCGCAGAAAATATATATATATACATTTCGGATATGATACCGGTCGGCGTTCGAGATTCCGGCCACGAATCGGGTTAAATGTGGCCAAATTTCGGGGGCAAGTTCATAAAACGCGGTACGTTACATTGATGTGTGTATTTAAATCGGTTGTAATGGATGTGGAGAGGATCCTCTTGTCGTGAACTGTCAAAAATTTAGGCCGCAAGTGTAGAGTTGTCCGATTAAGTTGCATTTTTTTTCGTGGACAAATATTGATGTAGTCTAATTTATATATGTGTGGTATATAGGAAATTGTATTAATAACAATCGAAAAAATTAATCGTGACAAATGTCGCGTATTTATTAGGCTGCTTGATAACTTTTTATTCTCCAAACATAAACTAATAAGCAGAATTATTTTTATAATTTATTTGTGGTAATTATTCTATTTTTATATTTTATTCTATTTTACTTATTTTTCTAGTCATCTATTTATGTATTTTAATTTTTTCCCAATAACTGTGGATCCTGCTTATTTATTTTGTATAGTTATTTTTTTTAATTTATTTTAATTTTTATTTTTGTATGCATTTTTGTCGCGTTTTAAGTGTTTTCATTTTTAATTTATATATTATATTCGGAAATAGATGAAAATATATGTGCAATAAATTATTTGCAATACGTATATAAATTATTTTATTCTAGATACAATTAATTATTATTAATTTATATATTTTTAAATAAAAGTATAATGTACACTTTTCACTTGTAAAAAATTAATTAAAGAGGGGAATAGTTATTATATATATTATATTCGGAAATAGATGAAAATATATATGCTATAAATTATTTATTTTATTTTAGATATGATAAATTATTATTTTTTAATGAAAGTATAATGCACACTTTTCAATCGTGAAAAATTCATTAAAGAGGAGAATAATTTTAATTTACGATCAATATATATTTGTGCTCGGGTGATTCGGATCGCGGGGTTATCGCGATTCGAGAAGCAAACGGTATACGATAACGTGACACGTCAGATATGTGTACCTATATACGGACGAACGACAAATCGAGTTTTTCTGGGTTGAAGTCCCAGTCGCCTGATTCCCCCTTATCCCACGTGGGGTTTTACAGTTTGTATATACTGTTACATCGATCAAAAAGGTACGGAATCGGCCAAAGCCTAGTGAACCCGGTAATCGCGTAAGTAGGGAGACACGAGATGTGTGTTTTCTTCGTATCGCGAAGGGGAGAAAAAAAGATCCGTCGAGACACGCGATCAAGACGCGTTTTTATTGTAATGAAAACGAAGCAATTTAGCCCTGTCTGTCGAGTATGTTTTAATTTTTAATTTTCAGTACCCATCAACCCAAATAAAAGATAAAACTCATAATGACATCATCATGATTTTATTCATCACGTAAAACTTATCTGGACGAAAATAATTTAACGATGACCAAAGGAATCATATATGGTAGATAATCGCTTTATATAATTTTCAAACAATTTTAAGTTGCTTGAATATGAAGAATGAATTTTAAGTCACGTCATCATGATTTTATTCATTATGTAAAACTTATCTAAACAAAAATAATTGAAGCTTCCTAATATAAGACAGTCGCTTTATATAATTTTCAAAAAAATTATCTTGCTTGAATATTGTTGGAATGTGTAAACAATAGAATAAAGAAATAATTATAATATAAAAAAATTAATTTTAAGTAACGTCATCAGCAATGTCATTATAAGTTTTCCGTTCTACCTGGGAGCGCGTAATATAAAATTGATTAAAAAAATGTCATTAAAATACTTATATATATATTTATCAGACGGAATAAAGAAGAGTATAGATATTGTTGGAATGTGTAAACAATAGAATAAACAAATAATTATAATATATAAAAATTGATTTTTCAAAATTAATTTTAAGTAACGTCATCAGCAATGTCATTATAAGTTTTCCGTTCTACCTGGGAGCGCGTAATATAAAATTGATTAAAAAATGTCATTAAAATACTTAGATATATATTCATCAGACGGAATAAAGAAGAGTGTGCGAAGAAATAGCCCCATTATCCCGAAAAGAATTCCGATCTAGCCTCCTTACCCACAAATGAAGTTTCTAATTGGCCGAATTGGCTGAACTCCGGCGACCAGACGCACTCGTCCGGAATATCAATCAGGCGAAAATGTTCTCGCACGCGAACAGGATATTAATCGACACGACGACGACAAAATCCATCGGCGATATCTGTCGGAGAACAATTTTTTTTTCCCTCCCCATGTGCGAATGGAGAGACGTTTTACCGCGCAAGAAGATCCAGTAACGTGGGTACCGTAAGTCTCGCGCGAGTGCGATATACGCGTTGCGATTTATCGCAAATAATTCCGCGGGATCTGTCGTGCGGCCTACTTGAATGAAATGACGCCGGCGCGTCATTAGGAAGACGACAGAATTACGGGGTATTCGTAAATAAGACCATTAATCTAATCCGCGCGCGGTCTACAATCTGCAAAGCCGTGAAAAACATCTCTCTCTACGGTAAACACCTATACCTTTAAAACACCAATTAACTACCTCCTCTGCGGTTGAATTTTGCTGTACCTTTTTCTGCAAAGCGTATAGGGCAAAAGGAACCTTTCGACGCAGGAATCTTAATTATTTTCTATTTTTTCATACTCATACCTGACAATTATTTGCTATAACTGTTATCAGCAGCTGCTCGGACGACAAGATGACGCGAAGAGGACTTTTGCTGCTACTCGGTCTGGCCCTGCTGAGAGAAACCTCCGGGAAAAATGTGGAGAAAAACGAAGAGGCCTCCAATGAACCGCATCACAGGCAGAAGAGGGTCTTCTGGTTCACGAACGACGGACGGATCGCGCTTCCACCTGGCACGATTATGACGATCACGCCGACCTTGGCGTTGCCCTTCGTCAGACATCCTCCTTACGGTTTCCTCAGCAACATGACCATCAGTCTGCCGTTCACGAGTGAGTCCGTCTATTCATCATCACGATTCGTTTTCTCGGAATCTCGTACAAAGCCGCAAAGAGGAAAAATTAAATTTGTGACACGACTCGATGATCGATGATTAATTGCCAATGGTTATTTTTATGGGTGTCCATAGGGAGAGCAAGAGGGGCCTCTTTGAATCAGTAAGAAAATTAAGCATTTGTTTTCCTGTTGAATAAATACTGGAATTTATTTGCGTATTTAATATTAAAAATGAAAATAATAAAGAATTAAATTTAAAAAAATTCAAAACAAGAAAAAATGTAATTATACCCCTCGTAGAAAAAATCTTGCGAACGCCCATAGTTGTTTTACATTAAAAATTAATTTATTTATAAAAAAACTGTACAAAGAAATAATACCAGACTCTATTTTGTTTTAATTATAATTAGGAGCTGCATTAAAATTCCATCCAATTAAAGTCTACTTCTTTAAATATTTCCTCTTCCTTCTTTAAGAATAAAAAGGATGTGATCGGAGAAAAAATGTTCTACTTTTAGCTCTTAACTTAAACATTGAATAATTATCTAAACATGATTTCCAATCACGATTGACAGAATTCTGAATTTTGTTCAGTCGACTTCGACAAGCTGGGCTTGACAGACAACGAGAACCCATACGGCGCTCTTCCGGCCAGCTTTGACAGGAAGCTAAACAGCCGTCAGGCCGGCATGATGATGGCGGATTTTATCGCGGCCTTCATCAAACGCAGATTACACAAGCGGGACGTGGCGGAAATGCCGAAAAACGCCTTCCACGGCGGCGAACGAGCCCTGCTCTACGTCACCGCCGAGGACATGCTGAGCACCTTGGGGATGAACGGGAAAGCCTGCCTGTTGAGGGCGATCTGCGAGGTCCAGGGTCACCATCTGAACAACTTTGGCCTGATCGGCGAGATGCTGAAGCTGTTCTTCACGTAAGTCAATTCAATTTGTGCGAATTTTTCGAGAAAAATTGTTATGAAATACAAATTTTATTTTATACACAGAGAACATTTTCTCTTATTGTTAGACTTTATACCCTGAAAATCATGGTAATCGTGGGACAATATATGTTATTGGAAGAATTTTAATAAGGGTTTCTCCGATTAAATATTTATATCACAATAAAAATATTAAAATCTACAACAATAAGATATAAAATATGTTCGATTAATTTTACTATTTATATATATTAATATTTTTTATTGTGGTAAACATTTAATCAGAGAAATTCTTTTTAATACCATATTATCTCACAATTATCATGATTTTCAGGGTAAATTTTTAGAGAAAATTCTCTCTGTGTACGAATAATAAATTAATTACTGTAAAATAAATATAGTTTATAAAAAATGTGTTATGTAGAAAAATATTGAATAAAATTGCGAAATTTTCTAGTGCCAGCCGATCGCCGTTCTCAAGTCTCCTCAAGGAATACGTCGAGGCAGAAAATCGCGGGAAATTTCACGGCGAGTGCTGGCCCTATTTTAAGGATTGTCCGAAATCCTTATTTCTACCCTCCACCAACAAATATCAGTTAGTATTATTATTGTAATTTTTTATTTTAAATTTACAGCAGCTTCAAAAAATTCATAAAATGACTTGATGCATAGAGATGCACGGAATTAATTAATTTAAGTCGCATTTTCTTTTTATACAGATGTACATAATTATAAACGTATTATAAATTTTTATTATACAAATGAAAAAATTTCAATTATTCTTCAGGCAAGATTCGATGCACGATGAAGAAGACGAAGAGGATGAGCACTGGAATCAAATTTCGAACGAACTCGATGAAGAACCTTTGACAAGGATATCGGAACGAAGTATGAAGAATACCATCCATCCGATGTAGAAAGAGAGGATGAAGAAAAGTCTCAGGTTCCAAGGTTACATTACGTTGATGAAATATTCACTTCAAAAGTTTCTATCAAAATAAAAATTCCGCATAATAGTAAATTGAAATATATAGATAAGAAAAAGCTTAACAACAAATAAGTATAATAATGTTAATACGAGATTACCATTATTATGTAACTATGACACAGTGATAAGTCGAGTTCTCGACCGAGATATCATATACATGTATAGGTATAATATATTACATATATGTATATACCTATAATATCATCCGAATACGAGAAACTGCCAAAAGTTTGGCTATATAGTCATCGACGTTGTAAAACGAGATCGATGTTTTATATATTTAATTGTACAGTATAAGAATAATTTTATTGATTTATTAATTATATTTAATTGTGTGTATGTGTGTGTGCGTGCGTGTATACGATTTTTGTAATATATAATTACAGAGATACGGGAATGGATAAGAAAGTATCAGTATTGCGCGATCATGTGTGATAACATACAGGGATGAGTAAAAAATTAAATAATATTAGATTTTCTCTCGAGTTATAATTATAATTTAATTTATTTTATTTATTTATCACTCTTGATTTCTTTTCTCTATATTTCGGGAGCCACTGTACATATATCGTCATTAGGAATTCAATTTTTTGTACGAATTATTAGTTAGAAATAATTGCGATTTTTTCTCTGTTATAATTTTTTAATTTTGTCAGAATTTTTTATACAATCTAATTTTTTTAATATTTTTTTAATAGTTTAATTTTTCTTCGTGAGATTTTTAACCGAATAATGATATATGTATATTATGTAAAGTATTCTCACGAGAGAAACATAAATCGTGTTCGATAATTTCAGAACACAATGCCATGCTGCCATAATAAATATAGTATATGTATCAGCATTGTGTGTGATATATTGTAATAATTGTTTATTTTACCTACCTTTACAGCATTTTTTATACAGAAAGGTAAACGAATTATTTACGAAATTATCTCACGCGAAAACAATACATAAAATATGAGTAATAATTATATGCAATAAAATGCATTTTTTAAGAAATGTTTTTGATTAAACTTTACACAATTTATTCGTACAAAAATTATATTATACATAAAATATACATACAAAGATCGAATAAATAATCTTCTCTCAAAACATATATAGAAATATAGAAATTCGATGAATTAAAATTGTGTATTACATAATAAAAATTCGGAAATTAAAATTATATGTACATAATAAAAAATCGGGAATTAAAATTATATGTATTCACATTTTGTACATAGAATAATAAATTTAATTATTTATATATACATACATACATACATATATACATATATATATATATATATATATATATATATATATATTCGCGTTATATTCTTATCATCGAGCGACTGTCATCGCGAGAGTTAACAGTTATTTAATTTAATAACTGTCAAAATAAAATTAATACAATTAATTAAAATCATTAAACAAGAACAATGACACACGTGCGTAGCGCGCACTTATATTAATAATATACATATTCGAAAAACACACATTACACTCAATCGATAAAAGATGTGTAATTCGCCTGAATTCAAATAGTTTACTCAAAGATACTTGAATCTTGCATCAATAAAACTCACAAGAAATATGTATATATTTATATATATATATATATATATAATGCGAAATAAATTAATAATTAAATTTTCGCGGAATGGCGCTAATTTGAATTTTGAAATTCAAATCTAATCTCGTATATATCGATATATAGTCCCGCCCGTATCTAAATCGATAATATCGTATATCGATATTCTCGATATATACGTAATATAAAACCGCCTTGATACCTCGTCGGTGATATAAAACTTATGTAAATGATGATAAAAAAAAAAAGATGTTATCGCGGCAGGGGCATAAAGTCTCCCGCGAGGATCGGCGAAACTATATATATGTCATATGACATATATGACATCATATATTAGTTCGATGTGCGATGACGTTCAAAATTTCTCCCCTCTATCGCGAGAATAAAAACGCAGCGCGAAAAAGAAGAGTAGAAGAAGAGAAGGAAGAAGAAGAAGAAGAAGAAGAAAAAGAAGAAGAAGAAAAAGAAGAAGAAAAGGCGCGCGAAACGAGGACGACGTGCAGGAACATTCCTCACCGATCGGCGCTTTCGTTTCCCGACTTCGTCATCGTCGTCGTCGGCCATACTGGACCGATAACAGTGCACCGATAGTCTCTCTATATCGATTAATTAAAGAGGAAAAAAAGGTTACGCTCCCTATTATGTCGCCTCTACGACGTGCGTGTGTATAGCATTCATTCTCTATCGTAGATTTTACGTAGGATGTAATATCGTATGACGTTTATTATTCTTGTCGCTCCGTAATCTCACGACGCGTCTCTGCGACTTGCTTTTGTTTTTCAGGCCGACGAACGGGCGGCTCCGGGGATCCCTCCAACGAGGCGATGGCTTGCGAGGCGTGCAGTGCGAAGTTCAATTTGTTCAAGAGAAAAGTGAGTGCGAAAGCGAAGTCTCTCCTTCCGAAGTGTCTCCTGTGGTTTCCTTCCGCTCCGCTTAACTTAACCTGAGGAGAAACCCTGCTGTGAGACGCGATGATTCGTCCAACTGCGCGTAGAGTAGGACTTGGAGGACATTCCCTTCGATAAATGTCATCGCGAATATCAATCCTTTATCCCTGCTAAATTACTTGTTGTCAGTTAAAAGTTTGAGTGTTGTATGTAATTTTTATTTTTCCAGCGGAGAATTGTGACCTAATTCAAAGATCCACTTTCTGGAAATGTCAATGTTTAAATATCTTTAAACATTGACACTTCCAGAAGCTTTTTGCAGCTTCGAATCAGGTCATAGTTCTCTGCTTTGCGAAAATAAAAATGTATTACCATGTGACACTTGAACTTCTCTCTGTATTATTTGTATAATATATTTGCAGAAACAGTGTGCAGATTGCCTGAGGCACTTCTGCTCGGAATGCGTGATCAAACGACTGGACAAGGTGTTTACCTGCGAGAGCTGTGGAATACTATCGAGGAGGCCACTTGTGAGGAATCAGATCAGGCAGATGCGCTGCAAGGATTTACGACAGTATCTTGTGGCAAAGAAGGTCTCTATCAAGGGATGTGTTGGTATGTGCGCTAATAAAATCTGTTGACATAGGTCTGTGTATATAATATATCCTTTTAATAAACACTAACTTATGAAAAATTCTTTGAATTAGAGATCTATAAACAGATTTCTCTTAAATGTAGTATGGTCTATTTAAAATTTGAATGTAAATAACTTGTGGAGATATAAATTTATCATAAACGTTTGTTAATGTACTTATTAAATCTTTTTCTTTTTGTTTCTATGAATATAATATGTAAAGTTTTTTGCAAGATTAAGTTCAAATTTTAATATACTTTGAATTTATACAAATGCATGTGTAGTATTAAGTATTATATATAGAATTTTTTCATTGAAATGAAAATTGAACATGCGCTATGATGGAGAGTTTCACAGACCATACTTTGATTTTTCAGAGAAAGAAGACTTGGTACATTTACTAATGCTCTTTGCTAACGGAACTGACCCTTGCTCTAGTACTGACTATAGTACAAGGACGCAAAACGCTGCTGAAGAGCAATTGTATGTCACATTTTACATAGCAGCATGTAAAAGTACTGACACTTAACTGTTTGAGGGCTAAATTTTTTTTGAGTAATGAAAACTTTCTTGAATCATCTTTTAAGCATCATATTGTTTTTCTTAAACATTTTTAAACACTCATCTCTCGATACATAAGTAATTTTTATATTTGTGATATAATTTTTTCACGTAAATAAATCCTATTGGTATCAATTCCTATTGGTAAATAGTTAAATATTACAAAATATTACAACATAGTCTAATAGATATATATAAAAAAAAATTGTATAGAAAAGATCTATAGTATATGTTTATATTAAGCATTCATAGTTTCAGTTTTCACGACTACTTTATTATTAATTTCACAAAAGAGAATGACAAAAATATTTTTCAGTTTTCTATAAAAGTCTCGAATAAATTTAAACACATTTTACGAGATAATATTTTAAAATAATACGCTTGTTTACAGTTCTAGAGTATATCCCTCCTTCGACAGACCAGAAAATCTTCCAAATGTCAGTACTGCAAATGATGAAATGCATGAGGACGAGCAGGCACAAGCACCAGCAAGAAGCGAAGACGTCGAAATGGCGGAAGAGGCAAGTGAGAGTAGTCATAGCAGTCCGATTATTAGCGTGCCACTTAGCGATAGCGAATCACCCGAGGAGGGACCGACGAAAAGTAGTAGTAACGATACAAGAGTTGAGATACAGGAAATTTCGGAAACCGACAGCAGTCCAGTCGAACCCAATAATGCAGCAGAACCGTTAATTACCGAACATGAGGAAATTTCTGAAGCGTCGAACGAAGAAAAAAAATCGGATATGGTTACAGAAATTCCCATGGTACGATAGACAATATTTAATAATCGATGACATTGGCTGCATTCAGCAAAAAAAGCAGCTTTGCAACTGTTGTAAAATTTGTGAATCTGATTGGTATGCTCTTGATCTTAGCTGAAAGCATGCACCAATTAAAGGTGCAATTTCATGGAGCTAAGAAAAGCTGGCGTATTACCCCCACTTTACCGCAATGTAAAGCAGTGTTGAAAAACTGTTTGCTATGTCCTCCTTTTCATGGAGCGAAGAAAAGCTAGCATATTACTCCCACTACCACAATACAAAACAGCGTTAAAAAGCAAAAATTTGTTTTTTGATTGCTCCGTTCTGTTCTGTTCTCTTTCCGCGTATAAAAATGGATTATAATAATCAATACAATATAGAACAATATAGACATACAGTGGTATTTGCAGTTGTAGCAGAAATTAGGAGACGACGCATCGCGGTTGCAGCTGCTATAATGCTTCTTTTAAAAAAGAAAAAGAAGACATATAAGAAGAAAAAATATTGGGTAGCACCTATTTTTGAAAATAGAAAGAAACACAGTAGATTCACGAATTTTACAACAGTTGTAAAGCAGTTTTTCCACTAAATGCAACCATTTCATACGTATCAATATATTTTATAATTCTGTTTTTTTTTTCTTGCAGTGGTCGGATAAAGTACAACTGTCGGATATAAAGGAGGCGTCGGAATTAGAGTATCTAAATGTTAAACAATTAAAAAATCTGTTGAGTACAAATCGCGTAGATTACAAAGGTTGCTTAGAAAGGCAAGAGTTATTGAACAGAGTGTCCAGATTGTGGCAGGAGTACACACAATCTAGACAAGGTAAGAATCAAATATATTAGATTATTAATAAGTGTAATTTATGTATAATTATATATGTGTTTTGTGTTACTTTGAGAAACACTTTACACTATTATGAATAAATTTTTGTAGATGTTGAAAAACTCAGTGAAGAGGAACTGTGCAAAATTTGCTGGGACGCTCCGATCGAATGCGTGATTTTAGAATGCGGTCATATGGCCTGCTGCATAAACTGCGGTAAACAAATGTCCGAATGTCCGATATGCAAGCAGTACGTCGTCCGTGTTGTGCGCTTCTTCAAAGCCTAATGAGGCAACGAGCAGAGAGTATAGCAACATGCAGTTAAGATCTTTATTATCTCGAGCATCATTTGTCACATCAAATAGATTGATTTCACGACTATTATTGAATCAATCTACGACAAGGAATCGATTTATGAAACACCAAGCTCTTGCATGATAAATCTATCGGTTCACTTTGGTGATTAATGACAAATCATATGTAATATAGACGAGACGTTTTAGATGCGCGACAGTCCGTATTTTTATTAAATTCAGATGGATTCATTACATATCCTCTCGCCATCTGAAATTTAGTTCTTTTCCGAGGCGGAAACCAGTATACAATCGATTTTTTCTATTCTAGTATTGTTGGATACTGTAGACATAGTATAAATAGACTCAGAATTGGTGTAAGGAACAGATAAAAGGAGAATATAGCTAAAAGTTAATGAAAAAAAATCAAGCTTGTTAGAATTGACTTCAGTTATATCAATGTCAAATTGTAATTTTGCTAGAAGTTACTGCGCAAATACATATTTTATTCTTTTTTTTTTTTTTTTTACTTATTGTTAGTCCTTAAATTAAAGGAAATATTTAATTTTTTTAAATATAGAGAACAATTGGTCTATTTATATTATGTCTACGAACGAAAGAGAGATTCCTCTATTCTATAATTACTGTGCAAGTACATCTTTTAGTCTTTTTTTTTTTTTTTTTACCTAGTCCTTAAATTAAAGGGAATATTTAATTTTTTTTAATGTAGAGAATAATTAGTCTATTTATGTCTATGATCGAAAGAGAGATTTCTCTATTCTATAATTTTCTTTTAATCTGTTCTTCTATTGCTTACGCAAGATAAAAATATCATTATGTGAACTGTCTTTCGTTTTTTTACTTTAAAATGTTACATGACAAATGTGAGCAATAGGAGAACAGCATAATAAAAGTATCCTTACTTAAGGCCATTACAAGTAAAAATATTTTGGTTGTAACTGTAAAACGTATGTAAATTGTAATTGTAAAACGTAAGCAGTAAACGTTACTACTCGCTGTGATTGGTCGATTTGTTTAAATTTTACAGTTACGACTAAAACTTTTTTACGTGCAATGGCCTTTATGATGTTACAAAAAGGAAAAATCTAGAATAGAGGATAGAATAGAAGAAATCGATTATATTTTGAAATAAATGTCTAAATATGTATATTATCTTAATATATTAGGGTATATATTATATTGCGAATGAATTTTCGAAATATTAGGAAGAAAGAAAGTTTTTATATTACAGAGTTGTGCAGATTTTCCGAGGTAATTTGACAGCACACTGTGATTCCGGAAATTTTGTAAATTCTGTATTGTACAGTGTATCTTTTTTATGAAAATAAATTGTAGATGAATTCTAGATGTAAAATATTAAATTTTTAGAATAGTGATTCTTTTGGAATATAGTTAAAATTCTTAATTGTATCCTTCTATTTTGCCAATCTTTAAAAGCTTTTCTCTATTTTATGCAATATTTAAATACAATATTTAAATTCAAAAGACAAAATTATAAATAAGTTAAAGAGGAAAAAAAGAGAAATAATAATTGTTTTTTTTTATGAAAGTATCTCATGCGTAAACTATTTAGAGGTTTTATATAGAATTATATGTGCGTCATACAAAACAATAAATAATATATATAATGCAATCAAACTAAAAATGAACTTTTATGTTCGAATTAAAACATCAATTAGAGTTTTTTACATATAAAAATATTAACTAAACATAACTGTTTATTAATCTTATCTTGTTGAACAAAAAAAGGAATTATTAAATAATTAATATCACATCCTGATTAATAAAGGTACATTATGCATATTGTGAGAAGAATCCACAGAGGCTTACAAGTCTAAGAGAGAAGAAATTTGAAAATAATTTATATACAGAGAAATTAAAAATTTGAAGCTGATTAAGAAATACAACAGATACGGTTGTGCTTTTATTTTTTTATCGTCCGCGCAATAATGCGAAAAATACATTATTACTTTCGGCAAATTGAAAGCACGTTTGACGCTCCGAATCTGAATTATTTCTATCGGAATAATATCCGTATGAATCACGATAGCGTACGCACAAATTGTCGTCCCGCGACAATTGATCATTGACAATGGCAGAAATTGAATGGCCGTGGCAGTACAGTTTCCCTCCGTTTTTTACGTGAGTATCCTCGCCGAAAAAAACATGCGTGTCTTTGCAGAACGAAATGAAAACGTCACGCTGATATTTCGAATAAGTGTGAGCTCGAATGCAAAGGATATCTGTTTCGTAAAAGTCGTCGCATAGGTTAAGAACCAAATTCGAGAACGAAAGTATGTCGATGTTTCACGATTCTTTAATGTTTTTTTTCTTTCTTTTTTTTTTTTTGCATAAAAAAATACTCGGAAATAGGCAGATACGTAATTGATAATTTTCCCTTCATTCCTTATTGCAGACTTCAACCTCACGCGGATACCAGAGCGAAACAAATAGCGGCTTGGAAGAGCTTAGTGCTGGAATATCATCGTATCACGAAGCAAGCCGTCGTAGATGTGCGAGAAGTGCACACGAATCCTCTGTTCAATAACACCAATATAAATAGTATCCTTCTTTTATTTGTCATAGTACTATTTTACTATGTAATCTTATGGTATGCTCTATTCAATGAAATTTCTATACTCTGCGCATGTATTTAATTGTTTATTTAATATTAATTTGTTTAGATAATAATAAAAATAATGATAATGCTATTTACAATAGTTTAGTCAGAAAATTGTTGCTCGAAAAGAATTCCTTAACAAAATAATAATAGGAAGGTTGCCGTCTGAAGCTGTGTTACTAATACTGGAAGAACTAGGAAAATCAGGGAACGCATCTCCACTGGACAAAAGCAAACAGAGATGGCTAGTTTATTGGCATACTTTAGAGGAATGGGGTGATATAATTCATAATTGGGCCCAGGAGAGCGGTTTCATCGGATCTGTATGCACATTATTCGAACTGACACAAGGGGAGGACACAACTGATCAAGGTACGCTTCAATGGTCAATTATAATTCTTTGTTGCGATTCATGTTACTTATAGTAATCCATGATTCTTTTTACATGCGTCTAAATTTTACAGAATTCCATGGTCTTGATACAGAAGTACTAATCAGATCGCTGAGGACACTGGAGAATGCCAGAAAGGCAGAGCTAATCTTATTTGATGATAATCAAGGTGTCAAATTCTTCTAATCCTTAAAGTTACGCAGTGTTGTCGAAAGTCGTACGAGTCATGGTATATGTGAAATAAACTAAAATATATACATTTGAGAGATTATAACTTATAAATATCTGCATTTAGATGTACGTTTTTGTCAAATTTATGATTATTACACAAGCGTAAAGAAAATATTGTTAAATATAAGGTAATATTGTTTATAAATAAAATAATATTATGTGTTCATAAATGCAAACATTTATTTAACATAATATAATTAGTAATACATCTTTTTCCTTTTTTTTTTCTTATAAAAAGTAAATCAAAATCGCTAAATATATCTGACGTTCGGATGTGGAAAAATTCGCATTACAATGAATAATATAATTTCGTTATTTATGTATTTCGAGTATGAACTAATGTATTCGTTTATACAGTCTTCTAAAGGCTATATAAATCGGATACACTATATAAGATTACTTGAATCAAAAAGAAAAGTGCAAAAATAAAATAAAAATAACTTATTAAAGTCAAAGTTTTAAAATGAACAAATTGCATGAAACATAATGTGTTTACACTTCTTTTGTATTAATTATGTTAAAACTTTTGTCAAACTTAATGTTTTTATCCTAAGCGCCTTAATTTAACTGTAATTTTCAGACTAATCTCCTACAAGGCACTCTGTGTATCATCACAAGAATAAATTCTTATAAATTACTTTGCTTCGGAATTACTACCTTTGGGGGCAACTAGAGTATGTCACATGTATTTTTAGAGTTAATATATCATAAGACATCTTTCTCTGTGTTGAGTTCTATGCAAAAAGATGACAAAGCTATGACAAGGGAATGATTAAAAACTAAAGTAAGATACTCTATAGACATATATACAGTATACTTGCTCGACATTTCTTCACAAATGACTAAGCAAAGTAATAAACATGAAGACCATGGGCATACTATTCTGTGGAATTTAACTAAACCAGGTTTATGTACGATTGATTTGCGCAATTTTCTTAAACCAAATCAATAGAAAGTTAATAATTGGATCATGCAGCGTATTTGCGATGCTAAAGAGAGAGAAAGTAACATTGCTTTACCGTCACAAATATGTCCCACTATAAATATGAACATGATCTGAATCATTATTTACAAACTAATAATATATAATTTCGCCACATTTTTCAGTTGTCTTCCTCTCTTAGTTCTGGGGGTGTCGTTATCTTCCTCTTAAATAAAAGGATGTGTGGTTCTGAAATCATTCGTTATAACAAATTTCTTAATAATTGTGTCGATATTAGAAATGTTAGATTACTGATGTAAATGCATACCAGGCTCGTGAATCATGTAATGTACCCATCCTTGACTCTGCTGAACTCCAATGGCCCTCCATTCCTGCTCAGAGAGCAGATGAGTTTGTGGTACTAGTTTTACCATTTCCTTTGGCAAAACAACATGCCTATAAAGAATTTATAAAAGAAAAAATTAATGGAAAGAAAAAGAAAATGTAAACATAAATACATGAAAAAAAATAAGAAATACGCATGATAAATCTTCTAATCTTTTTATAGAGATTTACAACATATATATATATACTATTAAAAAAAATAAAATTTATTCAATTTGTTAATAAATTCTTATCAAATTGCTTTTAACAAAAATTGATTATGGCATTGTGCAAGATAATAATTTCCAAATTCAATTTTATATTATTTTTACGAATTAGTACATCAAACAAAAATATATATTTAACTTTCCTTTCATAATTTTTTAATTTTAAATATATATTATAGTTTGTAATATTAATGCAATATATAGAAAATTAATATTTAATTTAAATCAAACATTTAGAAAATATTTTCTCGAATTTTTATCCAGTTTTTATAATTAAAGTTTTAGCAATATTATCTTATTTTTTTATAGTATTAGTACATATGCAGCACTATTTCCCTTTCATCCGAAAACAAAACGCCTACGCTACGGAAATCAAGAAATCTGAGAAAATCGTGTCAAAAGATTCATTGAAATAGAAAAAAGATGCGAAAAATGTCGAAAAATGAGCTTTGGTTTGGACAAGAAAGCAAATTGACAGCAGGAACTTTCTCGATTTCGGCCATTTAAATGATGCTTCGCTGACGAAGAAAGACGAGGAGGAAAAACACGAGGAAGAAAAAAAGACGAGAGAAAAGAAGAGGATGAATCAGACGCAGAGACGGAGTCGTCTCAGCCTCGTGGAGGACGTAGGAAATGTCAAAAGTTGCGGGGACTCGAGATCAACGAAGGCTACGTCTAAGGACGAAGAAGAAAGGGGGTATCCATGAAGGACTCTCTGCGTGCAAGTACCCACCTGTACTCGTACTTGTCGTCGTAGTACTTGCGGGAATAGTAGATGTTGTCCGACATCGTGTATCCGTCGACGTAATTCGTGCGAGATCACCAATTCAGAGAACGAGTGGGAGAGACAGACTTGATTTGACAGGAGGCAAAAAAGTACACAATACACACGCGGGACAAATCTTCCGAACTCGCGCTAGCGTGCATACGCTGTCTAATTTGAAAGTTTTAACGGATATGAGCATGCGAGCAGTGGAGTCGACCTCACCGCAATGTCAAAAGAGAGACTTTTAAAAGATTTATTTCTTTTTCGTGACGTTACGACCGGACGTGCGACGAAAATAAAATTCAGAATCAGTATCGACGAAAGGATCATCTCGTCGATGATCGTGAACGATTCCTTTTCAATCCCTTCGACACTTTCGGGCTCCGAGTCTGTTGGTTCCGCTCGACTCTGCTGTTGACTCGCGTAGTCAGCTGTGAATCAGCTGTTCGCGGCTACCGCGAGATGGCGCAACTGTCAAACGCATCGTCGTCGCGCCGGAGCGAAGGTTAGGCGCGTGAGTCTTTTCTATTTTGATAATAATTGTTTTTCTTCTTCTCGTGATACGATGGAGAAATATTCTCGCGACAACGATCGCAGATCGAGGAAGGAATACGATGACGATCGCAGACGTAAGGAGCGAACGTCGCGAAGGGATCGCGATTACGCGGAATCCAGGAGGTCCAAGGCAGGATCCGGACACAAACGTACGGAAAGGTCCATCGAGAGGCGGAAAAAGTCCAAGGACGAGGATTCTCGTGCTCGTCGCGAATCGCGGAAGAAGTCTTCCAAACATAAAAGTCGAAAGAGGTAGGTTTCTTTCGCAGATTTTTAAAATTATTTTTCGAGATTTTTGTGCTCTTTGTTTCACAGTGTTTGCTGTTATCTAAATAAAATTATATAGATGATTATTTAGGTGAAACTTTGACGTTATCTTATCTATAAAGATAATAAAAATATGATTTATCTATAGCTGCATCTTAGATAAAAAAGTGTTTTCTTTATTAAATTATTTAGAATAATGATCAGATACTTTGATTTAGAGTTTTAGAGTTATAACACATAAAGATACTCAATTAGTAGAATTAAGCAGTAAGCGATACAAATTTATTAATATAAGTAAATTAAATTTATTAATAAAAGTATGAATATATTTTTATATCACTTTATAATTTAAATTTTTCTATAACTGTGTTTACATAAGCGGTGTTAAAATTAATATTATCTAGAAATTAGCTAGATGATTTGCTATATATATATATATATATATATATATATATATATATATTTATATCTAGCTCTTTTATCTAGCTAATTTAAAAATCATCTAAATACAACACTGGTTTCATAACATATATTTTTTACTTAGGGAATCATCTTCATCGTCCACGTCGTCGATATCGTCTTCGTCGTCTGATACGAGTAACCTAGCAATGGTTCGTCTACAGATTCATCCTCGGACTCCACAAAATTGTTGGAAAAACTGCAGAAGCAACGGCAGAAGCAAATCGAGGAACGTAAACGCCAGAAGGAGTTGATGAAGGCAACAGAAACGCCAGAGGAGAAGCGTCTACGTCGGCTGAAGAAGAAAGAAGCCAAGGAACGCAGGCGAAAGGAGAGAATGGGCTGGGACAATGACTATTTACATTACACAAATACAGATAATCATTTGGCGATGGCAATATTCTCTCCACTTTTGTGTGGTCAAAAAAATTGGGGAAGGAGGGTCTACTCGGTGTGGGCAGAGAGGAATTGGAGATGCGTAACAGACATAAACAGGAGGAGAATAAGAGAGAGTTGGAGAAGGTGAAGAAGAGGAGGCAAGAGAGGAATTAGAGCGGCAGCAGAGAGAAGAGGAAATGACTATGTTGCAAAGAGGTAAAGAAGCTGCGCAACTAGAGCAATGGGCTCGGCAGGAAGATCAATTTCACCTCGAGCAGGCCAGATTGAGATCTCGCATTAGGATTCAGGACGGTCGGGCGAAACCTATCGATCTTCTTGCGAAGTACATCAGTGCAGAGGAAGAGGTCGACGCGGTGGAAATGCACGAACCATACACGTATTTGCGAGGTTTGCACGTGAAAGATCTGGAGGATCTCATAGAGGATATTAAGGTTTACAAGGAATTGGAGAGGGGTAAAAATTTAGATTACTGGAATGACATAACGGTGATCGTGGAGGACGAGCTGCACAAGCTTAGGAAACTAGAACGGACGGAATACGAAGTTGGTAAGAAGAGGGATTCTTTTTTTCTATTCTTATGGTATATTCGTATTCTATATCATATTTTATATTTCCTTTTTCAGCTGTTGGAAGAAGAGAAGGAATTCATGAATCAGTCGCCAAAGACGTTACGAGTATTTTCAAGGGTAAAACTGCAACGCAATTGGAAGCTTTACAGTTGCAGATTCAAGCGAAAATCACGGGAAAACCAGAAGGCGTCGATATCGGATACTGGGAAAGTCTATTGTCGCAATTGAAAGGTAAGAGAGATATAATGATTAATTTAAAAACATAAACTGTAAATAATAATGCATGTTATTCACGCTAAGTATTAATCATGTAGCCCATATGGCGAGGGCGCGACTTAGAGATCGACATCAAGAAAACCTCCGTAAGAAGTTGGAGGTTCTGATTGCCGAACAAGGTGTAGCTAGAGCAGAGAACGAGGCTGAGAGCTCGCAAACGCAGGAGAGCGAGTCCTTGGTTAAGCAGGATGAGCCTTCCACGAGTACAACAATCGAGAAGAATGAAAGTAGTCCAGAGTAAGTGTTCTCTCCTTCACATCGATTTTTTTCCTAATTTAGTAAAAGAACCCTGAACCAAATACATAAGATTTTGGTTTTCTATAGAATTGGCTGCTTTTTATATATTGTAGCTTGCTAAACAAAAAATGTAACAGCCGCAAAGTTAAATATTGGATAGTTACTGAGTTACACCCAGTCAAATACGAAAAACTTGGGCTCTACGAATTTGTTTAACTGGCTGTAACTCAGTAACTATCCAATATTTAGCTTTGAAGCTATTACATCTTTTGTTCAGCAAAACATAAGCTACAACATATAAAAATAGCCAATTCCACCGAAAGTCAAAATCCTATGTATTTAGTGCAGGGTTCTTTGATTTTGTTTCTCTCAATGATAATAAACTAATAATAAATTTTTCCTATATTTTCCAGTAATAATCAGGAAACTAATGCTGCCGACGATCTGTTGTACGAATCCTTCCGCGAATACGAAGCGGGTTGCTATTCACCTACTTATATACAGTATTCGCAACTCGAACCGGGGACTCTCGTCACACAGGAGGACGAGGACAGTCAGCGACTGGAATACGCGAGGCAGCAGGTGCTCAGCACCGGCAGGAAGATTCAGAACGTGCTAACGACCGAGGAGCAAGCGATGCACCGGGAGGCGCGCAAAGGCATGGGCTCGGACGAGGCCCAGTTTAGTGTAGAGTCGTCGCTCGAGGCACAGATCTATCTCTGGTCGGACAAGTATCGACCACGTAAGCCGCGTTACTTCAATCGCGTGCACACCGGCTTCGAGTGGAACAAGTACAACCAAACGCACTACGACATGGACAATCCGCCGCCCAAGATTGTGCAGGGCTATAAGTTCAACATCTTCTATCCAGATCTTATCGATAAAAATACTACGCCGGAATACTTTCTGGTAAGATACATACATACATATATATGCATGTATAAATTTAAATGTGTATATATAATTATATCTAAATATTATAATATATATATATATATATATATATATATATATATATATATACACACAATATAATTATATATAATGTAATCTTTCTCGCGCGCGCGCGCGTAAAATTATTTAATATTTAATTTAATCGATAACGGATGTTTCGAGAGTTAATCTTCGATGTTTAACTTTCAGACACCTTGCGCCGATAATAAGGACTTTGCTATTTTGCGATTTCACGCGGGCCCGCCTTATGAGGACATCGCGTTCAAGATTGTCAACCGGGAATGGGAATATTCGTACAAACGCGGATTCAGATGTCAGTTTCACAACAACATCTTTCAGCTGTGGTTTCACTTCAAGAGATATAGATACCGTCGTTAATATAAAATATGTATTGTTATTTAATACCATATTTTTATGGATAAATCTTGTATATAGTACATTATTTTATTATTGTACAATGCTACGGGCAGATTTTTTGATATTGTATTTATATATAAAAAAATGAATATAGATAAGATCTCTCGGAATATATAGAGGATATTTTTTGCTTAAACGGAACCGGACTGTACGTTGTTATTTTATAGCAAAGGGTTCCCTTCGTGATTTCCGCGTACTTTTATCGCTCGCCCGAACAACTTCCGCGCGATGACGAGAACACACACCCTAGCGTGGTGCTATAGCCGTTTTAAACGGTGGTCGTTGGATCGATTTTTCCTCTGCCACCTGTGTACTGTCACACAGTCGACCGCACACTCATACTCGTACATGTGTGAGGAAGGTAAAAGCTGTGCGAAGTTAATGGCAAGGTAAAGCCGAGCCTCGCAGTGCGCCGCGTAATTCGACGGCGAGGAGCTGCGCGTCGAACTCGGGAATTTGACTTCCGCTTTACGTTCACGCACCATTAAGGATACACGATCGGAACGATCATTCTTCATCTGTATTACGTGTGTGCGATTTGTAAAACAAAATTTAAAATCGAGAAACCACGTTCTCGCATATACAACGTAAATGGTATGAAATCATTATTTTGACGTTGTCGTTAAATTAATTAAAATTATTAAGTAGATTTTTATGTTTCCGATTCGATAATCGATTCGATAGATAAACGGAAATCGCTACTTATCGCCTGTGTTCATCGGGTGGAAAAGTACTATACATTTGTGACGTCAGGCTGCTGAGTAACAGAAGACAACAGAATATTTTCCATCACGTGAATTTTCACGAAACACGTCATTAATGAGATATAAATTATAATATATATTATAAAACGCGTAATTTCTGATTGATGAAATTTTGAGAAGAGTGATACATTTTTAATTTATTTCACCTCACCATAAATCAATGTAAAGGTGTTGGTGCGAATCAATGAGGAAGAAAATTTAGCGAGAAATATATATATGATATGTTCGCAGCGCGCGAATAATTCTGATATCCGCGATTTGTAAGATCACGAAATTGATAAAATACGCCATGAAGTGGAAGAAAGGACCGTGTGAATTTCTGTCGGAGAAAACGTTTCTCATACTAAAAGATGACTTGAAAATTTTGAAAGGTAATGTACATCTGTCATGTGTATTATTTTTTATCGCGTATTTTATCGCAAACGCAAACTTATTGATGTACATGTTAAAATAATGTACATTGTTCAAAACATCAATTATTAATAAGATTATATATCATATTTAAAATGGAGTTATATAGCGGAACTCCACTCACAATTTAATTGACATATCTAATAAAAAAATATAAATATTTCTTATAAATAGAATGTATTGACAAAAAGATTTAGAATTTACAGGATAAATTTAGTTGACTGATACCGCAGAAAATATTATTTTAACGCAATAGTATAAGTAAATTCTTGAATTGAAATATTTTTTTCAAGTTTATCTCTGACAAAAGTTAATATCTATTTTTGAGAGAAAAATTTCTCACAATTGAAATACTTAATTTTGTTAAAAGAAAAAATAATTTTAAATCAATATTATTTGTATTATTATTTCCTAGTACATTTTTTCGATCTTATCAAGTTTAATTTCCGTTATCCACTTATACAAACGTTAAATTATCAATTATATTTAATAATCCCAGTGTACATTAATCTGAGATCTTTAAAAAAAGAAAAAACAATTGTGAGAAATTTTTTACAATAATTATAGCTCTTTTCTAATGGATATTAACTAATGTAACACGCGTAATGACATCGGCGTTCATCGTAATCAACAATAGAGTATCGTCTGAACAGGTGCGACTAAGAGGACGGATGACAAAAGGACGACGCCAAGAAATGCGGCCAGCAACACCGGCACCTGGCCGCCGAAGATGAAACGGACGGACGGGTTCCGCGCGGAAGAGCCGGAGCGGCCGAAGACGGCGAATCTCGCGCGGCCGAGCGTCCTGGATCCCGCGCTCGTGGACAAGCTGGATATGTCGCTGCTGAGCAAGGAGCTGCTGTGCGACTCGATGACGCGGTTCCATCAGTCTACCCGGAACGTGAGCAAGTCGAGCGGCGGAGACACCACGACATCCGCATCGTCGTTGTTGCTGGTGTCGTCATCGCCATCGGCGACACGACGACGACGCCGCCGAAGCGCAGCCGTCCCCGCCACGTCCACCTCTTCGTGGTCGTCCCGCGAAGACGCTCCAGTGACGCACCGCCAGCGACGGAGTTTCGAGCAGATCCGCGGCCCGCGGACCGCGACGATGACAGATCGTCAGATGGAGGAGATCGATCGATCGCGATCGCCCACCGGAGGTCAGAAGATCACGTCACCCGCAGGACCCGCGACACGGAACCTTGATGTCCGGAAACTCGACGATAATAATAATAGGTCGGTGATCTGATTATTATTTGTTTCATAGATGAGCCATTTACTTTTCTGAAAAAATTGAATAATTTTTTTTAGGACATATAAGATATTTTTCAAGTTTCTACATAATACATTATTATGAATCTAATTTGCATAAAAATTATTTTAAAAAATTATTAAAATTATTGAAAATGTTCAGATTTAAAAATTAAATTGTAAAATAAACTACAATTTAGAAGAGTTAGAAAATTAAAATAATATAACAACTGTTTCGATCGAATCGCTGATGCATAGTCACGATGTAAGTAAAACTATTGTAAAAATACGCGCGCGAGTGTACATTTCTGCGGAAATAAGTTATTGATGTACCGTGCTAGACATTGGAAGTAATGGCTCTATATAAGCCGAAATAACACTACTGCTTTCTTCTTTGTGTATTCTGCAGATACATATATCAAAAGTAGCAGCGCAACTTTTATAGAGTCTTCTCTTATACTTATAAAAATTTCCTTCAAGTGTTTTCAAACTTTACTTTAAAATCAAATAGGGACGTAATAAATAAAAATGATGTTATAAAATTATTTAAAAATATCAAATATTTACGTTAAATGGTCATTGAAAAATTGGAAAAAAATCATGAATTTTATCCTCAAAAAATAATTACATAATATATCAATTTAAAGATCTCCTAAATAGGTACTATATATTCGCATTTGATGACTCAACTAAAAGCGTATTTACATATGTCTATTTGAATCTATCTATACGACTAGAAATGGTCCTCCCAAAGTGCTGTCCTCGGTGAAGAAGAGGAACTCGCGGGCGGGTTTGCCGAGCGATCTGGAGATATTCACCGCTGCGGCGTCGTCGACGAGGAGCGCTCCGGAGCCGTGCAAGACCTGCGGACGTCCGGATCAGCCGGAGCGATTTCACAGTCATCCGAAGGGCAGTCAGACCAAGATCAAGGACATCCCGACGTCGACGATGAAGCCGAAGCCCGCGGTGCCGCCGGTGCCCAAGTCGATCCAGAAGCCGGTGGCGTTGAACTTCCGCAGCGACCGGAACAGGAACAGATCGGACGAGACAAGGCCGGTCGCTTCTCAGGATCCTTCTGCCCAGGACTCGGGTCGGCAGGTCAGGTCGTCGTCCGCGAAACGGGGCCCCAAGACGATCACGTGCTACATTTGTGGCCGGGAATTCGGCACCGCCAGTTTCCCCATTCACGAACCTAAGTGCATGGAGGTAAATGATTTTAATCATCACATCTTAGTATAACACATTTTATAAATACAAACGCATAAAAAGGCCTGGTATTAGAGTCGGAAAAAATTTTATCACATTTGTATATGCACGCAATAATTATATAAATGTAAAATAATAAATTAAAAAGGCTCTGGATAAATTTATTTTATATTCAAATAAGTAGAGAGAAAAAAAATGATTTTATTGCCCCTGATATATATGTGTCTGACCCTTATCGACTCTTTATATCAGAGCCCCTTTTCGATCTATTAATTATATATAATTATTGCGCATATAATAATATGATAAAATTTTTCATATATTTAATTAATCAAGAAGATGGAAAAATAAGAAGCTTCATAAAACGCATTACATGAATCATATAATTAAACTATATACTTCTATGAATAAAAATCTCATTCCTCTTTCATAGTTCACAAATTATATAACTGAATTATATAATTTAATTATCTAACTTAATGAAGAGTCTTTTAAAATCGAGTTAAAGCGATTAATCGGGAAATGTCCGAATAAATTCCGTACTTTACGTGTGACATCCGCGATTTCATCGCGGAAGCAATACAGAAAGTTTATAATATAATAGCATCTCACGACAATGCGCGCATGTAATAAGTCAAGGCCCTTTTGCAAAATCGATGGCGCGACTCGTTTGCACGGCATCGAGCTCGATATCTCGCGGATGCAGATTCGTGCGAAGTGTCGTATAGTACCATAAGTATAACTATAACTATAACTATATAAGCGATATCGTTAATTCGCGCGTTCTCTAGTACAGGGTGTCTCCGATCGATCGACCGCGTTTCTCCCCTGTAATGATGAAACTTGTTTAGTAGATCATCCATGTCTCTCGCATTTCTGCGCACAAGTTTTAGCGCCAAACAACGCGTTAGTGATGCTATTCGATTCTTATCTTTCTCGTGTTCCCGCGTTTGCGCATCCGCGATCCGATCAGCAAATTTCGCGTTTACACATATAGTCACTTGATATAGGTATATATTTTTAAATGATAGACATTAAAAAACACGTTGTATATGCCCTCAACAGCAATGTCAATATGCTGCAATGTAAAATCGATACAATAGCTGCATGCCGCGCATAAATCGTCGCAAAAATTTGTCGCAGCGTTTTTATTAAAAGAAAACATTTCAAAAATTTTAATTTAACAATCATAAAATTGATTAATTAATTTATTTATATCAAATAATTTTTTTAAATATTTTATTTTTATTTTATTGAATATAATTAATTATTTTTCTATATTTATTTCGTATATGTATACACATATATTATATATATTTAGTCGCTCAATAACTATATTTGTTATTATGCTACTTTTACTTTACTTATGCGAATGTCTCTATTGCAGAAGTGGGATCGCGAGAATAATTTGCTGCCTCCGTCTCAAAGACGACCTAGACCGCAAAGACCTGGGGTCGGAGTCGAACACAGCGATTGGAACGCGGCCGCCTGGGAACAGAGTCAGGTAATTACTCTTGCTTAATTAACATTGCAGCGTTAAGAATAAGGTATTACGATTATTATCTTTACGCGAGAAGCGCGCCGCGCCATTTTCGCGCTTCATTAATCTTGTCGTGACGCAATCGTTAACCGATGATGCGAGAAGCAGATTTATATAGATGCGCAGACGGAGATTCACAAACACATCTAGCTTTTAAAAAATTCTGGAGAATCGAATATCGAAATTAGAAATGAATATTTAAATTTCAAATATATTCAACTCGCTTTAGGTGTCTAAAGTTGAGTTATAAATCATAATGAAAATATGCATCGCGATGTTGTGCGAAGATTTCGTGCCATTTGTAATTCTTCGAGTGCGTAATTCTAAAACGTAGAATATTAAAGTTTGCTCTTTAACATCTCATATGCATTTAACTCGCACGAACGCATACAAAATGAGCGAGTTTTGATGATTAACGAACATTTGCGTAAGAAGTCAGAATTTTGCATGCACTAATATAAATTGTAGATTTCAGATCTTAATATTTTCAAATCCGACCGAGTCTTACAGGCGAACAAAAGAATTTGTTTCTCAGATTATTTTGCAATTATTAATTGAATTATTCGGTATTTCTCTACTAGTGTGTTAAATAATTTATAATATATAATATATATTTTAATATATATTTAAATACTTATATACGCGCGCGCGCGCCCGCGATTGCACATTTTATTCGAATATCTTTTTTGGAAGAATTTTTTAAATAGATAATTTGACTCTTCTTTTTACCTCCTTTTTTGATGATCAAAGACATGAAAATCTGGATTTTTCAGGAGCAATTAATTCCATGCGCAAAGTGCGGAAGGACATTTTTGCCGGAACGACTGCCGGTCCACGAGAGAAGCTGTAAGGCTACACCGAAGGTACTGAAGCTTTTCTTCAATAATCTTCAGATTTTATATCTTCTTCTCATCATTTGTGTTTTCTCCAGAATAACGAACGACTGTCCACGCCGTCGAACGGGCGCAATGTGCCGCCAACAGTTGCCTGTCAGATTTGCGGACGAAATTTCGGCACCAGAAGCATCAAAATCCATGAGCCTCAGTGCAGTAGACGATGGCAGATGCAGAATAATTCCGCAGAAAGCGAGCAAAAAGATCACTTGACCGTCCATAGACAAAAATCGGCCGGAAACCAGGGAGCTTCGTCGACGTATCCGGTGCGTCCTTACAGAAAAAAAACACGTAAATGATTAAATCTCCATAGCCGACCTCCTGTCGTCATATAAAATTTCTTTTATAGTAATCGGTCATTTTTTAAATATTTTAATTTTTAATATTTATAAAAATATTTTAATATTTAAAATGAATTATTCCCATATATGTAACTCTGTATAAACGATCTCGTCTTTATCATTTTTGCGAAATAAAGCAAAACTTGCGATTTCAATGAAAGAAAACGTGCAAGTAGCAAATTATTTTGTGAATAAAACATTTAATAGAAGATAAGGAAAGAAGAAGAAGATGTATAAATTGCTTGATTTTTAGGATTTAACGCAAAAGAAGACCGTCACGTGTTACATTTGCGGTAGAGATTTCGGGTCCTCCAGTATCGCCATTCACGAGCCGCAGTGCTTGAAGAAATGGCACGCCGAGAATGACAAATTGTCGCCGAGCCGAAGAAGAAAGGAGCCGCAAAAACCTGACGTCATATACATACGTAAGTCAATCTCACGCATATATGTGAATATATCATGGAAATATAAAGTGTCGAAAAAATCATCGGAAGAACGTGCAATTAAAGTACGTACATTTAAAAGAAGAGTTTAATATTTGAACACAAGAGACTGATTTAATATTCGTAGCACTTTCTATTTAAACATGAAAATTAAATTTTTAGAGAAACAATTATATATTATTAAATAAATTTTAATCTTTCTCTAATTAATAATCAAGATAAAAATATTTGTCTGAAAACATAATGAATAATATTTAAAATTGATTTTTTCTCAAGTTCATAATTGTTTATTCAATACGTAAAATACGTTTGTCCTTTCGCAAACACATTTCTATCTTACCTTGAGATGCATTCTGTCCGCTGTCAGGGTCAAGAGTAATACGTCAAGTACTTAGTCAATCAATCGGTTACCAAAGCGATTACGCGTGCATGTATGATGTATGAATCCATAATGCGTTCGTTTTATGCACCGTCATGGAATGGAAGTGGGTGTAGGCCTGATTTATTATACACCGCAGATTATTCCTGGTCAAAAGTGCCGCCTACAATGAATCAATAATTCGTGTGTGATGAAAAAAATTCGCTTCTCTTCTTTGCTTAATTTTCATACAAATATACGAAAAATGTAATTTCCGAGATAGGGATTTGAAAATCCGAGTGTCGCAAATACAGAAAAATCGCTGCTTTTAAAAGTTTAATTAAAAATAAAAAAATATATATATATTATATAAAATATTAAAAATAATAATATTTTATTAACTTAATAAAAAACATTATTTAGTCTAAATCTTTTCTAAAGAATTTTTACTTCGACGTTAATTTATGTTGCAAGTTTTTGTAACAGTCGAACGCGGATTAGTTACCGCATTATTTATCGACTTAATTACGAGTACCTTTTTAAGATTTTATCTACACTTTTCAAGGTACGATACATTCTGCAATGATGACTTCACTGTTCGCAGAAGATTCCCGGACGGGAAATATGATGGTTGATCAGGCGGCGACGACGGAGGCCAACTGGATGACACATTTGAGCCAGCTGGTACCGTGTAAGCATTGTGGAAGAACCTTTAATCCGGACCGCGTGAATATTCACGAGAACAGCTGCAAAGGAAATCGTTGAGGCTTCATTACACTGCGATTTTTGCTCTTTCTTTAATTTTAGAGATTGATTTTCCGGGTGGACATAAATAGTCTAACTATGAACAAAGTGGTAGAGCATATAATAACAATTAAATCGCTATAATCTTTTTTTCTATAGAAGTGATTCTCATAATCTGTGTGTTTTTATATGAAGACTAAATATTGTAAAATATTTTAGTTCGCGACTTTTCTAACAGTTTAACTTTTACTTCTATTTAAGTTTGCATTATGTACGTATAATAATTTGAATTAGTGATGCGTTTAAACTTTGTCAAAGTGATCTCTAGCTAACAATAAGAGACTCAGATATATATGCAACATTTATTGACGTGCACTTTGCACGTGGACACGAATGTTATTAGACAGTCAATAAGTCGTGTTGTAATTAAGCATGTTAACGCACGTTATATTTCTCAGACATGGAAAGTGAATTATCTCTACATAATTTATAATTACGAGTAATTTATGAATCGCCAGGGAAATAAAAATATAAAATGTGTTAATAAACCGACCACAACTGGCAATGTTATTATTCAAAATCAGACTTTTGAATTTTGAATAAATAACTAAATAATAACATTGCCAGTTGTGGTCGGTTTATTAACACATTTTATATAATTTATAATATACATATATACATTGGAATTACTTCAGAGTTCGCGAATTCTTTTGTCAAATTGACATTATCTTAGGGAAAATTTGAGCGGAAAAATTTTGATTTACATGACACACAGAGTGGCTTTGTAACTAAGTCAATAAAAAAAATTTTATAAAACAAAATTTATTCAAAAGAAAGAATTTACCAAAAAACTAATATTTTTTCAGCGAAATCGTTTCGATTTGACAAGAACAATCGTCGCAATCGCTTGTGTAGAATATTATATATATTTTTTAATTGTAAAAATTTATTTTTATATTTTTCTTTTAAAAATTTATCGATTATCTCGATTATATAGTATAATCGATTTCTCGAAACATTTTGACTATCTATAGATAGATGGCGGCAGGTGCAAGAATGCTTTGAAGTGCGTTCCAAAATCCTGTGGAATGCAATGCAAGGAATGCAAGCAATGCATCTATAGCATAACATATCGTTTATTGAGCGTTCTTATTTATGATTGGTGTAGCTTTTAGATTTCGGATAGCAAGATGAGTTTGCACTAATTTACGCAGCTGTACAGCTCAGCAGTTGTCCAAAAAAAAATATCCAATACAAGACAATAGATTATAGAATATTCGCATTTCAATCAAAAATGTTATTTTATTTTTATTTAGTTTATTTATTAGTTATTTTTCATTTAATTTAGGATCTATCCACATTTACTATTCGATATAAATTATATCATATGTCAAACATCGAGTATTCTCGGGAAAAGAGATTAGATTAATTCTTATAATTATCATTGCACAATTCGCTTATCATTTTAGATTTCTGTATGTTTTTGCGCGGTTTGAGATTAAAGTAATAACAGTTAATCTTTTATTATCATCACTACGCGTCATACGATAAGTGTTTCTAACCAATTTTTCACCAGCTGATATATATATATATATATATAAATATATATATATATATATATTTTGTATTCTGCTCGTAAAAGAGCTTGTAAATACGAACCAAATCCTCGTTGAGTCGCAGCTTCTCGCATTTTCCGAATCGAAGAGGACGTTTCGGAATGTTACAATAAGACAGAGTAACGAACGAACGTCCGCAAGTCTCACCCTGCAAGTTCAGGTTGTTCGAATGTCGCGTGGCGCGCCTGCGCGAGCGCGCCGCGCCGCGATTGGTCCGCGCGGCGGAGCGCGCTCCGATTGGCCGGCGCGGTCCCACGCCGCCGCGACGCGGCGCTTTCGCCACTCATTAGAGGCGGCGTTCGGGTGCACGGCGGATAGCCAGGTCTTTCCGAGGGAGTTCGCCATTGTTGGTGCACGTATATTTCGGACCAGGCCGTCGGCGATCGGACAACATCCAAGATGGTACGTAACCGCGTCGCGATGCCGTCGTCGCGATCGCGAGCTCGCGGCCCCGGAGGACGCGCGGCCCGCAATATTTTTTTTCCCCGAGACCTGGGGGCGATCTCGTCGACCTCGGCTCTCGAGAATCCGTTCGCGGAGGAGAGAAGCCGCGAGACGGTGAGAGAGAGAGAGAGAGCGTGACGGCGATTACTCAGGATTGCGCAATTTCGACACGCGTGGAACCTCGCCGCGGATCCCGAGCTTCCGGCCACGCTGTTCCGCGCCACGCGGTTCAGGGTCGTCGCGGAACCTCGTCCCCGGGCTCGGCCGAGATTCCGCCGCCCGCGGCGTCACGTCCGCGACGTGTCCCGAGCGGAAATATGCTATCGCCCGCGACGTGTCATGGTGCCCGCTCGGGCCGAGCAACGTGCTCGCGAGGATCCAGCGTGCGCCTTCTCGTTCTCTCCGCGACGAGATTCCTCGGCCACGCGGTTCGCTCCCGAGTGGTTATTCATCGGGGGGGATCCGCCTGCGCGGTAGGAAAAATGTATGTCGAGGCAAAATTGCGATTATGAGAAGCGTCAAGGCGGACGCTTCGGCGTATGGAGAATTTTAGAGGAGGCTGCCTCGCGTCCGAGGCAGATGTGAAATGTCACGCGAGCGTGAAAATTCCGTCTCCGGGCGGAAATCTTTCATCGCTGCCTCGCGCTCTCGTTCTTCTAGCTCTCCCACCGACGTGTCACGACGCAGCCTCGTGTCGATACATGAGGCAACGTGCTTCTTGATCTTTCTCGGAGACTTTTTTCTTTGTCGAAGATGTCGAGCGAGAAATTTTAGGGAAAAATGTGGGTCTACCCGAAAATAGCGGGAAAATATATATAATGTTGAATATCAATTCCGATTATTATTATCATCCTTTGTATTATCTTGAGATTTTTGTATTCTCATTTATTTGTTCGATCTACTTTATTTCAGTTTTATGCATCTTTTCTTTCAACAATTTTTCTTCTCAGTCGTAAAATTCTATGCTGCCTTTGACTGTTTCAATGAATAAACGTTTTAATTTATTGTTACGAAAATGTTTTATGGCTTTTTTAATATCTATTCTTTTTTTTTTTCAAGCTGTGATTGCATTTTATATTGCGCATTGTTTTGTCATTTTATTTAATTTTGTAATTCATTTTTTCATTTTTACTTCAAAGTGAATAATTGTTTTTACTAATATTCAGAATATAAATTTTACATAAATATGTATTATTGGTTTTTTTTTTTTTTTTTGGAGATTATTTAGGTTAGACTTAAAACAGCATGCTTTGTTCCTTTGTTTCTTGATGCACATTTTCTACTTGTTAACTTTACGTTACCATATACATTCAATAAAATTACTTTTTTTATTTATTAATACAAAAATGATTAATTTATTTTGAGATATACAGAGTATATATTTCAAACTGGTAATTTGGTTGATCTTCCAGCACACAAGGGTTACTCTTTAGTATGTCGTTTGATTTGCATCTGCAGTTGATCGACGTACACTGATAGTGTTGACAGTGCAATGGAAGAAAAGTAAAGAACAAATGTGTCTAAACGCTGTTAGTGGACCTCTATCTTTATGTTCGTTACTAATATGCTACGGCACAAATGTTACAAATTCTTTTTAGCCTCTCATGTTAGGATATTATTTTGGATAATTTTTCAAATTTTTTGCAAAAGTATTTGATATTACTATTATATGAGAATTAAATTGATTTAATATAAAAAGGACGTGAAAAGGAAATATTTTTTGTATAATTTGGAAATATCTACATGTTTTCATATATTGCAATATGTTGCAATAGAGTGTTATAAGGAATTACATATATAGCAAAGTGCATCAACTATCTTATCTAGTATACATTTACAAATTTATATATAAATTGATTGTAAATTTATATATTAATTATTCAGATAAATTGGAATTAATGTAGGTTTAAATTAAACTAACTTAAATAAAAATAAAGCATGTTTTAATTGTGAAAATGCATTGTTGTAGGTGAACTTTACGGTAGACGAGATCCGTACGATGATGGACAAAAAGAAGAACATCAGAAATATGTCCGTCATTGCACACGTGGATCACGGAAAGTCAACTTTGACCGACTCCCTTGTATCCAAGGCTGGTATTATCGCTGGTGCTAAGGCCGGTGAAACCCGGTTTACTGATACCCGTAAAGATGAACAGGAGCGTTGTATCACTATTAAATCTACGTAAGTCGCATCTTTCAGTATTTATTATATGCACTACTTTTATCGATCTCTTAATTTTACATTATTCAATATTATCACTTGCTCCTTTCTTTTCAGTGCAATCTCCATGTTCTTTGAACTTGAAGAGAAAGATTTAGTCTTCATCACAAATCCTGATCAACGTGACAAAGACGAGAAGGGCTTTTTAATTAATCTGATTGATTCACCTGGACACGTAGATTTTTCAAGCGAAGTCACAGCCGCCCTTCGTGTCACTGATGGAGCTCTTGTTGTCGTCGATTGTGTGTCCGGTATGTATTTAATATTTTTCTTTCTTTTTCATTTAGCACTCGTACATAAGTTTTTTTGGTACGATCAAAGAGATTGATCTTCCAGCACACAAGGGTTACTTTATAGTATGTCGTTTGGTTTGCATCTGCAGCTGATCAACGTACATTGATAATGTTGACAGTGCAATGGAAGAAGAGTAAAGAACAAGTGTGTCTAAACGCTACTAGTGGACCTCTATCTTTATGTCTGTTACTAATATGCTACGACACAAATGTTACAAATCCTTCCTCTTAAAATGTTAGGATATTTTTATAAGAGAATATATACATAAAATACAATCTTTACAAAGATTTTAATATTTTTCTCCCAAAATAAAAGAAAAACAATTATAATTGTTTGTTTCTTTCTAGGTGTATGCGTACAAACTGAAACTGTATTGCGCCAGGCGATCGCGGAGCGTATCAAGCCTGTTTTATTTATGAACAAAATGGATCGCGCACTGTTGGAACTTCAGCTGGATAGTGAAGATCTTTATCAAACTTTCCAACGTATTGTTGAAAATGTTAACGTTATTATTGCGACGTACTCTGATGATGATGGTCCCATGGGCGAAGTTAGAGTAAGTGAAGGAATAATTATTTCTGTTTTTGGATCAAAACAATTATATACATAAAGTTTCTTTATAAATATGATATATTTGTAAACAGGTAGATCCCAGCAAGGGTTCCGTAGGTTTCGGTTCTGGTCTCCATGGTTGGGCATTTACTTTAAAACAATTCTCTGAAATGTATGCTGAGAAATTTAAGATTGACGTAGTGAAACTTATGAACAGATTGTGGGGCGAGTCCTTCTTCAATCCTAAGACCAAGAAATGGAGCAAACAGAAGGAAACTGATAACAAACGATCCTTCTGCATGTACGTTTTAGATCCGATTTATAAGGTAAGCACTTTTTTGGTCTTTAGTGTTATCAAAAACAAAAATGTTTTATTATTATAAAAAAATTACAAAAACTAAACTTATTTATAGGTTTTCGATAGTATTATGAATTATAAGAAGGAGGAGGCAGATACTCTTTTGCAAAAACTGGGAATTGTGCTGAAACCCGAAGATAAGGACAAGGATGGTAAAGCTCTTTTAAAGGTAATATTTATTTCGAAAGTAAATGTTGCATAGATACTTATTATAAGTATGATGATAATTTTAGTTTTTCTGACACCTCTTCTGATTTATAATGAGAGAATACTAGTATTTCTGAGAAATGCTCGATAAATGTATTGGCTTTTTTTTACTTTGGAATATTTTTTATCATGCACATTATTTTTAGGTTGTTATGAGAACGTGGTTGCCTGCCGGAGAAGCTCTACTTCAGATGATTGCCATTCACCTGCCATCTCCTGTAACTGCTCAAAAATATCGTATGGAGATGCTATACGAAGGACCTCTTGATGATGAAGCTGCTGTTGGCATCAAGGTTTGTATTATATACAAGAATTGTAATATATATAATTTTTTCTAAATATTTCAAACAAACACATGATGAGCATCTATTTCACAGACCTGTTCCGAAATTTAATGAAGGAAATCGAAATTCTGATTTTAAAAAATATATATACATATATGTATAAAATATAAAATAATCGACTATATATATACATAAAATAATAATTTTTGTCTATTAATTAATTATCTTTTGTCTAGAATTGCGATCCGAACGGACCTTTGATGATGTACGTTTCGAAAATGGTACCGACGTCGGATAAAGGACGCTTCTACGCTTTTGGCCGAGTGTTCTCGGGCAAGGTATGCACCGGCATGAAGGCTCGTATTATGGGACCCAACTTCCAACCGGGCAAGAAAGAAGATTTGTACGAGAAAGCTATTCAACGTACCATTCTGATGATGGGTCGTTATGTCGAAGCTATCGAAGATGTGCCTTCCGGTTAGTAGTTCAAGATTTCTAATTTTGGTGTTATTTTAATTTTAAAAAAATGTCTAAAAATTTTTTAAAAATGATGATTGTTCTACAGACCTGTTCTGATAATTTATGATCGACAAATAGAACGGCCAGCTGATTTAATTAAACAAAATTAGAATTTTTTTTACATTATACATGCTCAATTAAATCGTTTATTAATGTATCTTTTTATAATACAGGTAATATTTGCGGTCTTGTGGGTGTTGATCAATTCTTGGTAAAAACTGGTACCATCACGACGTTTAAGGATGCCCACAATATGAAAGTTATGAAATTCTCGGTTTCGCCCGTCGTACGTGTCGCGGTAGAACCGAAGAATCCTGCTGATTTGCCAAAATTGGTCGAAGGTACGTAAGCTTTCGATTTAAATATAATTAGTAGAATTGGATAAGTTTATTATTTTTTAAATCTGAGTTAAAAATTAATAGTTTATAAAATTAATTTAGTTCAAAATTGCATGAAGAAAAAAGTAATTCAATTAAAGTTAAGATTAAATTAACTTTAGTTAAATTAAAAGTTAATTTTTAAAAATATTTATATTAAATTAAAATGTCATAACTTAGAAATTTTTTAATTTTTTAAAAATTTATATAAAATAACGAAATAAAAATTATTTTTAATATAGAAATTTTTTTTTTTTTTTTTTTTGTAATTACAATTATGAAAAAAAATTAAAACTAATAGTATAAAATTTTTTATTATCATACTTGTAAGATTGACATACATTATAGAATGCTCTTATTAAAATTTAATTCAATGTTTAAGATTTAGAAAAAATAATGGCATTGAGGAATGGAAAGAAATTTTAATTTAGGAAAAAAGTTAATAAGTTTATAGTTATATCCAATCTTGATAATTAATAACATTTTAAACAAATATTTTGTTAGAAATGTATACATATATGTGTGTGTGTGTTGTATGTGGTATGATTCACATGATGAGATTGACTTGAGCATTGGGTTATGATAAACCATGATTTGAATTTTTCCATCTGACACGATATCAAAAATATCGTTAAATATTATTTATTTTAAGATATTTTTTATTCGCGAAAATATATGATTTAATTTTTTTTTTAATTTGACAGGTCTTAAGCGTCTGGCAAAATCCGATCCTATGGTGCAGTGTATCATTGAGGAATCTGGCGAGCATATCATCGCCGGTGCCGGAGAGTTGCATCTCGAAATTTGTCTGAAAGATCTTGAAGAGGACCACGCATGTATCCCGATTAAGAAGTCCGATCCCGTCGTATCTTATAGAGAAACGATTTCTGAACAGTCGAATCAAATGTGTCTTTCGAAATCTCCGAACAAACACAATCGACTGTTCATGATGGCTTGTCCGATGCCGGATGGTCTCGCTGAGGACATTGACAGCGTAAGTTCGACATTTCTCTTTTCAGAAACTCAATTATTAATTAATGTAATATCTAATAAAATTGAGTGAAATGTAACAGTTAAATGAAGACGATGGAATGAGTCATAAGACTGTATAAACTGTAGGCAACTTAGAAAGAGAGGAAGATAGAAATAAACCAAAGTAAGTTTTATCTTCTGATATTTTGCAGGGTGATGTTAACCCACGGGACGACTTCAAAGTGCGCGCTCGTTACTTGAATGAAAAATACGATTATGATGTTACCGAGGCTAGGAAAATCTGGTGCTTCGGACCTGATGGCAGCGGACCCAATATATTGGTCGATTGCACCAAGGGTGTACAGTATCTCAATGAAATTAAGGACTCTGTAGTAGCTGGATTCCAATGGGCTACGAAAGAGGTAAAGATCTATCGCAAGATTTCTCGTTTTGCATGTAATACCTGCGTGATCAACGTAAATACAATTTGTTTCTACATTATCACAGGGTGTTCTTTCGGAAGAGAATTTGAGAGGTGTACGCTTCAACATTCACGACGTAACGTTACACGCCGACGCGATTCACAGAGGTGGTGGTCAAATTATCCCTACCACAAGACGTTGCCTTTATGCCTGTCTTCTCACTGCCTCACCCCGAATTATGGAACCCGTTTACTTATGTGAAATTCAGGTAAATCATGTTATTTCAATAATAAGTCTGTTTATTTTAGCTGAACTGGCTGGACTAGCTAATCTTTTTCCTTTCAACGAGTAAAAAAGATAAATTCTGAATTAATGCAGCCAGTTCAGCTGAAACGAACGAAGACCTATTAATGTACATCTTACATAAAATCGATAGAAAATAAATCTATTAAGACACGATTACATTTCAATTTTTTTGCAGTGCCCAGAAGTAGCAGTCGGTGGTATCTACGGTGTGCTGAACCGTAGGAGAGGTCACGTGTTCGAAGAACAACAGGTTGCGGGTACTCCCATGTTCGTAGTTAAAGCTTATCTTCCCGTAAACGAATCCTTCGGCTTCACCGCCGATTTACGCTCCAACACCGGTGGTCAGGCATTCCCACAGTGCGTGTTCGATCACTGGCAGATCCTGCCAGGTGATCCGATGGAATCCAGCACTCGACCATACCAAGTTGTGCAGGTACATATATTTTGTGTCGCGTTGATTTCACCACGTGCATAACTGATGGCGGTGATCGATACAATGCCACCGTCATTTTTAATCTCGTGGAAGAGAGAGCGTTTTTAGTTTTGACGTTCCAGGTAATGTCCTGGTTCGCCTGAATAGGGAAACGTACATTCTTTTATATAAACAAATAATCAGATGAGAGATACAATTACGTTTATTACAATCACATATTGAGATCTTGACAAAATCTGTATGCTTTTTTTTGCAGGATACACGTAAGAGGAAGGGATTGAAAGAGGGTCTCCCAGATTTGAACGCGTACCTCGACAAATTGTAACCTCAATCCACGCGCACCATATTTAAATACCTATGTAATTCGATTAATAAAAATCGCTGGAGCTGCTGTACAACAATTACAACATCGGTTTATTATAAATTTTGTTTTGCGCAATGATCCGTGAAAGACACACAATTATAAATACGAACAAGGATAATAAAAAAATGTAATTATATAACGAAAGAAACAAGAAAAATGTGCAGAGTATATCTGCATGTAAAAGTGCAAAGAGGCGGTATGTTTTGTACATTTATTTAATTAGGGAAGCAACGTCGACTGGTTGCTTATATATATATATTTTTTTTTTAGCATATTGGGTAAAGCGCTAAGGCTGTTATTCGTATTACAGCGTTTTTCGCGCTAATCTTGTTTAAACGAAAAAAATGGATTCTGTAATAGTTTATATATATATAAAACATATATATATATTGCTTTTTTACCGAAATTTAGTCAATTTTGCGTTGAGGACTTTACAATTGATCGGAGGCGAACAGTTCCCGAAATTAACTCAAACGGAAGAATCATCGCAACAATGTACTCATTACGAAAATATCAAGGAATTAAAGATGAAATTATGAAATAGACACAACACTTTTATTCCCTTTGCCCAATATGTACCGTAATAATGACGATTTTTAATAGTATTTATGGCCAATTTCCTTCAATTAAAATTAAAAATTGACATTGACGCAATGCGCAAGGATTTCATATAATGTATAAAATCTCATTATTTTATTCAGTAAATCTATACATATATTGATATCTGTAGATAATTTTTTTTTTAGTATTGGGAATTAATATTGATAGTCTGACATTAGATTATTTTTACATTGCATGTGAGAGAAGATTGAAAATATATTTTTGTTTTTACCAATTACTTATATAATAGTAATATATCCTATATATTATGTAATATATCCTATATATTATGTTATTTATTATATATATGTATGTCATTATGCAAAAGCTAGCATTAGATTTATGCGCGTATTCGCGATCATATGTAATTCGTAAACAGTGAATAGATGATTTATAATAACAAATGAGGAATTGCAGATTAAGAATACGCGCATAATGAGGCGCCAACTTAATACGAACAACTGCACTCGTGATTCGAGCGACGGTGATGGAAATCCGATCGAGATGAGAGGCAACAGAGCTTTATTTCTTCCCGTTGCTGCATCGCAAAGTCGCAGAGTCTCGAAGCTGCATAGGTATTACCAGAATTGGCTCGTTGCACTGAGGCTTATCCGTGTAAATGGACCACGTTCGTTCGACGCAGTCGAAGATACCTGCAATTGATGAATAATAATTATTATAATTATCTCGTACGCGCGAGACGCACAATAATTTTCTCGTTCGCATTCAGGTCTTTGTGATCCTGCGAAGAGAATTCTAAGAGATATGCTTGGAAGACGTGCTTGGATTTTAATCGGTCAGCGTCTAATTTCAGACGAGTTGATAGGGAAATCCTAAATAAGTATGACGTTATCTTTCTTACGCGTTTGTTTTACAATGCTTCCTATTTTCTTAATAAATATCGAATCTATGCTTGGCCATAGTCTTATCATCAATTTTAATTTCAAAGAAAGATAAAAAAGATCTATATAAGTTCGACTTCCTGATTTCAGGGCGTACCAGTGGCGATTGTTTTGACGCGATCGTTGCTGTTGATTTCCTGATACACCCTGAACTCATTGTCCGTCTGATCACTAAGTATGTCGATCACATCCTGGCGACATTTGGGCAATGGATGCTTGCGGATCGCCTTCGTCCTATGGATGCTGCTCTTTATGATTAATCCTTCCACCTCTGCCACCTTCAGACGCAGATACCTGAAACAATGGAAGTTGTCATTGCTTAATACAAAGGCATGTAATAAAAAAAACATTATTATTCAATTATTCGATGCATACATTATTATTTAATTATTTCAGTATCCTCGACTATTGACCAAATAGCTAATTTGTAAAGATGTGAAAATAATGATTCATCCCATTCATAATACATGTACATTAATAATTTATGTTTGCGATTTTAAATATTATTACTTCAGTAATTATATTATTATTTCAATTTGGAGTAATAACTTTTTTACTTTAATATATTTCGAAATTTAGATTATTATAAGACGAACGAGCTAACTATTGTATTCTTTCGTTTGCACTTATCTGATTAAAAAATAATTACAATTAATGATTACAAAAATATAATAATTATATATAATTATAAATAATATATCAAATATATTAAATAATAATAGTAATAATTATATATAATTATAAATAATATATCAAATATATTAATATAATAATAAATAATATTATATTATATACAGAAATGTAAATGAACATCTGTCAAAGATTGATTCGATTTATTTACACGTGTTCTTAACTGACACGTGTTTTTAATTGACAAGTTAATAGGAAACAAGAACGCAAAAAATGATATCTGTATAAATTAAAGATGCGATGAATATTTTACGCAATAATAACGCATAATGTAGACGTATAATGTACATGTTACAATGCGATGTGTTCTCGCCCGGACTAACAGACAGGATGTTGAGCTGGGACCTGACGCCGTTCGCCTCGGCCGGGCCCACCTCGGCGTTGTGAAACATCCGATCGCCCTCCTGTGCGAGGAACGTCATGTTCACCGAGAAGCCCTCCGCCGCGCCGTAGCCCTCGTTCCTCAGGATCTGCTGCGCCTGCACGAAGTTCTTCACGCCCAGAAGCGCCCGCGTCAAAAAGTATCGCGCTGCAAAATTATTTTATTTTGTTTTTTCAAACAGGATGGACGATTTTTCATCTCAATCAAGTTACAATATTATATAATCAACGTGATTGAATATAAAAGATACGTCTTTGTCGACCAAGAACTTCAGGATACAAATGATGAATGACAAAGTTATATATATATATTTTTTTTAAATATGAATTTTAATTAATTTTTTTTTTTACGTTGAATTCTAAAGAGAGTTCGAAATTTCAGGGATGAAGGGATGAAACTCACGAGTCTTGCCGGATCGTAGGACACGGGCACTCAGGGTATTGATGCTGAAAACAAAACCATGATGGTTGTAGCCCATCGTGTAACCCGGCAGGAAACCAGCATAGCTTAATGACGTGAACTTCTCCTCCTGGTAACCGGCCTCGATCACATGGGCGCTCACCAGGTACCAGTGATTCAAGGTCTCCGCGAGGGCGTCTTCGTTGTGACCTAGAATCTCCTGCGAAAACAAAATAAAATCGAATAAGTGGAATAAGTAGATATAATATTAAAAGTACAACAAGATATAATAATATGTATAAAACAATAATAATTATTATTCGATTATTGTTATAAAGTAATATGTTTTATAGTCGTGAAATAATACCTGCCATTTCATATCTTGTTACGTACGTTTCTTTGAACGAAAAGAAAGTTGTATTAAATTAATAATCCGTCCTAATATCATCATTATTGTTTTACATAAGATGAGATCACCATTCGGCTATATTCGTGTTTGTATATCTTTATAAAACGCAAGAGAGCGAGTTAATACGTTTTTCTCTGTCGCGGATTTTTTTCCTAAACACAATAAGGGTTCTTAATTATTGATTATTTCAATTTTATCAATTTACACTTTACTATATATACATATTATATTATGCGAGAATTTGAACATATATTATATTATGCGAGAATTTGAAGGTAAATTACATTTTCTACATCGCCATAATTTATTTAATTATAATAAGATAAATTAAATATGTATAAAATCATATGGTAAAAAAATTTGCATTCCAATTAACTCATGCGTATCTGTATTCAATGTTTTAATATGTATCTTTAATATCTTCTCAGTAGTATTATCTATATCGATTCTAATTATAATATAATATTACTTTAAAATATGCACATGTAATTATATTTAAAAAATCTGCATTCCACGTTAATTCATGGCGTGTGTTTGTGTCCGTTTAGTGTTAAATAATTTTTCGCTGTAACTATATAACTATATATAATTAATACTATTACTACTATTATTTATTTATTAATACTATTACTTATTTATATATAGTTACTATTGTAACTATATATATAAATAATAGAAGTAATGATTATATCCTATATTTGAATCGACTATTTATTAACTTCGAGCGAAATCACGATTTCACAATCAATTTTCTCTCATCGACATATTATCTGATATAGAATGAGAAAAATAGATCGTAAAAGAAAAAAACATCTTATCTCATCGTGATTAATGTTGACACTTAAACAATGAACACGCAAAACAATGTTTGACTTACAAAGATATTTCACCTTGACCACTACGCTTACTTTGTATCAGTGAGTTATATTTTAACTTATTATCATTCTTACATGTCCTAGGTGATTGCATATTATAGTTGAACAGCCGACTGGAAGCGAGTTTCCCAGGGTTCCGACCGTGACGTTTGAAATAATGTCATCCAGATGCATTAGAAACAGCTGCAACAATCATGTTACGTGTTTATTTAATTTGCAAAAATTACCCGATCTTTTGCACGCGAGGAACAAATCAAAATCTTGATTTTAAAATAATATAGCACGTAAATAATTTTTAAATTTATTTCGAAATAATTGAGGCCAAAAAGATATTTTTAAATTCTAAAATCAAATTATTAATATATAAATGAAAATTAATATATATTTAAATTATCAATTTTTCATTGATCCTTATTAACTAGAGTTCAACGATGCCGATTTTTTCTCCATATTTATTAAATATAAATTAAATATAAAAATTAATATATATAAATTAAATAAAATGTCTAAATTTCTCTTTCTTTTCTTATCTTCTTTATATTAATTATTTAATCAATTATACCAAATAATTAATCAATTAATTATCTAATCAATTATACTGATTATTCTCATCAATTATATATATTTTTATTTATATTAGCTATATTTTACAAGGGACATACCTTGTAAAAGGGTACATTCGCACCATCAGCTGTTCCCTCGATTTCCCTCACATATTGAGGGAATTGTTTTTTTACCGCATTAAGGGTTTCCTCGTAAACTTTCTTGCCCTTTTCGGTGGCAAACAAAGGTAGATAGGTTTCGTTCAGCGGTGTGTAAATGTTCACGAAATCCTGGATCATCTTGGCGAAAGTGCGCCCCTTTTGTAGGCAAACAAGAGACACGTCAAGAAAGAAAATATAAGATTCAATTATATCGAGAGAGAGATTAATTTTCTATTATATAAAAATTCCTTTAAAATTTACATTAAAAATGGAAACAGATTTTGCCCGATTTTCTCGTCATCCTTTCGAGTCTTTCAATCTCGAGAGCGAATTAAAATAATAACTAATCGAACGCGTGATTGATATATGTATTGCATGTCGCGTGATAATTTATGCAGAGAATTTAATCCGAGTGAACGTCACCCCTTATTTTCTCACTCTCTCTCTCTTTCTCTCTCTACTCGCGCTCTCGTTTCGATTCAATTATTTTATTACATTTCTTTTACTCAATCATGCATATGGATGTCGAAGTTGATTCGTTTCACTTGAGATATTGCTTCTATTAACGATACCAATTTATGTGTCATTTACATCATTTATATCGTAAGAAAAAGTGTTATATAAATATAATATTATCAGTGACAGATATTTCTCTTTCAGTCTCTAAATTTTTTTTTTGAATTAGAAAGACAAATAAAAATAAAAATTTGATGTGCAACAGTAAATTATCGATGAATCTGCTTTAAAACTTTATATATTGATTTACAAAATGGATTTACAAATATATCCATGCAAAGATTTAAGTAAAGATGTTGCAGAAGTTAATTGAGAAACTGATTTACATATTAAAAATATATCTTGTGCAAAATAATTTTAATTTACATTAAAGAACTTGTATTCACGTTGATTTTATCATTTCTGGCACATTGTAATTGCAACTTAAAATTTGAAATCAAGTAAAAATAGCCAACTCACATATACCTATAAATAATATACATATATTATAAATATCTGTAAGTCAACCGGACTATCTTAATAATAATTTCATAGAATTTCGAAATAAATCGAAATATAAGACAATCTGTTACAAAATATAATTAAAGCGCGGGTCATTAAGCTTGAAATCAGAAATACTAATAAACCCAGCGAACACCAAGTTACTATTATATAACTATTAGTCATAATTTTTCACTCAACATTATAAATGCGATATAACACGTGTGTAAATTATAATTAACAGTTATATACTCGTAATTGTTACTTGATGTTTGCTGGGAGTATTGTACACTAAAAACAGAGGAAAATGATCATTATGCAGAAAAATTGAAATCACACTCTGATAGATCGAGAGAATTTAAAGAAATCGAACAAGATCTACTAAGATCGAACAAGATCTATTAATTGTATAAGTAAAAATCTGGAAAAATCAGGAAAACAAAATAAAATAATTATTGTTATGCAAGAAAACTGAAGTCACACTCTTATAGATCGTGAAAATTTAAGGAAATCGAACAAGATAAAAATCTGACCCTGAAAACAAATAATTATTGTTATGCAAAAAAATTGAACACTCTGATAGATCGTGAAAATTTAAGGAAATCGAACAAAATCTATTAATTGTATTAAGTTAAACTCTGATTTGGAAAGCAAAGTAAAATAATTGTTATACAGAAAAATTGAAATAATCTGATCACTCTGATAGATCATGAGAATTTAAAAAAATCGGACAAAATCTACTAATTATAAGTAAAAATCTGATTCTTACTATATCGAAGCCAATCTCATAGTGCGTTCCTCGAACGTGGATTATAGGAATGACGTTCCTGCGGCCTATGTCCTTAGAAATCGGTTTGATCTTGCACGAATCGGTTGCCATATTTTCGTCGTGGATGATAAAAAACGTTTTTTCTTCTTCTTAACTCGATAAATGTCCGATCTGCATTGATATTTTTTTTATAATGCTTGATCAGATTCAAATTAGTAGTCGAAGCGTGGAAAATAACATATTGTATAATACATTAGTCATTCATCTGGAAAGCTTATAAAATGGTAATTGTTAATGTGTTAAATAATGTTATTATCTTATTAACACTTGATCATAATTATCCCAACAAACACCAAATAACTATTATATAACTGTTAGTTATAATTCCCCACTCAACAATATAAATGCAATAACACGTGTCTTAACAGTTATATAATTGGATATATTATTATTGACAAGTTGAATAATGGTCGCATAAATTTTATTATGAATTATTATCCTTCTACAAGCAGCACGTTGCACTCTGTTGGTTTTTACACAACTTTTTCAAGTTTCCGATTTCATTCAACAGCAGTATCCAGTTTCTCTGCATATATTAACGAAATAAAAATTGATACCTTAATCCACGCATAATCGGAAACCGGATATAGTGCAAAAATGCTGCGATAATCTCGTAAGCGCATATAATTTCAATATATGAAAACAAAAAAAAATAATTAGACAATTCACTGAATGCAGATCCCTGATTCCTTCACGTTTCACTCTTCATTCATGCGAGAAAAATAACAGAGATGAGAAGGAGGGTGAAGAATCATCTGACTCTCCATCGTTTGCATGTATATACCTGATGATGTCTGGGTGATTTCCACCTGAGCTCGCTCGAACCGACGATGATAATGATGATGACGGTGTTTCTCTTATCCGCTTGTTTGTCACCGGTTCACGACGACTGACAGTTTCTAATGATATCGTCGCGCGACTGACAATCCGCCTGGCGATCGGGAAGACTCGCGAGTGTCTTTTATCTGGCTTTTATCGCGTTACATCACGTAATTGCGGCCGCAATCCATCGCACGTGGAAAAAAAGAAAAGAGAGGAACGACATTTTCCCGCCACCCACCTTACCTTGAGGTGATTTCTCGTAGGTAGATCTGGGAGGTGAGAACCGTTGATAGTCACCCGAATGAAGAAAAACGAGAAGCTCATTTAATATGATGTCGTCGTTCTGTCGAAAAGTATCGAGTTTGCTGAACAATCGTATAAATGATTTACGCTTCGACGATGACGACAATGAAAATCTTGGAATCCAACCATGCTTGATAAGGATCGAAGAAAAAATGACGGATCAACAGGAGTCAAAGATAGCAATAAGTCGAAGCATTAGCTTCTTAGACTTATAAACACATTCGTATTATACAATAAATCACGTGTATTATCCTCTCTTTATTTGTGAGTTATTTACCCTCTATATATTACCCTCATTACGATCATAATTTGATTTCTACATCTATACTTGTATTTTGCTCATCAAAATAAAGGAACAGAAAATTCGAAAGGAAATGTTTTTGTAACCACGAGCAGACTTATTGTATTTAAAAAAATAACTAATAAATCGAGATAATTCATATAATTTATTATATTTATATTTATATTTTTCAATTTCTAATAAATTCTCTTTTTTGACGTGAATAGACTCTTATCGTGATTTTTTCTCCTCAAAACAGCACTTTATCACTCGTCATCGTAATTGCGATAGAAAATTGAAGAAAACGTACGTGTTGAACAAACTGGAGAAAGAAAAACAACGTGCGAAAGAATTATAGCGCCATAAATGCCATCGCGTAAGAAATTAAGGCAGCTCCATTTATGGCTGTCAGTTTTCTTCGCAGTGATACGCTTAAGTCTCGAATAAGTCGCGTTCGTTCTTGTGGAAGAATCTCATTCAAGGTCCCTTCGATATTGCGCACAAGGACCGTCCGGGAAATATATCGTGTGTATATACTTCATATACTTCCACCGACGAATGGATCTCTAAATAGAGATTTCGCGTGCAACTAAATCTGGAAGTGGCGGAGACTTCGTTCGACCTTAGGTCTTCTACTGGCGAGATGATCTTCAAACGATGATTTTTCACGTGGAAATCTGCGAGAAGAAACATTGCGCGTCGACGACAACCAAGTATGGTCTGTAGGGTAGATATGTTTTGTTCTGAGAATTAGATCTCGGATAAGTTTGAGAAAAATATTCTTCAAGGATGCAATAAAATGCGGTAAATCAAGGTTTCTCTCGTGCTTCAATAAACCTTGTCGCCTTGGAAGACAGTTCATAATATTCTTCAGGATACTAATATTATTTGCGTGAATTTATATATATATATATATATATATATATATGTATAAAATATAGTGTTTCTAAAATATAGAGCGTATTCTAGGAGTCAAAATAAGAGAAAAAGTTCCTATAAATGGATCCAAAAATGCTTTTCTTCTGAGTTATAGCTCCCTGAAATTGGGGGAAATAATCTAAAAATGTATTATAGCTGTCAGAGACTTTTTCACAGATTCTTGAAATCTTCCATCTTTAAGAGAGCTATAAATCGAAGGAAAAATATTTTTGGACCTGTTATAGGAATTTTTTTTCTTATTTTTACTCCTAGAATTCCTTAAAATTTTTGACATAGTTTTAGAAATACCCTGTATATGTACATATAAAAATATATTAAAATATATATATATATGTATGTATAATTTTCCTTATAATTTTTACGCGTGTTATATAATATTATTGTAATCGCAAACATCCGCAAATTACATCACGATCGATCGATTGCTATTGGAATTTGTGCGACTTCCAAATTCTTTGTTCTTTCGCGAGTTAAATCAATTATCGTCCGTTTTTAGGGCTTCCGTAATGTCATGTTGATTCAAAGATTATATGCAGAACAGAAACTCGCGAGTGCGAGTTGCACATATTTTTATTTATTTTTTTTTCGCGTGTTGGATTTCGCATTACGTAGTCGCAGGCATCAAATTCCGCGTTAACGTTCAATAGAATGCTAGAATTAATTAAATGTCAATAAAGTTGTATAAAATGTACAGAGTACAATAGACTATAAATTATAAATGCAGTGTAATATTTTTTCTGGAAGATTTTTAAAAAATATTATAAAGTTTTGTGTCTATATGTGCAATTTTATATTTTTTAAGTACGTTAAGAAAAGTACTTAAAAAGTATTAATAAAGTTCTGAAAAAGAGTTCGTAATATAATATTAAAATGCCAAGTCATATAATAATCGTGTTATATTAAACCAACAATATATTACATTTTGGATATAAAAATGTACATTATTAGAATAAGGACTTCATAATCGGTTCGAAATCACGAATCGCCCAATAGTTGCTATTTCTTAATAAAATTATAAAGTTAATTAATTTTTAAAACTCCATACATACACGTGATTTTCTCTTTCTCTCTGTCGTTACGCAATAATTTCAATAATTTTAAACTATGTTTATCTCATTTTTACTTCAGTATGTATGTATGTATGTAGTACATACATTTAAATTAATACGTTTTATTTGACGTCGCAATAAAAAATAATAATTATATGATAAGAAAACCGCTTATGTGTATGTATGTGTTTATACGCGCACTTTTGGACCTTAATAAGTACTGCGTGTTGTACAAAATGAGACTGTTTTACCCGCGATTATACATCTTATTCTTATTATATCAAAGATAATGCAAAATTTACTTAATTTTAATTAAAATTGCAATATTGTGCAAGTCACTTTTAATATTAAAAGCACCAAGATTTGTACATTTGCCAGTAATATTAAAATCGCGAATGAATATGTTCTTATAGAGTAATAAAATGATAAAATAGCTGCTGATTTTAATAATTATACAGTTTTATAATTTTAATATAGCATTACAACTTATATTATATAATATAATTATAAAATATAATATAAATTATATTATATTATATATAAATTATAATATAATTATAATTATAATATATAATTATACTTATAAAATATAACCATAATTATAATTACAAAACATTAAAATTATAATTATAAACCATAATTATAATTATAGAATAAATTATAAAATATATTGTACATAATATAAAATTTAAAATAAACAGACTTTAATAATTATACATTATATTTCGGAGATATTTTTTCTTTCACAAAAAGAAAATCTCTCTCTTAATCTTGTGCTAGCTGAACTTGAACCTTTATCTGTATATCTGATTTATATAAAAAATTATTCAAAAAATTTTTGATGCTAAAATTATTTTTATTTTCTCTTGTTTTATTCGTTTTTGAAAAATAAGATCCTGTCCATTAACATAAAAACGATCAGTCCCGAATATCTTACATACTGTTAAAAAAATGATACAATATGATCTCCGAAAAACTATTTTGCATAGTTAAAATTAAATAGAAGAACGATCCGAATTTATAAGTTATAGAGATATGTTCAAAAAGAAGAACGTTTTGAAGATAATTAATTTTACTTATTGTTAGCTTAATTTCTATGTCCAAATATAAAAATAACAGTCCACGAAAAAACCGATTATATAATATTGTCAACTAAAGCATTGTTTAATGAAATAACTAGTCAAATATTTCATAAAACGAGACGACGATTTAAATAAAAAAACATCGCTTCTTTGTAGTTTAAAATCTTTGTAAAATAATATGAAAAGAGGAAGAGATATATACGTAGCGTACATAGTATAAACAGATTGTTTTGGTATCATCACAACAGATTAAGTAATGATTGTATCTAGTCTTCATTCTGTGTCGATGACGCAAAAAACAATCATGGCGAGAAATTTTGCCTCAAAATACGCAAACACAAAGGCGGGCGAGAAAAAGCGTGTTTGTTCAGTCTTGTACAACACTTACTTGTATTCTGGAAAATCAAAAGCACTAATCCAGCAAAGCTTGTCATCATCAATAGCCGTTTCCTCTTCCTGTCTGCTTTTCAAAACAAATTCGTTCCTTTTCTTCTCTTATAAACTTTTTGCTTCGGGAAAAAGAGAAATCTTACAAATATAGATCAATTGCAGTATTTGTAAGATTTTTCTGTTTATCTTTTTATATGAATGTATAATCTTTCCTTCATTCAACTATTCTTTCACTCTGGTATGAGACTAGTAATCACTTATTCCTTGTCTTCTTATTATTACACATCGGGACTCCTATCACCCATGTAGCTCCATTCACATAGTTTACCATCCCACTATAGGCATAAAATACGAATTATAAGTAGTGTAATTATTTTACTTTATAACAATAATTTTCGTAATAATTTTACTTACCGATGAGGTAAGGATATTGTGGCCATAAGGATGCCAGCTAACATCACGGACGCATCCTGTGTGACCTCTTACATTGTGCACTATTTTTCCCGTTAGAAGATCGTATACTGAAATTGAGAAAAATAAGTGTGTAAAACCAGGTTGCTCATTTATGAATTTGCGTCCGATAGCTCAGCAGGATCAAAACTTACTGATAAGTCGACCCCTCGAATCTCCCGTGTAAATATATCGTTGGCCGGTTGTAATTTTTGGCGAGAAATGACAACGTATCAAAGTCTTACGAATGGAATGACCGTAATATGTCATGACACTAGTGTCGTTTTTTAATAAAGTTGTACATCCTCGTTCTAAAACAGCAAAATATTGTATATTGTATATTGTATATATATATATATATATATATATATATATATAATTAATGATTGCACATTACAATCAATCAATCAATATATATATATATATATATTTAAAAATAAAAACATGACTGTCTCGAGCATTTTTTTCTTGTTTTAGTTAGCTTGAATGAATATTTACCTGCTGCAGTTAAATGGTTTATTCTGTAATCCCAAGACATAGATTGACTGACTGTTTCTGTAGAATATCTGCGCATATCCCACAACTTGATGGTTTGATCTTTAGAATTGGATATTAAATATCGTTGATCGCCGCGTGAATCGATGTACGTAATTCCATCTTGATGCCCAGCAAACATTCCAACCATTTTATCTCGTCTCATATCCCACACCTAAACGGATAGAAAGATATAAAAAAGTATATGTATGTATGTATGTATGTATGTATGTATGTGTGTGTGTGTGTGTGGAGAAAGAGAACTTTCGAGAATAATTGCCTATCTCTTAACTATATCAGTTACATAAAAATATTTTTATGCTCTCTCTCGTGATATTCATGATTTATATCAGAGAAAGAGAAGGAAAGAAGTTTCTTACCTTACACAATCCGTCGTCGCTGCCACTGAAAAAAATTTGTGAAGAGTCATCAGCAAAATGTATAGCATTCACATGCTTGTCGTGACTTTCAATCTGTAAAAATTAATGGCTAATGTAAAAATATCGCTAACACGTCCTCTCCTCTCTAGCTAATGATTTTACGAACCTCACTGAATTTTTGATTGCGCTGACGATCATACATATGAATACGGTTGTCATTAGCGCCACAAATAATATTTCTACCATCGTTCGAAAAGGCTATTGAAAATACGCAAAATGGTCGCTCTTTCGGGTGTAACTGTAGTGTTTGCATCCCATTACTGGAATCATTTTCATTTTTCATCAAAAGAGGGCATTGAAAAACTGTAAAAAAAAAAAAAAAAAAAAGAAAAATATATGTTGCATCAAAACTGTAAACGCACGTCGTGTAATCACAATGTACTTACGAGTCTCCGACCAAGTCGAGTAAGCGATGTAACTATTATCTGGAGAAAATGCTACGCTCAGAATACTCCAACCTACATCGCATGCCTGAATTGTCCTATATGGCTTCAATCTACCATTATGCGTGCTATACACATACAACTGTTTATCTGTAAATAATAAAGATTTATGTGCAAAGATTTGACAAGTTGAACATTAATTGACAATCGACAACTTATTGTGAGATTAGAAAATTACACGAGTTCAATTGCTATTTCCGTACAATGTGCATGTAAAATAACATGTGATAAATGTTAACAATTTAATTTACCATGAGTCGCAGAGAGGAAATATTTTCCGTCCTCTGAATATATTCCACAAGATATTCTAGAATAATAATTCTTTAACATGCGGGGATTATTTGGTAAAAAATTATTTCCTAAGTTACATGTTTCACTTCGACTAGAACCATCATTGAGGTTTAATCTTTCTATCACAGGTATGATGGACTTATTTTGTTGTCTAGAAGTTTGCATTACCCCAGAGGCCTCTCCTACGAGACAACTTATGTTGTTGTCCTAAAAAGCAGCGCACAAAGTTATGATTGATGTAAAATGCACACTATAATATACAGAACAATCAACGGAAAGTGTAAAGTAATAATATAATAGATGAATACATATCACACAAAATTTGACAATTATCTCTTTCAACGAAAAGAAAAGAAGAAGAATTTTTATAATTATTCTTACATATTCTATAATTTTTATAGTTACAACAGATAACTCACCACTAGCCTGGATGTATCTGGAACAAAGTCCGGCCTCGATACGAGAGGATGCTCTGGTTCGGATTCAACATCTTCATCCTCTATACCATTTGTGCTGAAAAAAAAAAAAAAAAAACAATCGAGATATATTTTCCAAGTAAATCGCGTGAGATTGAGAGGTAGGTTATGTTAGGTTACACGATTGACAGATACAGCGGACAAATAACCTGCGCGAAGCGCACGCGAGAAAAAGGGACCGTCATGTTTATCATTTTTTTTTTTTGTCGATCTCGATCAGCGAGAGGACGATCAGCCGGGGAAACGTCAAACGCGACGTGTCACAGGGCCGCACGAGAGCGAGAGAGACACACAAGGGGGTCGGATAGGTTAGGGAAAAAAAAAGCGCGCGCGAAAAAGAGCTCGACGAATTTGACGTTCGGTTCAGACGCGTAATCGCGCGATTCACACGTTCGCACGAAAGATCGATCGCTCGCGCGTTTAATGCGGAAGGAAGGTGAGAAAAACAGCACGACATACGAAAGATTCAACATTAGATATCTTCCCCTGCGCCTGCGTGTTGTTACGTACATATTCATGCACGGATCACGCATGAATATGTCGTATATATATACTGAAAAAAACTCCAATCGCGCGCGAAGTCAAGCTTGAAAACGCAGCCAATCGCTCGTACGCGAATTTTACTTTTGTGTATTTTTACCATAGACTTTTCGTTCAAAGAGAGTTGCTAATTTTTGTTTTCTAGACGGTTTCATCTCATTGGATGAAAACTCGTAAATGAGTGAATTAAAAATAAATAAGGTAAAAAATAATCGAGAGTGCGCGCTCTATTTGTATGCAAAAGTCTATGGTATTTAAACGCTCCGCCATATTTGAATGTAAAAATTGTGCGCGCTTTCCCTCTCTCTGTATTTACTTCATATTCCATCTCCAGCTTGAACAGACGGCTGCAATATTTAAGGATTGTTGATTAAATCGTGAATTTCTAACAAGGTAATTAAGAGAGATTTTCAATTCCAATTTTTAATCGAATCGTTTACAATTCAATACTGGGAGAGATTATGAGGTGAATTATTATGTATATATATGCGGATGAATATTATTTTTTCGGAATCTCGTGTTCTTGGAGATGATTCCAAATTATACTTCGCAATCCCATGCTCGAAACAGTTTCACGATTTCGTGCAACGTTGAACGACTCTAATTAATATAAACAATGCACAAATAAATTTGCGTGTATACAGATGATATATATTTCGCTATTTATCGTCATTCAAAATAAACTGGTCGGTGATTTCGAGATCCGCGGTTTTGTTCATTTCGTAAACAATTTAGCGCATTTGACGTATTTATACGGAAATCGAGCATTTATATCTATCATCGTTAAATGTCGCCTTTTAAATGCAAATCCGACAATTTATATATAATAGTAATAATATGAATGCAAATAATTACAGCGATAAAAAAAAGTATTTTTTTTTTTTAATATCAAAATCCATATTCTCGCAATTGATTAACATTAAACTCGTTTGATAATTAATAATAATACAATAACATTAAAATTGAAAAATTCATGATTTTTAAAACAGCGACCTTTCTGTATTTATTTGCATGTTAATTATAATCTAATGACATTTTATCGATTTTATTTCAATCTTTGGAGATAAAATATTATTGTTTGTGAATTATATAAAACAATTATAATAAAAATGACAACAATAATCATTATTATGTAATTTACATATATCATTCACAAGCGTATATTTCCATACATATCTTACAAAAAAAAATTGTATTACATTATATATTAAAATTGTAATATATCATATATACATTAATACATTTATATGTGTATATATGATGTATTAATACATCTTTTCGTAAAGAGATGTATATTATATAATAACAATAGTAAAAATAATTATAATAAAAATAACAACATTAAATGAATTAATAGATCATGTATACATTATTGATAATACAATTTTGTGTAAAATGTATATCATATACATATATTATATTTCGCATAAAATATTGTCTGCAAATCGATTTTTTCATAATTTATTTCGTCGCGTCTTCTCTCGTTTTATAATTTTTTTATACTCATAACAATTTCATAAATCTCTTCTGTAATCTATTATCGTTAAATCTCTTGCGAAAATGCTCTTCTCAAGAAATATTCGTCTGATTATGCAAATCGAATCGGATTTATTATTCTATATACATATATAGCACCGCGGTAAATGTTCCGAAACTTTGGAATAATCGTGTTTGAAAGTTTTATAAGATAAAAGCAAAGGTCGCGCAATTCGAAAGATGGACTGAAGGATTATGGCTACAAGATAGCGGTATTAAAAGAAATTTATGCGGAGGGACGAGCGTATATAAATTTGGATTAAACTTGTTAGAGTGACAATCCGAATTTTTTACAGGGTGTCCGGTAACTAACGGACCAACGATTACAAATGGATTCTTTGGTCAATTTGGGAACGATTTTTCCTCAGCGAAAATGTCGAAAAAGGTCATCATTTTTTACAACTTTCCAATATTTGTCATTATGTGTATCTTTATAACTCAAATTAAAATTTTATTATAGTAAACTCTACCTAAAATTAACTGAAGAATGTGACTTTTAACTCCAAAACGTTTAATTTTCAAAAACCAATTTTTTTCAATCGCTTATAACTCGAAAATTATTGACTTCTCAACATTTTTGCTAAGAAAAAATCGTCTCCAAATTGGCCAGAAAATCCGCCCTTAATCATTGGTCCGTTAGTTACCGGACACCCTGTATACGCGACGAGATCCGCCCTTATAGAAATTTATCACTAGTAACTTAAAATACTTTTAAAATACTGATATACAGTAATTTAAGTACTCGAAATAAGTAATTAAGTACTCGAAATAAGTGATTAATTGGCGTTACAAGTGATAAATTTCTACAAGGGCGGAAAATGATGATTAATTCAATACAAGAATGCGGTTAATTTCGCGGTTAAATATTTTGCGGTTGGATCAATGGTTCAACATTACTATATTTTTATCGATACACTCGCACGATTAATATTTTGTTATTTGATACGTGTCGAATAATAAACTCGATACGATATGCAAATTCTGTGTTTGTTGAACAGAGATTTTTTTTTATTAAAAATATTGTTTTAATTTTTTTTTCAAAAGTATGTATATTGAATAAAAAATTTAATGTAAGGAAAAAACATTTTTTGTTTTTTTCCTTTGCATCATACAGTGTTTTAAAGCATTTCTGTATTCACGTTTAATTGTCGAGAAATAAAGGAAATGGAAATGATAATCACACTTTGTAGGAAACGTAATAGATAGATGAAATCTTAATACTTTACTAAATTCTTTATCGATTACGTTGTTGATGTATTAGAAGAAAAAATAAATAAGATTTTTTACTGTAATTATTTTCTCTACGAAGAGAAAATGCGAAAAATATTTTCATAATCACGAAAAATAATTGTTGCATCTCGATTCAAAAATAAAATGTGATCAATTAAAAATATAATAGGTCTGTCATGTCATTGTCGTATTACGTGGATAGAGGAAAATTCAAACCTGCACTTTAATCATTTATAGAGTAAACAAACATATATATAAGAGCGGAAAATTATTATTTTGCGAGAACAAAAGATTAAAGATTAAATAATTACAGCTGATTAATAGATTAGATATTTACTGTTGTCTATAATATCATAATAGATTAAGTCTATTATGTTCGATAAATTAGACAATTAAGCTTGTAGCTTTAATAATTAATAAAATAATTCTGAGGCATTAATAATTTTTTCAACAAACGATGGAGAGAACGAGAAAAATTATTTTCGCGAAAATTAAACTTTGAAAAGCTAAATGCATGGATCATAAATTATTTTTTAATTTAATTTTCGCTGCAAATTTACATTGCATTTTTATTTAAGGGCAAAAAATATGAAATGAAACACCTTTCTCTATAAATATTTTCCCTAAAAATCGATTCCGGATCGTCTAATGAGTCCAGTGTCAATTAAAATTATATTCGACAGTTTTTCGGATAATAAGTTGTTTATTAAATAAAATTAAACTATATCAGAAGTTAAATGAGTAATAAAATATTTTTTAAATCAACTTTAGCTGTAATTTACATCGAATTTTTATTTAAGGGCAAAAAATATGAAATATAGTAAGACATCTTTCTCTAAAAATATTTTCCCTAAAAATCGATTCCGGATCGTCTAATGAGTCCAATGCCAATTAAAAATGTATTCGACAGTTTTTTCGATAATAAGTAGTTTACTTTATTAAGTAAAATTAAACTATAAGAAGCTAAATGAGTGATAAAATTAAAATGACAGTTATATAATACAAAAAAAGATCGGCTCGAATAATAATAATCTATATAATCGAAATAATTGAACGAAGGTCTTTTTCGATCAAATTTTTTGACAATTAATTTATTATTGAAATATCATACCCTGCGGAACGTTTCGAACATTTACTTATGTCATCTTCAGCCGCTAATCCTTACGAAATACTTTAAAAATAATATGAAATTGTGTAATAACTCCATAAATACGTACATAACTCGACAAGTCAATTATTAGTCATGACAATTAAAAACACAATTGGTGTACATGTCGTTCGATATATAAAAATATTATTCACTTATGTCAAAGCATGGATATAACGACCCTATCGAGGTAAAACTTAACTCATTTTAAGTAATACCTCGATAGGGTCGTTATACCATGCTTTGACATAAGTGAATAATATTTTTATACGTCGAACGAACACAATTGTTGTACATGTTTTTAATTGTCATGACTAATAATTGACTTGTCGAGTTATGTACGTATTTATGGTGTTATTACACACAATTTCATGTTATTTTTAAAATATTTCGTAAGGATTAGCGACTGAAGATGACATAAGTAAATGTTCGAAACGTTCCGCAGTGTATAATATTTCAATAATAAATTAATTGTCAAAAAATTTGCTCGAAAAAAGGCCTTTGTTCAATTATTTCGATTATAAAGAGTGATAAAATATTTTTTAAATCGACTTTGGCTGCAATTTATATCGAATTTTTATTTGAGGGCAAAAAATATGAAATATAAGACATCTTTCTCTAAAAATATTTTCCCTAAAAATCGATTCCGGATCGTCCAATGAATGCAGTGTCAATGAAAATATATTCGACAGTTTTCTGGATAATAAATCGTTTACTTGATATAAAAGCAAGTTTTTAGTTCGTAGAGATTTTCGCGTCTGTCATCATCCAATGACGCGTCATCACCCTCGGCCTTGTCAATCACGCACGGGAGAATCCTAATAGCGTTAGCAAATGTTACGCCGCTATTTCCGATTGTCCTGCGCGTAATCGTATCTGTATAAACGGTTCGATACGAAGCGGAAGCTTCGCTACTCTCCGTTCCGGACGTGAGCGCGTTCTGAAAATGGTACTTGCACGATAATGCGTTTGATGCAATGAATTTCAATCGCGCCCTAATTTCATATATATTCATCGCAAATAATTCACGATATATATACGAACTGCCGATTAGATTGAAAATATCTCTTGTAATACCGGATAATTTTCCGAGAGCCCGAAGGGTCGAAAATCACGAGAAGATATCGTCTCTTCCTCTCTATTTTTTTCTCGCAAATTGAACTTGAGAGAAATCACAAGATTATTACCCTTCGTTAATTTGAAGAGTGAAAACTATCTGCTTTCAGAAGATTTCAATTTAAGAGACTGAGTCTCGTAAAACCTTCAATATTGATATTCGAAGATCGATAGTAAATAATGAGCTGGCGTTTCTTGTGTGTACAGGAAATAAATATAGGCGTCAAAAATCCAAAGAATCTGCCTCTATGATACTTAAAATAAATCTATACAATGAAATATACATACGCGTATATTAATAACTTTCACTCTCTATTTGCGCGTGTCAATAATTGAGTTTCAAATTGTAAATATCGACGTTATAAACACTTACGCCTACTTGATTGTATACCTAATTATAATTAATCCTATTTCAGAACATACACACACATACACACATAAATTATATAATAACTTAATCTAACTTTCAGTAGAAATATGAGATTGATCTTTTCTCCTTTATCTTTTTAATAAGTAATTTTTATAAAGTAATTTTCAGTTTTATTTTTTTATTCAACTCTAACATATTTTTTTCTTTATATTAATAATAATATATTCGTTTATCCTAATTTATATTTATATTAATATGATATCTTTAATAATGTTTTTTACTCGATAAAATCCAAATTCAATTTAATTTATTCATCTACTGATTTTATTAAACAAATTTTTATTTGATTATATTTTTTAGATTTTTTCTTCTTTATATATAATTTTATTGTAATCTCTTGTAAAAAATTTAAGTTTATAATATAAATTTTGTATAAATTTTATATTATCGCAAATATTTCAGAAGAAAAACGCGAGCTTCTTATAATAAATCTCACAATAAGCGCATTATTTGACAATTTTAATTAGACACAATTAATACGGAAAAAGTCAATATTGTCAATTTTTAGACATTCGATATTTTATCATGAAAATTTTTTGTATATATCTACATATAATTTTCTATATTAGAAAGTCGGAAGACAATTTATTTTTGTTTCTACGCACCAGCCGCGTGGAATTTCGTTTTTAATATTCTTCTATAAAATGGTTGCACTCGAAAAATCGCATTTCGTAATTGATTTCCCTCCGCATAAACCGTGTCCGATTGAATTAAAGCGAGTCGACGTCGGGCGCGTGCACGATTAATTCGGGGTCGTGATTTTATATACGAGAGTGAGAGAGAGAGAGCGAGCGAGCGAAAGAACGCGTCCGCGAAATCTCATTGGGACATAAATTTTCCGGCCGACACGAATCGTCGTCGTCGGGGAAAACGGATTGTGATTGTGAAAGAGATCCGATCGGGCCGGATGTACAATAGACGCCGCGACGGACACAATAGCACGATCACGACGAAATTAGATCGGTCCATTGATTGGTTCGTTGACTCGTAACAAGCTTGCTTACAATACGGCGTTATAGGTACGACCGTGACTCGTATTTCTGATTTGGAACGGCGCGCGTGTGACGTCAGAGGGTACGCTTATACGCAACGAGATCCGAGGAGTTCAATGCAGGAACGAGATGAGCCCGTCGTAATTTGAGCAAGACTCATTTCGAGCATGATTTCGCGCGATTGTGTAGGTTTCGAATTTCCATCGTTTTTCTTTTTTTTTTCTTTTTTTTTTTTGCACGCCCCGCTTATTTACTCCTCCACAAACTCTTCTTAATTGCGTCATCGAGACGGTCTAAGTTTGCAAAAAAAAGTTTGTAATAAGCGCGCATCAAAATAATTATGAAAATGTATAGGTATAATTTTTATGTTATAAAGTTTGATTTCCCTCTTCGAGTATACAGGATGTCCCAGGACTTATGACACCTTTTAATAGAAGGTTTCTAGGGTTATTCGGAGAAGACTTTCCCTCAGCGAAAATATCGAGGCGCATAATTTTCGAGTTATTAGCGATTAAATGAAGAATAAGTTTTTTTTTTTCATTAAACTAAGCCTGGTGAATTTGTGAAAATAAAATATTAACGAAACCACATTCTTTTGTTAATTTTAGGTAGAGTTTACTTTAACAGAATGTTAATTTAAGGCTTAGTTACAAAAAGATTCACGACAGCAAAAATTGAAAACACGCAAGAAACGACGACCACCCCGACATTTTTATCGAGGAAAAATCGTCTTCGAATAAATCTTTCATAAAATATAAAAATCCTTAATCCCATATCAAAGTTTGATTAACGATGTTACCTATATCCTAAGTTAGCTTTTAATTTTTCAAACAAGTTTAATAGTCGCGTCTCGACAATGACAAACGAGGCGCTCGAGAAAAGGAGAGAATCGGGAGGAATAAAACGGGAAGACAAAAATTACGCGGAGAGTTCCGGCGCGATCGCTAAAAATAGAGGATTAGGAGGACCATCGATCTCGTCGGCGATTCACAGCTAATAAGTCAATTAGAGTCGAATCAGTCGGCCGGCCGCCGCCGGACAATCGCTCATCGTTACGTGACGTTTCGGAGTAGAAGAGGCAAGAAGAAGCGGCCGAGCGTATCGATGACAGGCGGACAGGAAGGCGACCAGGCAGGCAAGCAGGCAGGCAGGTAGGTAGGTTTTTCGACGCCAGGGCGAGGAAAACACCCCCTATATATCCCGCATCAATCCCCATTCTCTCGCCTTTCTCACCCCCATAGATCCACATCCCCCGCATATATACAGGGTGTTTCTAAAACTGGCAGAGATTTGGAGGATTTATTCTAGAGATCAAAATATGAGAAACAAGTTTCTACATACAGGGTGTCCCGTAGGAAATTGCTGAAACTAATCAGCTGTCATTTTTAGCATTTTTTTAAATTATTTTTATCAATAAAATAAACTGATATACATTTTATTCATATTGATTAAAAACTGGATTTTAATTCCTCTTTCCAACACAATTTTTGTTTTCTCAATAACTGCGTGCGTTAAAAAATGACAGTTGATTAGTTTCAGCAATTTCCTACGGAACACCCTATACAAGGGTGCAAAAATGAAAATTAGCAGCCTTCATATATCCCACTCAAAATCACATAAAAATGAAGTATTCATCTGTGAAAGCTTATAATACACCCAAGTAGCAAACCTATTACGTCATTCTGACGTTTAATATCAGTTTGCACCTTTTCATTTTGACGTTTCATGACGTCAGTGTCCATTGTTTCATTTTTCCTCCCAAATTAAGGCGACTATAAAGCAACTTTGGATCCAGGTTTTCTTCTTTCGACCCCTAGAATATGTCCTTCAAATTCTGCCGTAATTTTAGAAACATCCTGTATATACATCCCCCGCATGAATATATATATATATATGTATATCCAGGTAGCAAACTACATCATTTTGACGTTTCATGACGTCAGTTCGCATTGTTTCATTTTTCCTCCCAAATTAAGGCGACTATAAAGCAACTTTGGATCCACGTTTTCTTCTTTCGACCCCTAGAATATGTCCTTCAAATTTCTGCCGTAATTTTAGAAACATCCTGTATATACATCCCCCGCATGAATATATATATATGTATATCCAGGTAGCAAACTACATCATTTTGACATTTCATGACGTCAGTTCGCATTGTTTCATTTTTCCTCCCAAATTAAGGCGACTATAAAGCAACTTTGGATCCACGTTTTCTTCTTTCGACCCCTAGAATATGTCCTTCAAATTTCTGCCGTAATTTTAGAAACATCCTGTATATACATCCCCCGCATGAATATATATATATGTATATCCAGGTAGCAAACTACATCATTTTGACATTTCATGACGTCAGTTCGCATTGTTTCATTTTTCCTCCCAAATTAAGGCGACTATAAAGCAACTTTGGATCCACGTTTTCTTCTTTCGACCCCTAGAATATGTCCTTCAAATTTCTGCCGTAATTTTAGAAACATCCTGTATATACATCCCCCGCATGAATATATATATATGTATATCCAGGTAGCAAACTACATCATTTTGACGTTTCATGACGTCAGTTCGCATTGTTTCATTTTTCCTCCCAAATTAAGGCGACTATAAAGCAACTTTGGATCCAGGTTTTCTTCTTTCGACCCCTAGAATACGTCCTTCAAATTTCTGCCGTAATTTTAGAAACACCCTGTATATACATCCCCCGCATGAATATATATATATATATAATATATATATACATATCCAGCGCACCTATCTACCTACCAACCTACCAACCTACCTACCTACCTACCCTGCAACCCAGACCTATAATTTCCAGGCAACGCGGAGGCCTACACCCTGAGCTCCGAACCGGGCGAGGACCTGCGCCAGGCGCCGGCGGAGAGCCAGGAGGCGGAGGGCTCGCGCGCACGCGCGCGGCTTCTTCTCTTTTCCGGCGCCGTCGTCGACGTCGACGTCGACGTCGCCGTCGACGGCGGCGGTGACGACGCGGGGGGTGGAATCGCGCGCTGTTTACAGGATAACAGGATCCTCTTCTCCTCCGAGCGCGCCAGTCCATCGTCGCCACGCATCATCGGCGCATCCGTCGGCCGCGGCGCGGCGTCCACGCACATCTACAAGCACATATACACATATATATATATACATATATATTATATATATATTTTTTATATATATATATATATATATATATATATATATACACACGCGGCATCAGGAGCGCGCGCCGTCCGCGCGCGAGTGCTCCCTTATTTCGGTGCCACTCGCCGCACTCGCTCGAGAGTTCGCGTCAACTGTCGCGTGCAAGCGTTATTAACCCCTTTTCGAAGTCGCCGTCGCCGCTGCCGCCGTCGTCATCATCGTCCTCGTCGTTCACCCTGTAGCAGCCACCGCTGGCCACCACCGAGGGGTGACTCTTTCTCCTCTCTTCTTCTTCCTCTTCCTCTTGTCCTCGGCACAGAGAGAGAGCCTATGTACGCTGGTGTGCTGTTGCGCGTTTTCCGATATCGTTCGGCAACAGGTGAGTCACACACTCAAGCGCTCCCTCGTCTGTCTATCCATCCGTATATATAGGTCCGTCGCCTTTTGCACTTCGCGTCTGCCTGCGCGATGATATATATATATATGCATATATATATATATTCTCGTCGTGTATTGTATATCGCGCGGATAATTATAGTTCGCTGGCTCCTTTTGAGGATCTTCCTGGTCTTCTTCGGTGGAGAAGTAAGACGGAAGGAAGGCGATTACACGCGCGGGAATTATTAGGGGTGAGATTGGGGTCGCGCCGGGAATATCCGACAGGATAACGCGTCGCCGCGGGCCGAGAAACCGAGCCTTCAAGATCGGGCCTGGCGATTTAGAGGGGTTGCGCTTGCTAACGTTAACGGCTCGCGCGCGCTTAATATCGATTTACCGGAGCGGATATAACGCCCGTTAACGTCAATCCGACGAAAACTTTTCGTTCGCGTCCTCCCTCGTGCGATTAAAATTCCGCGAGCGTTAATCCTGGAGAGCGCGGAACAAAAGGAGTACACAGTAAAAAAATTGTGTTAAATTTAACACATTTCACATGTCCCAATTTATCCACTCTAATTTTAATGTTAATTTAACAGAAAACAATTATGTAATTAAATAACACACGTAATATGTGAAAAAATAACACCAAAATATATAATATAAGCAAAAATTCGTACATTTTCATTTAATTGTGTTGTTTTAACACTTGAAAATAGTGAATATTAACTCAACAGACAAATGTCAAAATAACATAACGACAATATGTTATATTAACATAAGAGTATGTTAAAATTTTAACACAAAAATTTCTACACAAGATAATTTCAACAGAAATACGAAATGTTTTTTACCGTGTATATATGTGCTTCGTTATTATTTTCCCTCATATGGTGAACGAATCAAGGAAATGGGAACAAATTTTACTATTTTTCTCTGTTTTATTCCTCCCTTTCTCTCTCGTTCTGATTATATTTACCTTATTTTGCATATGAGATATATTATTTACATATATGGTTCACAAAAAGCCGATTTATTATATTATAGAGGTATCATCTGCGTTAAGTTGTCTAATCTCAATCGAGCGAAGTGCTGTTAGATATTGTATGTTTAAGTTTAATGTATTTCCACTTATTATGCCAGAATCAAATATATTTGCAAAGTATATTTGATAAAAATTTGTAACTTTTCTTTAATGTAACGGGCGCAAAAGGTATACACTGAAAAAAAAATTTTTGTTGGATTAACAAAAATTCTGTTCAAAAATAGAACGAAACGGAATTCTGATTGAATCTACCAGAATTTCTTTTAATACAACAAATATCTTGTTTACACCAACAAACTGATTTGTTGTACAAACAAGATGCTTGTTGCATTAAAAGGAATTCTGGTAGATTCAACCAGTAATTCCGTTTCGTCCATTTTCGAACAGAATTTTTGTTAATCCAACAAAATTTTTTTTCCAGTTTATAAATGAACGATATCACTAGCGGGTTTCGTCGATTAATCACATGCCACAACGAATTAATCGCGAAACGAGATGTGACGATAATTTAGAAATCACCGATTCGAATGTCACTCGATTCTATAACAGACTAGAAGAAAATCTTTCAACGCGTGTCGCGAATTTCGAGATATCTCAAAACAATTAAAATAAATATTATAAAATCTGTACGAGAAAATTTTCTCTCTCTCGATTCTATAACGGACTGTTCTTCAGGAAGGAGCTTTTAACGTTTCCTTGTCGCGAATTTCGACATATCGCAAAACAAAATAAATATTCGCGCGTTTATAAGTGTTACACGTATGTACAAATAAATGTTCTCTCTTTCTCGTCCTGATTATATATTTATTCATTTTGCATATATAAGCCCAATTATATTGGCGGGCTCTCGTATAAATTCCACTGTTGATAGCGATAAATTTATATATCGAGACACCATTATGTCAAAATCCGTTTAAAGTGCATTTAATAAAAATTTGAAACTCTTTTTTATATGCGCAACGCGCATATAAAATGTTTGACTAATTAATAATGATCAATCGCGCATTTATAAGTATTATATATTTGTACAAGTAAATTTTTTTTTCTCTCTCTCTCTCTCTCTCTCCTTCTCTGGTTTCTATTATAATTACTTATTTCGCATATAAGCCCAAGTGTTATACGAATCAACAGTCTCTCGTATAAATTGCACTGTTAATGACGATGAATCTATATATCGATGCATAATTATGTCCAAATCCTTTTAAAGGATATTTGATAAAAATTTGAAACTGTCTTTTTTTATGTGTCAACGCGCATAAAATGTTTGACTAATTAACAATTATATTAATCACGTTTCATTATACGCGATTAAATACGTGTTATATTAATTGCAAAACTCAAGATATGACAAATTTCAAATTGACCGATTTGAATATTTGACGATTATACGCGTGTCACAGACTGTTCTTGAAGAGGATCTTTCAACGTCTCCTCGTGTCGCGAATTTCGATGTATCGCGAAAAATAATAAATAAACACCCATAGAGGTCATTATTCGCGCATTTATAAGTATTATATATACGTATGTACAAATAAATGTTCTCTCTCTCTCTCTCTCTCTCTCTCGTTCTGACTATATTTACTTATTTTACACATAAGCCCAATTATTATATGCATTGACAGCCTTTCGTCTAAATTTCACTCCTGATAGCGATAAATCTATATATATGTTATTGATGCACCATTACGTCAAAATCCGTTTAAAGTACATTTAATAAAAATTTGAAACTCTTTTTATATGTGCAACGCGCATATAAAGTGTTTGACTAATTAATAATGATCAATCGCGTTCCTTTATACGCGATTAATTACGTGTCACTATAATCGCAAAACAAGACTTGACGATATTATCGAATTAATCGGTTCGAATGCTTTTCGCGGCTGACAGATTATTCTTGAAGAAGAGGATCTTCAACGTCTCCTCGTGTTGTGAATTTTGATATGTCGCAAAACAAAATAAATAAATACCTATAGAGGTTATTCCCGCATTTATAAGTATATTATACATTTGTACAAGGAAACTTTCTCTCTCTTTCTCGTTCTGATTATACTTACTTATTTCCCATATAAATTAATCTATATAATCTATATAAATTTATAATCTCTAGTATCATTGGAAATGACAATCGCGGCAAATTTACATTTCTACGGTCCATTATATGTCAGAATCAAATATATTTGCTTAAAGTATATTTGATAAAAACTTGAAATTTCTCGTCTTTTTTATGCGTGCGACGCGCATGAAAAGTGTTCGATAAATTAACAATATTAATTGCGTGTGTCTATACGCGATTAATATTGTGTCACGAAATAAATTGATCGCGAAATGAGACGTGCCGATAATTTCAAAGTTACCGATCCGAATGTCACTCGATTCTATAACAGACTAGAAGAAAATCTTTCAACGCGTGTCGCGAATTTCGAGATATTTCAAAACAATTAAAATAAATATTATAAAATCTGTACAAGAAAATTTTCTCTCTCTCTCTCTCTCTCTCTCTCTCTCGTTCTGCTTATATTTACTTGCATGCCATATAAATCCAATTAACAAATCCATCATATCCAGTGAGCCATATATTGATAATCTTTACTATCGTTTGCAGTGACACTCGAGGCACATATACACGGATCATTTTGTCAAAATCAAATATATTTGTTTAAAGTATGTTTGATAAAAATTCGAAACTGTTTTTATGCGCGTAAAAGTGATCGAATTAATTGCGTGTGTCTATACGTAATTAATCACGTGTCAAATGTTCGCGAAACGAGACCTGATGAATTTCGAGTTGACCGATTCGAATGTCTCTCGATTCTACGCAGGTGAAAGACTGTTCTTGAGGAAGAATTTTTCATAACAGTCTCCTCGTGTTATCTATCGATGTATAGGAAAACAAAATAAATGTACACACATAAAGGACATTCGCGTATTCACAAGTATTATAAGTATTATATATACATTTTTGTACAAGTAAATTTTCTCTCCCCGGTAAAAATTTTTTTATACATAATTATATATAAATAATTTTTAATTATACATATAATCGTAAAAATATATGTGAAATATGTCTATTTTTAAGATGCACATATAATTTTTAAAATTAATTATGTCTATTTCTATATAAATTATAAGGGTTCATATATAATTATGTCAAATTATATATGAAACATATATATTTATAAATATGAAGAAATATATTATATATATATATATATATATATATTTCTTCATATTTATAATATTATATATATATATATATATATATATGTATGTATATATATATATATATATATATATATATATATATATATATATATATATAAGCACTTTCATCTAATTATGTATGGATATATTTCATACATAATTTTGCAATTATGTTTATATATTTCTATATAATTCTTTATTGTTATATATTAAAAATTTATTATCGGGTCTCTCTCTCTCTCTCTCTCTCTCACTCTTTCTTTCTCCCTCTCGTTCTGATACTTACTCCTGTGTCATATAACGAAAATCTGTTACTGAATCAAGAATCTTTTGCAGCAATTTATTTCTCTGTTGCGAATTAAGTATCGTTCTCCCCCCACGGAGAGACATAAGACTATACATGTATACCATGTTACTTATTTCGTTCTCAATATAATCCATATTTGTTTAAAGTAGTTGATAAAAATTTGAGACCGTTTTTTTCTCTTTTTTTATATATGCGTAACGCGCGTAAAAGAATTCGACTAATTAACAATATCACTCGCGTGTGCCTTCGATTAATCACATGTCAAAACTAATCGCGAAACGAGACGTGAATTTCGAATAGACCACTTCGGATGCTTCTCGATTCTACGCGTATATTTAACAGACTGTTCTTGAAGAAAGATCCTTCAACGTTTTGTGTCACATATTTCGATATATACACACGGTAAAAACATTTCGTATTTCTGTTGAAATTATCTTGTGTACAAATTTTT